CAACAACTCCCCCAGCTCCACTAATGAATCATCTTTGTTGGAATGCGGCCTGATTCTCACGAACCCTCAAAATTCCCTCAAGGATTGATCTCCCCCCCAAAAAATAAATCAGCGTGAACCAAACAAATCACTGCTCGCTGGGTCCTTTTTTTTGCTTTCCGTCGCCTGGTGCAGGTGGCCGTCTCCGAAGCCTTGGAGCCCTCCCGAGTTTCCAAGCTGAAACCTGTATGGGTGTTTTCTTGGTTGCAAACTCTGCTCCCCTGCTAAAAGTTGTTTTAGCGGTTTAATAAAAACAAAAAACATTAGTTGGCAAAACATTAGTTGACAACTTTTCGTGGTTTAATACGGAAAACTCATTAGTTGGCAAACAGTTGAAGTCCTAACATCCCTTGGCAAAATGCGCCCAAGCTTTGGTTTGAGAGCTTGCCCTGTTCACATAGTTGGTGCACCAGAAACCACAAGGAAAACTTGCATGTTGATTTACTGGGGACTCCCCGTTTGAAGACATATTGATATATGAACCCTGGTATGAACCACTCTACTAGTTACTAGCGAGTTCTTCGGGCTCCGGAAAAATGGTGCGTCTGCGGCTCTCCCGAGCATAACTCCAAGTTGCACGTGCTCAGCCTCGATCTTGGACTGCGGACACGCGGCGATTGGGGGGAAGGAAAGTGGGTCCCGCCCACTTTGAAAGAGGAGTCAGGCCACGAAACCCGTCTGACCATGACAAATGAAGTCTGTTTATGACCATGACCAATCACCCCCAAAATGTTCTTACCCCTCCCCAAATGTATGGGTGATCTCCCATTTTTCTGGGTAGTTTGAGGGTCCAAGATTGGAGCCCCATGGAAGGGCGGGCGGCCAAATAACCACTGGAAACAGGAACCTCTGGTTTGATTTTTAAGAAAAGACGCCCCCAACAATTGTACAGCAAGACAGTCAATTACCCAACCTCGGTTGCTTTCTGCTCCCCTGCTAAAAGTGAATAACTTTTAGTGGTTTGATGGAAAACCAAACTGAGTGGGCAACAAGTTGAGGTCTTCACGTCCCTTGGCCAAAACTCGCACCAAAACAACATACCAGGAACGTGGCTAAGCCTTCCTGCCGGTTTCGTAGAGGGGGACCGATCCTTTTAAGCATGAGGCCAAAAGTTGGGACGCAGAAAGGAAACCGGAAAGGCCCCGAGCGCAGCTTATGCATGAAATGCAGCTTGATCTTCCCAAAGGAAGAGGTGTCGCTCTGATTTGCCCACGGATGGGCCCAATACTTCACCCCAACCTTCTGATTGTACTCCTTCCTTTCAAGTCACATCCCCACTGCACTCACGGCACGGGGTCTCTACTCAGAAGTAACTTGTGAACCCCCTGGAAGTGCCACCGGTTTGTGGGGCCACACCCGCAAGTGCGACACCCTTCGAGCATTCTCCCGGAAAAAAAAAAAAAAAAAACTCAATGAACATCGGTTCAAAGGTGCTGCCAGCTTGGGGTATCGAACAAGACTCCAGGCCCCACTGTCTTTGTAGTCCAACTCAGGGAATGATGGCCGTGTCTCTTTTTTGAGGATACCCCCTGGTTTGAGGTGCAAAAGGGAAACCATCCAGGAAAACCACCAGTTCTTGGGGGTGGTCCCGGGTCCCCCAACAAACGACTCACACATATAGGCCATCCTCCCTAAGGGTCATGAACCCTCCAATGCAGACCCCCAACCCTCGGGCCCCTTTGCCTCTGAGCCGAAGGCATCTGGGAAGGTGCTGCGCAGCCATTGGCTTAGCCGCGGAATGCCCATGGCTCACCGGAAATCCATCGGAGATTGGGCTAGTGCCCCGATGGAAAAGAAGGCAAGCAGTTGTTGGCTGAAGTTGGGCCCTACATCTACCTACTAGGTATAGTGCATCTATATGTACACAAACGCACGCTCGTTTTGTTACGGATCAATTTCTCAGTTGCCCCGGCACGCAGAAGTCACAGGTGATCATCACCTTGACTAGACAGAGCTGTGATCCCCTGCTAAAAGTTTAACTTTTAGTTGGTCAAATGGAAAACCCCACTAAACACTAGAAAGCCAAAAAGCTAAGGGGATGGCTGGGAGCCACCAAGTAGACATTGACCAAACAGTGCAAACCAAAGCGTCATTTCAGGTCGATTCGCTTTGCTTGCCAGTGACTTTGTCGGGAACAGTCATTCTCAAGCTCCTAGGCTCCGGAAACGCAACCGCGGGCTTACTTAAGGCTGTGGTTCAGGATGCAATCGGCCAATCAACTCCAAGTTCAGATCCGTCCCACGTAACTGGGATCAAGCTCGATCCAACCAGCTTCAGGATCTAACCAAAAGTTGGAGGAAACGGCCGCGCTTCGGACCGCGCGAGAACTCCTCACTTCACACCTTAACCCCCGCCCCCCCCCCCCCCCTTGTTTTGCCTTTGATCCTACGGCCCAAGCAACGTGCAACCGGGGTGACACCAAAAAAAAGAAAAGCGCAGGCGGGTGAATTTTTCTTCGCATGCCTATGTGTGCAAACTCCATCCCCTGAAAGGAAGCAGGTTGGCACTTAGACTTAGGGTGCGAAATAGGGGGAGTAGCAAAAAAAACGAGTCCTCATTTAGTTTTCTTCGGGTCAGCCAAACAAGGATCTGTGCAAATGCATGTTTCGAGCGCTTGTGTGACCCAGTTGTGATTTGTAGCTGCCATCCTTTGGGATGGCTTCATGCATGGCCACTTTGGGGCCTCCGTTGCTCGCGCCGTTTCTTTCCTCGCTGGACACGCCCACAGCGCCACAGCTCTAACGGGTCCCGAACCCGACGTTTGCCGGCGGGCCTTCAACCACTCCGAGGTTCAACATGGGCGTCTCTGTGGGTCCTGGGACATCTGGTGAGATCTTGGAACGAAGGAACAAACGAGCTCCTTGTATTCCCCTCGTTCAACATCACCCCAAAAGAAACTTAGCAACAAGTGGGCCAAAAAATGATATATTTCACGGCTTGAAAAGGGAAACACTGGGACTGGGACCCTGGCAGTCAATCCCCATGCAGCCGCACGTAAATCTGGGCACTTGGCGCAAATGCTAGTCGCCTGCTTCAGCTGGCGACTTGCAGGATTGCCCATGGTTGAAATGAACCGCACAAGTGCGGCCAGTTGGCACAAGCATGCTCAAGCTGACAAAAGGCCGTTGACAGTTGACTAATTATCGCTTTCACCCCTTGTTCTGCGGAGAAACCATTTATTTGTGGTCCAGTGGGGTCCTTTCAGGTTCCATGCTTGCTTCTGGGAGAAACAATGCTTGGGCCGTGCATATCCCTTTGTGCCGAAAAAAATCAAAGGGTGTTGGTATTACACCCTGGGGATCCACCCACTGCGTATTGACCCCATTTAGGCTCATGTCCGGATAAAGCCGTGTTTTTGTTCAACCATTCTGGGTCATTTCCCAAGGGTGTAATCCCAGCTTGTAAGGCAAAAACCCTCAGATAAAAAGGGTCAACGCTTTCAAGGCTAATTCTGGACCTGCTGAAGTGATAGGCCAAGGACTGTCGAAGCGGTTGGAGACGCGAGGAAACGACCAACCATGTGGACATTTTCCTATGGGCACACCCAAATCTGACGAACCCTTCAAGCTTTAAACATGGCTTTCTAATGTTTGCATCCTTGTGCGTCCAGCCTGTTTTGACCAGGAATCCTGGTTTTTAGAGCTCCGCAACCATGGGGGGTCTCATGATTCCATGTTTGCTGTTTGTTTTCTGGGGAGAGTAAGCCGTAAAACAGGGCAAGCAGGTTGACCAAGCCTGCCAATTCATTTCTTGGCTTCAAGAGTCAGGTGTCTGCTCCAGTGCGATGGGCAATTCAGCGATAAAGATGTGGGGTGAATTCTGGAGAACTCACGCCCAAATCCATAGGTTAATCCTTCGGGACCTTCACATGGACCAGGTGGAAACCATAAGGTCGTTTCAGCTCGATTCGCTGTGGGAGGAGTGAGTGAGCTCACAATCTGTGCAACCCTGCAGTACTTCACATGACATTGCCAATGTTTGGGAGCTTGTCTGGGCGGTATGAAGTGGGTCGTGGCAAGCGACTAGGTGACTGCCAGCATGCCAGCCTGCCAGCCTACACAACCTGCGCTCTGCGCGCGAAAAAGATCGGATACGGTCCGGGCCGACAGCTAGCACTTCTACAAATCTACGCAAAGGCGTCAAAAGACGAAAACATCCATTTCAGGACTTGGCCGTCGCGTCCTGCCAACGGCGCTTGGGAATGATTCGTATGAAGCTTGGCTTCGTCAGCTATGCCCCACTCAAATGCCCAGTGCCCATGGGAAAAAAGGGCATCCTTTTTTAGTGGGTGGAGTTAACAGGGGGACCCTTTGCAAAAAAAGGAAAAAAAGGGCGCCACTGGGCAACTGGGCCTACGAAAACAACGGACCTTTTTGGTTTCTGCAAAGGACACTTGGCTGAATTGGCCCCAATAATCTTGGCTACAGTTTACCCCTCTCCAGGAAGTTTATCTGGTTTTTGGGTCCAATGGGAATCCACATGTTCAGCAAACAGTTAAAGTCCAGATATCCAACCAAATAGCCACAAAGGAATTCGCTTATAGGCACTGCAGCAATACATCTTTGCTTCCTGCCAATGCCCAGGCGGCTGCCCCCGCCCCCCCGGGCCTGGGTGCCTAGTGGCGTAGTTGCTGTGGAAAGCAACCGTGGCCCTAGAACGACCCAGCGGGCCACGCAAGCCAGGCCGACTGCACAGGCCGGCCAGATTCAGCCGACACTCTAGTGCCAATCCGAATGGCCTTTTGAAACTTGACCAGGCTTAGACCCCCTGCAAGAAAATCAGACTTAACTGTTTTGCTAGTTGAAAGGAACAATTGAAATACATAAATAGATGGCCCAAAAAGGCAAAAACGCAAAACTGCTGGTTACAATGAAACCGGTCAAGCGCCGAAAGTCACGTGCGGAATTTGTGCGACCAGGTTTCCCGAAAAAAAAACACCAAAAGGGCAGGTCATGGCCGTCCTAGAGCTTCAGCGCTTCCTGCATCTCCTTGATGTTGCGCGCCAACATCCACTTGATGCTGCGAACAAACAAGGGAAAGCTCACCTGCGCGCTGACAGGCCATTCCGTCGAACGAGGTCAGCGGAGATGAAATGAACCAAGTTATCAGTTGGCTGTCTTAAGAATCGCGGTTCGGGTGTGGTGGCACGTATCTTGTGAGGCAAGTGTCATGCTGAAAGGCTTGCTTCAAATCGCCTGGAGCATGCAACCGACACGGCACGAAAGTAACATCTTTAGTCCAGCAACCGACACGGCACGCGCATGCAATCGAACCGCACAGCTCGAAACTTATGAGTCCTGAGTTCATCCATTCGGTGTAGCTTTCAACCAGTACATGGGATGCAACCTGCATGTAGTGAACACATGTGAACGCTAAAGCGATAATGGGATATCACCCCATAATTTTGAGGGATAAACGACGTGTTAAAGGGGGTGCAGGTATGTTCTCTTCTCTTTTCCCACGGCCCCTGCATCCGAGGCCGTGGTGGCATAAAGATTCTGGCATGCCTCCTAGAACCTGACAGGGGCTTGAGATAAAATCGGTCTGCCAGGCATGCTCCAACAATGAATCTTGTTGCTCCGAGTTGACTTTCATTTGCTAAAGGGTGTTGGTTTGTGTTTTGCATTTGCTTAGGATGCTGAAAGCGAAGAGACACGTTTAGCGTTATACAGCCTAACCCAAGTCCTTTGGATGACCAGTGCTGCTGGTTGCAGAGGCAAATGCAAGCAGTGAGCCAATGTTCAGCAAATTCCGCCCACCTGTAGCACGTGGCACCTGGAGGAAGATAAATGGAAAACAAATCTCTCCCTTTGGGGCCTTTCCATAGGTGTACTTTTAGGGGAAATAGATGGTCCTGGTAGATGATTAAACCAAGTAAACCAGTGCCATCCATTTTTCAACCAAAACAACCAAAAAGGACACCTATGCTGAGCCTTTCCCTTTGGCCTGGCAATGTGCGACAAGGAAGCCTTGAGGCCCGTTTTTTCTCGCCCCATCCCCCAAAAAAACGCTCTCCAGACCTCCAGTGGTGGGCTAAAAACCGGGCGGAGCCGGATTAAAACGGAGCCGGACAGGCCGGGGACTGAGGCAACAAATGCCCACGGGCCACGGGAAATAAAGAAGCACGCGCTTTTGCTTCAAGGGGAACCCTTCCCTAAAAAAAAGGAAAAACAAGGGCACGTGTTTTTTTGGGGGGGTTAAGTTCATAGGGGAAGATAGGGAAGGGTTCCCTCCCCCCAAAAAAGGAAACCAGGGCAGCACTGGGCAACGGATGGAGCACCTGCTCGCAAGTTTGGGGCAAGGCCACCCCGGGCCTCCTTGACTTCTTGAAGAACTTCCGGCTGCTCTGTCTCCAGCAGCTCATTCACCCCATCCTCATTTCCTGGGTCGCTTGGCCGGGAACCGTCCGGTTGGCGCCACAGGGAAAAAAACAATTTGAAGCCAGCCGGTTTGGTTCTCAAGCTAGGGAAAGCCGGGTGTTCTCTATCTATACCAGGGCACAAGTAGATGGCACAACTCCATTTGTGTGCGAAAAAAAGATGGCAAACCGAAATGATTAATTGTGCCATCTACCCTCACACAACTGACTGCCAAATTAAGCTTCAATTCATGCCAACGACGCACATCAACGCTCAAGCTCTCGCACGTAGAGCACTCACCCGCCGCAGTCGTGCGCTTTTGGCTGCATTCTGCATGACCATGCTAAAACGATTGTTCGAGCAACGTTTCCACAACCCATCGTGCCAGACATGCGGTTGTGTCTTTTTTGAGGCTACACCTTTGGGGCTGGTTCAATCGGAACCCAAAGAAACTGAAAGGAACCCAAAGGAAAGCGGAAAGTCCATTGCAACGGCTCGGTCAGGTTGTAAACCCAGAAAAAACAAATTTGGCTGTGTGTTCAAGCAAAACTATCAAACAGTGGCCTAGGTTGGAACCCCCCTATCTAGAAAAAGGAAAAGTGAGGGGGTCTTACCACCTCCAAAAAGTGACAAAACAGGCTTCGGTCATCGGTCAACAGGGTTCCCAAAGCTTCTCCGATTTGACCGATGACCGATCAACCGATGACCGCGAAACGTGCGAAACGAGCGTCGTATGCGAGGTAACGCTCGGATCGCAGGAAGGACGGAGCGGAGCTCGTCGACATCGCTGTCCTCCAACCTGGAGGCACAACAAACTACCCAAAATTCGGTGGCCAAATCCTGGACCAGTTGGAAGGGATGACGCCGTAGCGGGGGCTCATACCACCTTTGGAGGGGCACCCGCAACCAGCCCATTTTGGGGCGGGTTCTACGATCCAGGTCGACATCTCATTTCCTGAGTGGATTTGCCAAAAGAAGTAACCTTTCGTCACCACCAATCAAAATGGTCTTCCCAACAAGTGTAACGTCCAGGAACTCAGGCAGTGAGATGCACCAGTTGGGATGAATGAAACCGTATGAAAACTGGGATAACGCCCTAGCTGGCCTTGGCGAGTGCAAAATTAAAATCGACAGTATTGCAAGTAATAAAAAACAAAACGAGGAACCCTCTACTATACCGTAGGCTGCTTTGGTTTTGCGGTTTAGAATAGTTGGAAAATGCGGCACCCACGGTGGATGTTAAAACATTTGCTGCTGCCAAGCAAACATTCCAGTCCGGCATTGCTCTTGACTCTTGACCATTTCTTTTCCAAGCGAGGCCCAAAACGACCACTAGGCAAATGAAGGTGCCTCACAAAACCCAAAATGGGTTTGAGTAGTCACGACGAATTTGGTGATGCCTCTTGAGAACTGATGGTGACATGCACCATGTTTTGGTCTCAATGTATAAACCCATCTATCATTACCTGGCACGCACCTCGAGCTCGTCGTTCTAAACCCTGGTGGTCGCAGACAGGGCCAACAAGGCGATAGGTTCACTTCTGGCAAAAAGCCATTCTTCTAGCTATATGCAGATATATATATATATATATGTGATAAACATATATACGACCCCCCCCTTGGCCATTACATCTTACATTACTTGGGCATGTCTGGATGACTTGCTGCCTCGGGTTGATGTGGGTGCACAGCTGGCAGAAGGCATCCACCGGCAGCGTCAGCTTGGTCTCGTTGACTTCCTGATTCTGCCGAAAGTGCAGTTCGTTTAAGCAAGAAGTTGTCTCTACAAATAAGGGTGTCTTGCTTCAATGTAGGAGTAATATGGAGTAATTGCCATGGTTCGAGCTAGGCTAAGTGTCACATATGCGCCTTCCCGTACTTTTCAGTTTCAGTCACCGGGCACAGACTGTTTCCTGCACTGATTTGGATTACTACAATTCCACACCCTGCATAAACCTGCATTAAGGGTAAGCTCGTTTTACCCCCATGTCAGCTGGTGCTCAATTGAATTTGCCCACCTGAACTAAGCAAACCCCTACATATATATATATATAAACACACAAACAACAAACTAAAAACAAAATCCCTGACATGTTGTTTGTCAATTCGACGTGTGCGTCAGTCCTCCATATCCTCCGCAGCCTCCTGAGACTGCTCCAGAGTCCTGAGCGATCACTAAGTGATCGCTTGTCATGTTCACTGCCAATCGAGTGGGCTTGCCAACAAAAGTGACCAAACTTTGCCGCTTGCCACTAAAATGGTCCAAACCCAAACGGTATAAAGTCCATGAACTCAGGGAGTGAGCATCTCACTTGAGCGCACGCCCTACGAGAACTAACGCACAAGTATTCGTGCGTGGCTTGCTGTTGCTGACAATTGCTAACCCGTTGACAACCGCCCGCACAGCTGCCCAGCTTCTGCAACTCAACGCGGAAAATCAGCATGCCATGTTCATCCATTTTCCATCGCACGTTTTCAAACTGGTTGGGCCACCCGCCCGCGAAAAACCCGAACCACCTGCCTCACCGTCCAAAAGCCGAACTTCGCGTGCAGCTTCCTTGGGCTCTTCAGCGGTGGATGGGAGATGGAAAGCGGAAGCTTCGAACCCCGAAAGTGAATGGCAGCTTCCACGCATCTGGGCTGTTTGCGTTCAGATCTCCTTCTAACAGTTTAACTTTGGTGGTGTAGACCAACTAAAACAACGAACTGGCTGGCTGGGAACCACCAAGGCAATTATGATATCTTGATGTGGAACGTGGGGGGCCTTTCAAGGTCCAGCCAAATGATGGCCTAGTGAATGGTGCCGTCTCATGATGCTTCTCTTTCCAAATCGTTGCCCTACGCAGGGAGTTTAAAATAGGTTTGGCGTGAAGCCACCGACCGAGTGCTGCGTCTGAAAGAGCCGCAACGCTGCGTCAAAGCAACCCGCAGGGCCCCACACAAGGCTATGCAGCTGGGCATTTAAGACATCCATACAGCCTGAAGAAGGGAATTGCTGGACATCTGCGGCAGCAGTTGCCCTTGGCTAAAAGACTCACATGTGATCCACCAGTCTCAGTCTCACCATGTTTCTCAATTCGCTCGGAAGCTCCCAATGGCTGATTTCCTCTTGGCTCCCGATTGAAAAATTGGATGGATGCAGACGGGAGCTCTGCAAAGGCAAATCCAGGCACGTCTTTTGCGAACAGCAGTCAGCTTCATCCGAAGAATGTCCCGCACAGAACTTAGCATGCAAATCTATCCGTGTGCAAACCCCGTGCCGCCGTCGAGACCCCTTTTCGTGGGTGTGTTGGCCAGGAATCCTGGAATCCCCCTGAGGGATTGCACCCATCCCTTTAAACCAAAACCAATTAGCTTCGACCATGCCACATGTGGGCCGGTTCACATATCACGCGGAAACTAATCAAGCCAACACGAACACAGCTGAATCCCCTTAAACATCCCCCTTACCTTAGGGGGGAGGGGGTTGGGGGTCCCCCGATCCCATTATCGAACTACACATGGAATTCCAGGGCCACCCCCTCCCCCAATTCCATTTTTAAGGGGGCGGGGATCCCTTGAGCACGACGACTGATTCCGCCCCACGGCAAGTGGCTTCACCTGTGCCTGCCCGAATCCCAGGATCCTTGCCTGGTCAGCTTGGGAATCAATGTGCATACTCGCTCCGTCTTGCCTCTCTACGGTCTGGCCTATTTGGGGGTTGCCCTATATTCCTTTTCCCGGGATTGGGCCCTTGGGCCGCACTTGCGCGGCATGCGCGCAAAGTGACGCGGAAACTCGGCTTCGTTCACCTCGGCTTGCGAAGTTTTCGTGTGGATTGCGCGCAAGCTTTTCTAAGCAGTGTGTTTGTCGTTCACACAGCAACCCCAATCTTCTCGCTGAGGTCGCTCCCAGCAATTCTATCCAGCAACATACTCTTGACCCAACAGAAAGGACAGCAGGCTCTGCCACACAGCTTGGACACAGCCTGAAAGAAGGAAAGTGCGTGTTGCGGCTACCTGTCCATTGCTTGAACCGCGCCGCTACAAGGACATCCGAGACAGCCTGTGGCTAGATGTCTTGATGAGGCTTCTCGTGCTTGCGCGCAACTTGCGCGCGGCCTGCGCGCGGCTTGAGCGGATTTTGTCGTGTCAGTTGCTGATTGTTGAAGTCATGACCGCAGAAGCTTTGGCTTCGTTTGGCGTCTGGCTGAAGAAACGCCGCACCTTTGCAAACAAGCTTGTGACCTACACATGGCCCAAGCAACAATCGAAAAGCACAAGTGCAGTAAAAATATATTACCTCCTTTCATGAAGCTAGCCAACATCAGTACATGAAACCCTTCAAACTGTAACCTTGCGCGTCCCTTGGGCCGCACTTGCGCGCTCCTTGCGCGCACACAGCTCTTGACAACTTTTACTTCTCCTCGTTCAGCGATAATTTCAACCGAAGACTGGGGTTTTAGGACGGCCCTCACTTGCGGGTCTTCTAGTAAAAGGGTATCTAAACTGCAAAAGGGGTCCCTGAACCCTAAACGAAAGTAATCCTTGCTCCATTACAAAGCGGCCTTTGATCGCCTGTGATAGCTGTCACGCAACCTTCCGCCCTGTGGTGTGCAGAGCGGACTACCAGCCAAGCAATGCTATCTGTCCAATCATTTCTCTCGATGAGTCAAGCCCAGAGCCGCAGCATACCCCAGGATCACACAAAATAAGCTGAGCGTTGCCATCTTCTGCCTAATGACTGCAGGCAGTGTTCGTCACGCCAATTGCAGGTCCAGCATTTGCATCAGCGTTTTCCAGCTGGGGTGAGAAAGCTGACGGTGAATGACGGCAGCGTTGCAAGTTGCTTAGAAGACTCCCTCTTCAAAACATGGAGTGCCAAGCATCCGGAGCCTTCTAAGATGCTAGTTCCAATAGGTTGGCTGTTCTTTCCGCTGAAACCATCTAAGACACCAGTCGCAACACCTAGAGGCAGCTCTTTTTTCCATATCGGCTGCCTTGCCCGTGGCCCTGATCGAAGGAACACCTTTTGGGGAGTTGGCCATTGCCGGGGCACCAAAGCAAACGGAAAACGGGAAAGGGGTACCCCTGAATTACAAGGACGCTCCCATCTCCAAAAGCGTCGAACTGAAACATCTGGGCAACTCATGCTGATTCAGAACCGGAAGCATAAGGAAAACAATCAAAGGACATCAGGAAAACTAACAACACCAAAGAATTAGGCCCTCATCCTCAGTGAGCTCGTTTTCCCCCATCCATCCAACAAACATCCATGGCCTCGCCTCCTCTTCCTCCTCGGCGAGTGCTTTGGCCTCCTTCTCCCGCTGCAGGAGCCGGCACATGAAGAGGAACCTAGGCGACATCTCTCCTTCTGTCCGTTTGGTCCATTTGCTCGACTAAGCCCCGAGAAAACAAATTCCAGTAGTGATAGATTATCTTTCTGTAAAACCGACAATGGGAAAAACAACTTGAGCAAATCCTGGGGGAACAAAACACATATGTCCAGTAGGGAAATCGATTTTCTTTAAACCCGACAAAGAGGGAAAACAAACCTAATCAACTGGAAGGGTTTTGGGTGGTCTCCGCTTTGGGCTACTCGCAAAAACAAAAAAAACATTCAAAGACACCACACAATTTGGGCCATGTCCTCGGGAGAGACACCCATACCCTCCTTCAAATTAACATGGACCTCACACAAAATATTAATCTGCTGAGGAACATGCTCTAGCTCAAACATCTGCAGCTAAGAACTCCCCCCCTCCCCCCAAAAAACAAACAAACACAGGATGCGCATTCCAAGTCTGAGTGAAATACTCAAATTGAGGAGTCCTGATAACACGGATGCACAACATACACTTCGACTTGACATGCAACAACTACCTGAGTCAAGAAACCTCGAGGCAAGAGTCCTTCAGCACAAATAAAGAGATTGCTCCCAGAGCCAGCTATATCGATCTGGGGGCACTGGGACAAGCAATGCTGTGTGCAGATTCGGCTTCCATGTTAGCGAGTGTGCCCGTGAAAGGTGCGGCAACAGGACATGTGGCCATGGGTCAAAATCCAAATCGGTTAGCCCCCAAGTGAACATCCGATTCAATCCCCACTAAAATAGGTCCTAAAATGGGTGGTGCACCTACCCCAAAATGGTACCAAAACGGTTTTGACCCACAGCCATGTGATGGAAGGGTCCCGCAGGGCGCGACGGACACTTTGAACAACCAGGGGCAGAGGCCCCTCTTGCAAAGGAAGGCATGCTTCCAAAAGACTCCCTATAATTCCCCTTACAACATCACCCCCGCCAAGGGATACTCACCTTTCATGGGCCAAAAAGGTGATGTTCAAAACAACCAAAAAAGGGAAATATAGGGATCCCTGAGGAAGGCATGCTTCCAAAAGACTCCTCGCGCCCGAGAAGAAAGGGCCTGCTGCAATTCCAGGATTCTTCGTTCGCCACAAGACACATGAAACTAGAAATGAGTCACAATCAAAACCCGGTATTAAAATGGTCTACCCAGAACCATGCTTCAATAATTAAAACGGCGGATATCCGCAACTATTTCTGGGACTGCCCCTTACTAACCTTCATCTACCCGGGTTTTGATTGTGGCCCGAATGCACATCTCCAAAACCAACCTCCCGCCACTTCCATGTCGGTGGGTAAGGCGAGTCCGAGCGAGGCGCACGGGGAAGCGCACCGCCGCGGTGCCGTGCTTCCCACCTGAAGCGGGCAGAAGTAAGCCATAGGACCTGATGATCTATGCGGGGGGTGGTGGTGTGCATTTGGGTCTAAATTCAAAACAGGTTGTTTGCCTCTCTAAGCTGAATCCTTGAGCTAATTGCCTACCAAGCTACCCAGCGATGCAGCCCAGGAGGCACAGCTGAATTAGACTTACAAGACCCCAAAAGCCCCAAGACTCCGAATTCGGGCAAGGTTCTTAGAGTTCTAAACCTCCAGAGGGCCACTGGTACAGCCTCCCTTGAAAAGGGTTTCTAAATCAGGGGGGCTGCTTGTTTATCACCCAAACAGTGGAAAAGGCAAACCATGGGACGGTCAAAAATCGTTAAGCCCAACATGGGTTGCAAGCCCTGGTAAGATCTGTGGAAACAAGGACTCAAACCCGCGGCCTGCGGTCCAATTCCTGGTGGTTTAATATTGGCCCGCACCCGTATGTCTTCTTGAGGCTACCCCTTTGTGAGGCTCCCCTGTCTTTTTGAGGCTGCCCTGTTTAAAGGGAGACCAAAAGGGCAACCAGCATTCGCCGCCCCCCGCAAAACAAACAAAAGAACGAGACTCTTGGAATGATTGTCACAACAAGTCCTCAGAAGCTTGAATCACAAAACAAATTATGAACACTCGGAATAGAATAGGGGACCCAAAATTCACGGCTTTCGCTGTAGTTTCTCCTTTCGACCAACCAGGAGACCTCTTCGGCGGCCGAGTGGAACCCAGCCCCAGGTTCCCCTAGGTCGCCCGGCACTCCTTGGGCGGCACGCCGCTCTCGGCGGCCCACTTGCGGGCGTCGCTGATCAGGGTCATCAGGCGCCTGACTGCTTCTCCCGAGGTCGATGCTCTTTTTGGCCGCTTGGAAAACTGTGCTAGTTCCTGGCCTCTCACAAGTTGTGCTTTGTGTGTTCCTTTTTGGGGGCCGCGTGTTGACTCAAAGCACTCAACTTGTGATTTCACAGTAAGGGAGAGGCCAGGAACCAGCGGGCTGGCTGAAACAAGTCAAAGCAAGACCCCCAAAAGTCCAACTCAGTTGAGGTCTTCAGCCTCGAGCTGCAGCCTCAGGGTTTTTGGAGCACCAAAAGAACCTTCGAGCTCCAAGTCGAGCCTCCTAGGTGGAAGAACAAGCTCTGCCCAGGCCTTCTTGTGCTTGCTTTTTTGATGCAATGGATCAAGGACACCAAGCACCCTCAGCTGGTTGGTGCTAGGAAACCTCCAAGTTCTTCATGTGAGCGACTCTATAAACCTCCCATGAATCCCTATGTCGTATCAAGTTGCTTACGCGCGAGCTTGCGCTTCCCTTACGCGACCCATGTTTTAGCTTACGCGGCAGTCAGCGAGCATGTTAAGCTTACGCATGGCTTACGCGTGGGCGTTCTGAGCGTTTCCCCTCAAGAATTGCTTACGCGAGCTCCTTTTCTCATGCAGATGCCAGAGCTGTTCAAAACTCTGAGGAAGAAGATGACGAAGAACTACCCTCACGAGTCTCAGCGGCTTGGCATTGTTGTTCTTGCTGCAAGTCAAGAAACGGGTTATGCGGCAGCGGCATCCATCGCGAGGGCTAGCGGGCAGCCCAGCTAGGCGAGCTTACGCGAACCTTACGCGCCTGCTTACGCGAGCTTACGCGCCTGAGCCCCTTTAGTTTTCCTAGATCAGCGGTTTCAGAAGCCTTTGTTTGTCCTAGTCAAGGTTGCAACAGCACCTAGCATGAGCCCCAAGAGCTCCCAATCAAGGTTCTGCTGGCTTTGTTTTCTTATTGATGTGCACAAGCGGTCTTAGACGACTTCTTGCAGCCAAAGTCTCCGGGCAAGTTGCCAAGCTCGACTAGGTTGCAACAGCACAAGCCACCAATAATCTCATAAGCACAGCTCTTCCGATCATGCTTACAAAGCTTCCCAAGCAATCACGAAGAAGAGCTTACGCAGGTGCTTACGCAGCTTGTTTCCCCAAAAAGTGCTTACGCCGGCTTGCGCCGTGCAGGGTTTTGCTTACGCGGCGGCTTGTTATGACACAACTCTTGCTTGGGATGTAACGGGGGGTTTTTAGAGCTGCTCATGTGGTCCTCAAAAATTCGAGAAACACCCATAAGAACGAATGCCGCATGGGCAAGACTCTGCCAAGCATCTTGGAAAACAGAGACTCCAAGATGCCCCCTTGGGGATCAACTCAAATAAAAACACCCTCTTCCGCCTTGATGCCTAGTGGGGAGGGGGGGAAGGGAACCTCTAAGAAACATAGGCCCAATTGAAAGGCGCCTAGTGCCTTGCAAGCTGCTTGCCGGGACATCGGACACAAGGACGGTTGGCTGGTCGATTTTCAACATGACCCAACCCCCAATGAGCTTGCAGGTCACCAGGAAAACAACACCTGCTTCTTTGGTGGCTGGTCGGTTGAGGGAAGTCAACCTTAGGAACACCTCACACCCGGGATGTTGAACATAGAAAGTGGCCGCCAAGCAACGCCTGAGATTCGAATGTGGTTGCATAAACGATGAACAGCGAAACACCAAAGGCCGAACTTGGGCTTAGTACCGAATAGGAAGAACATGTTTTTACCGCCGTCTTCTTTTTGTGCTTGCTGGCCCGGTCATGCTCGCCATGCTCCAAGGATTCAACCCTTAAAAATGAAGCCACAAAGCAACACGCTGCAACTTGGTGGCTGTAACCCCCCTGCAAGAGGTTGAAAGCTTGTTGTGGGTCCGATTCGCGGAATTGTTCCGGCCTTGTTCTTACCCTAACAGTTGAAGTCCAAAGATCCGTTGTCAAATGGCCCCAAAGGACATGGCAGTGAGTTCCAACGAGTTGCTTGGAACTTCACGGAATCTCGTCCCTGGCCAACTTGCCTCTGGATTTGACCCAGAAACTGGTTCAGCGCAACTTTGAACAGGGAGACGAGGGGTTCCCTCGAACAGGCCACGGATTCAATTTCCCCCAGAACTGGGAGGTTAAGGGATCTTCGAAAAGAAAAAGTAAAAGAACCTGATGGGTTTAAGTAAACATTTGGGGGGTTGGCCAAACAAAGAAACCAAACAATTTATCTACCACAGAAATGCTCCGAACCCAGAAAGTGACTACAGTCCGCAACGGAACTCAGGAAGTGAGTGAACCGCCAAGTGTTGGCTTCCCTTTAAGGACAAATAAACACAAAGAAAACCTTGGGCTATTCACAACTCAGATGCCCAGCGGCCCTGGGGAAAAAAAGGCACCTTTTTTGTTGTTGGTTGAGTTTACAAGGGGAACCCTTATACCCAAAAAAGTTGAAAAAAGGACACCACTGGTCAACTTCCATTTGCTTGAGCCCCATGGAAAAAATATCGCCAGTAGTGATAGATTCCCGTTAAAACCAGCAAGGGAAAATAACAAATGTTCATTTCAGCAAATGGATGTCAAAAGAGAAACCCTTCTTTTTTCTTGGTTGAGTCAACCAGGAGAACCCTTATACCCCAAAAAGTTGGATCACACGGGCACCACGGGTCAACCGAGAACAAATGCGCGCGATCTGACAGGGATCCTTACATTATGCCCCTGAACATTGCAACTTGTAAATGGTGGTTTCCGACTTTATTTTGGTGCTGAAAAAGCAACATGATTCAAATGGTTGCAAAATGAGTTTCTTTTAAGAGCCCTGTTTATTAATCCGGGGGACACCCCCCAATCAAATCTTCCCAACGGTGGTCTGAATCCCCACTCAAAGGGGACACCCCCTATCAAAATCAACCAGGGGTTTATTTATCCGGGGGTAAACATCAATCCCACCCTGAGACCGATTTGGTCTCGAAACACCCGACCCTCAGCTCCCCTTTCGCGCCTGGGCTTCTCTGCCCCAGTGCTTCAGGTTCCAAAATGAATTTGCTTTAAAACAAGCACCAGCAATCCTGCCCCTCAACGTGGAAAGCCCAGCTGGCTGGTCTTTCGGCTTCTCTCGGCCGACAAAAATGGACGGAAGCACATGGCGTTCGTCCAAAAATGGACGAAATGGGGATTTCAACCACCAAACCACAAGCAAAATGTAAAACATGTTCCCCAACAACAACCATGTTCAAATCATAAGCAAAAAAAAAACATCTTCCCCACCCACCCTGTTCCAATCTTTTTTCCAGGCGCGGCGAACGTTTCCCCCGTTCGATGCGAAGGATCCGCGCCTCTGGTCCTCCTTGGTGCGCAGCTCCAGGCCCATGGGCTGCAGGATCAAGGGGATCTCGTCGCGGTCGATCCTGGGGTCCAACCCATGGGCCGAGAAAAAAAAGAAAAAACGGGGGGGGGGGGGGGGAGGATGGGGGGAGGGGGAGGGGAAAAGGCGAAAAAAGAAGAAGAACAAAAAAGAGAGAAACCATCATTCATTGTTGGCATTCATGGGCCGAAAAAGAAAAGAAGGGAAACACACATGGGAGAAGCCCTTGTTGGCATTTGCAGGAGGAATCAGCAATTGAAAAACGTCTTAGGTGTCAGGATCCACTCGGCCCATCCGCCGATAAGAGAAGGCCATGGGAGAAACCAGTTATTGTTGGCATTAAAAAAGGAGGAATCATCACCCAGAAAATGTCTTAGGTGTCCACGGATTTTGCGCAGGTATATAATATATATATATATATACATTTATTTTATTTTATTTATTTTTTTTTTTAAAAAAAAAGGTTTGGGGTAGCAACCCACTGGCTCGGAAGTGAGTAACTATACCGCATTTTCCAGGAGCCAGCTGAGATGTTTGTGGATGTCGCGCTCAGTGGGAAGCAGGCCAAGTAAGCAGAACGGGGTACAAGTCTCATCATACCGCGCATTGCGAAGTCCATGCCGCACCGCGATCTGAAGCAGGGGAAACCGATCTGCTTGGCCTTTCGGAATGAAGCTCCGATGTGGGGTTCGGAATAAAGCCACGAGAAGAGAAGTCGGGACTATGGAGAAGCAGTGTTCGGAATGGTTCAGCCCCTTGCACTTGGTTGCAACGACCCCTCTGCAAAAGCTCGAGCACTTTGGTGGGTCCAAGTCGGACATTTCGACCCGTTGCAACCAAAAAGTTCAAGTCCGAAGATCCGTCATGTTTGAAGCCATCACCATCCAGACCATGCAAAACCATCCAGCCAAGGATATGGAAGTGAGCTCCAACAAGTTGCTTGGAACTTCAGGGAATCCCGTCAAGCCAAGCCCGTCAGATCCGTTCTGACCAAATGTGTCTTCCCCATGACCATCCAAAGCCCCAAAGCCGCCAAGCCGCTCCCCGCTGCCATCGCCGTCATAGACCCTGAAGTTATCTCGGTACTGCACCACTTCGGCATCGCTGAAGCAGGCCTGCCACTGTCTCTGGCTGGACCCTCAAAGCCATAGACATGGGGCATGACACCCCGAAATATTTGGAGCAAAAACGTGGTTTGAGTTGGAACCTTAAGGGTTCAGGCGGCCTCTTTTTACTGCTACCCAACCCAAGTGATAGATCTCAGGCATGATCCCAGCTGACCCTGTATGTGTGTGACACTCTTTCAGAGGAATTCATGCATTTTCCTGGGGGGGGGGTGTGTTCCATCACGAGGATGACACATGAACAGCGACACCCCATTGCCATTTGCTTCTACTCCCAGAATTATTGTCAAGACTGATTTAGGCCTTCCAATAACCCCACGAAACCAGGCAGAACACCACCGACTGAACTTGCTCAGCTTCACACGCCCCTCGCCCCTGTATGGTGGACACTTAGGGTCTGTTTTGCAACCTCCTTCTTTTAGGGTATGTTTTTTTTAAGGGTCTTGGTTGACGTTGGAAGGGGAGCAACAAAAATAATGTTAGCTTTTAAGTGGTTGGATTTCCAACTAAACCACAATAAGCAAAAATGTCAAATGTTTCCTAACAACAACCATGTGGTTGCAAAATAGACTCTAGGTGTCCATGGCACCCCCCCTGCCAATGCCTGCTTCTTGATCGCTGCCAGCCGCTGCCTGCGCAGGTGATCCTCGGATTTCTATAGCGCCGGAACTCGGTTGCAAACTCTGCTCCCCTGCTAAAAGTTGACAACTTTTAGTGGTTTGATGGAAATCCCATGAGTTGGCAAAAAGTTAGTCCTAAGATCCAAGCAAAAGGCAACAAAGGAAAGTCGTTTCAACCACAGCCGACAGCCAGGTGTTGGCGGAAGAAAATCCGATGAGGAAACGTATGGCTACAACCTAAAACTGGAGAACATCAATATATTTCAAGATATATGCGTTGGTCCCCTAATTAGCTCCGGTGCTCTGTCCCAAAAGATATAATGGATGCTGGTCCTGGCTCTTGCCAAACCAAAAAACAGAAGCCCAAATCAACATGCATGACATTGGCGAAATTGGCCGGGATCCCATGTGGACATTGGGGGTGGCAACACGGCCAAGGCAAAACCAGTGACTTCAGCACGCCTGCAGCACGACTTCCGAGTCATGCCAGCGGACTTTTCTTCCATCTGCCCAGATATATTTGGCATGCCCCATATTTCCTCAAGGAAGCATTACCAAAGGGCCTGACAGGTGACGTTTAGACATGTTTAGACCACCTGTAAGAAGGCTACACTTTTAAGCCCCTGGCCCCGGATTGCGGATTGATTGCCTTGAAGCAGAAACCCTCTCGGCCCCAAACGGACCTCTCAGCAAAAAAACGGAGGGGAGGCAATGCCAGGAACAGTGAAGGAACCCACACTACTGTGGATGGACGCAATCCTGCACCACCAAAGAAACCCCGACATGATAGTTCCCCTGTAAATACGAATAAAAAAAATGGTGTCCCATGGTTTCCAAGTGGTGCAGGATTGTGTCCATCCACAGTATTTCTATCGGTACCTTCCATTTCCATTCTGAACCCAGGGATCCGTTTTCTTTTCCGCAAACCATCCAAAACCCGAGCTCGAGCATGGAGAGTTCTTCTGGGCTGTTCAAAATGGTTTGGGTTGGCCAATCCGATTTTCCATAATCCCTATAGGGAAGCCACTACAAAAGGGACCCCGTTGCGTCACCGAAGGTACGGATTAAGGATTACCTTTGAACAGCCCAGTTCCTGCTCCGAGGGGCCACTATATCCACGAAGCTATCAAAATCCAGCTGGTCCTCCTGCGCATACCTGACGATCTGAAAGACATATTTTCCCCAGATGAACTCTGCTTGCATAGTGCCCATTGCAAGACATCAGGCTTCGGCCAGCAATACGTTCGAGGGTAAACATGGGAACAAATCCCTGGTTGATGAAATATGGGATGTCCTGGTTTCAAGGTGCTTTTTCACTTTTGGGAGGAACACCCCCCTAACATTTCCCTAAGTCGATGTTCAATCTGCTATGCCGCGCTGCCCATGGCAAGCCCAAACAAACGCTTTAGCCAAATGGCTGTGGCTAAAAAAACGGTACCCAAAATGCAACCCTGGTAAGTGGAAACATGGACCTCTGTAACTGGACCAAAACCTGCGTAACCCCTCCTGTTTAAGTTTGAGCCACAGCCAAATATACAGGGATCCTTGCATTATACACCTGAACATTGCCTCGTAAATGGTTTATTTTGGTGTTGAAAAAGCAACATGGTTCAAATGGGCAGGCAAAATGAGTTTCTTTTAAGGAGCCCTGATATATTTGCACCAGACCTAGGACGTCGCCCATGGCGTCGACGCCTCGCAATGAAAGAAATCCTCCGACGTTGCGCTCGGTGGCGCCGTAGGGGTTTAATGGCCGTGGGGCTGCCCGTTTTCAGATCCGATCCCCCGCTAAAAGTTGAGAACCTTTAGTGGTTTACATGGAAACTGCCACTGAAGGACTAAAAAACTAAAAAGTTAAGGAACCGGATGGCTGAGAGCCACCAAGTGTTAACATGGACCAAAACAAGAGGCCAACAGGTCCAAAGCTCGATTCGCTTTGGGAATTCAGCCCAAGGTTGGAGCAGGGCCCAACCAAATCTGGCGCTCTTAGCGGCACCCAACAGGAGCTTGGAACTGGGCGGTCACATCCCGGCACACAGGTGTCCCATTTGCCTTCTACAAGAACCAGGGCTTGAAATCCCAAACCACCAATCCGAACCAATTAAGGCATGATAAAGAGGTATTTGCAAGTGGGTGATAAAGTGTGGGTCTGGAAAAACAAAAACATGTCCATTGCAAAGTCCCCAGGCGATCAAACAGGTCCAAGCTGGACTTTTAGTCAAGGTCTCAACAGCACTTTGTCCCTTGGAGCTACATCGCCCCTAAAAATGTGTTTTGTTCACAAAGGATCCCCTCTTTTAACATCACTGGTTGGCTCCACAGTGTTGGTGAAGTCTGTTTTGGGTGGGTGATGCTTAAAAGGTGTAAGGAACCCTTTCTGGGATGTCATGCTTGTTTGCAGTCCCTCATTGGTGCCAGGGGGCATTCCCATTTTTTTGCAAGGATTCCTTCCCAACCGGTAAACCATCTTGAATGGACCTGGGTAGATAGCCAATTCCCGTCCAAACCCAACATGTGTATGCATTATATGTGAAACCCCCCAATGGTGGGTGAAGCCCAACCACCAAACCAAATAGAAGTGACAAAAAATGGCCCTTCCACACAAAAAGCAACAACAACATAGTGGTTTCCACAAGGCGATTCTAAATGGGTGGGTCATAAAACAGGGACCTCCACAAAAACAACAAAAAACACACACAACAAGTGCGGCTTTCCACTAGGATGTGCCTGTTTGTCCGGGACCGCTCTCCTTCCTTGTGGCTTGCCGCTAAGACCACCCGCCAACACTTGTCGCCCTATCCCCTGCCTCCCCATCCGCGCACCCGCGCATCCTCCCGGATCCCGCCTGTCCAGGAGCTGACGCAGCTCTAGCGCATGCGTCTGCAAGCCCATCAGCTTCAGCGGAAGCTCGATCTTGTCCTGAGGCGCAAGGCGCCAAATCTCTCACTCATCGGGCGGACTGGCAGCCCAAAGCACATCTGGGTCCTCCAGTAGAGAAGCTAGAATAAGGGTGCCCGTTTTCTGTAGTCTATTTTAGTAGGGGAACCCTCCCCCCCAAAAAAAGGGGTAAAACGGCACTACAGGGGGACCTAGACATATGTCTCACTCCCATCGAGCGCACTGGCACCAAGACGTACCCATTTGTTTTGTGTGCGGCAAAACTGGCCCAAGCCCAAACGCGACGAAGTCCATGAACTCAGAGAGTGAGGCTATGATTAGGCTATGGGCTTGTCGCGTAAAGGACTTGAAAATGGGTGGTGTCCCTTTGGCTTACCTTTTAAACTAAAACCCAAACCCCAATGGTTCCCTCCGAAAAGGGCAAATCCACATTTGGCCGTGCAGTCAGGCCTTGGTGGGTCCAAAACGCAAGACCCCTTTTGCCAAGAGAGGAAGCCAAGGTGGGTGTGTGGATTTGGGGCGCCTTCGAAGGATAGCTCAACCTCAGATGACTTCCACTTCCAAACCCAAAAACGGGAGGAGGCCTTCAACCTAAGTGGCTATATACTGGCTCCATATAGCTCACTACATGCCAACAAGTAAACCAAAACCTGGAAGGTGGGTTGATGTGGCGCGCCTATGGTGAGCCTACACTTTCTGGGCTTGTGAGAGAAACCCAAAGAAAGCCACCGAAGCCTGTCTTGGGAACTGTTGACCAGTGCCTACGCAACCTGGCGAGAAAGGGGGTGCCCCAAGAAAGTGAAGGATCCCTCCTACATGAACCTCGTTGAATGACCTTTCTATGTAGGAATGGTGTCTCAAAAAGTGGTGAATTCTCATGTTGTTGGTGCAAGGGAACCAAGTGGGCAACACCCTGCGAGTCCCCAAATTGCTCCCCTTTGTCCAAAGGAGCTGAACAAATACAGTAACACATGCAAATTTACTCAGCTTGACAAGTTTTGCTCACGCATAACCTACAGCAGTTTCGGCCAAGAAGCCGCCGGAATCCTGACGCCCTCCTCATCCTCAGCGGTGCTCTATGCCAGCCCCCCGTGGAAGTAACGTCACTCACCAGTTTCAAGGTTGACTCACTTGCCCAAAGGCCCCAAAACGAACCTTTTGGGAGCTTACTAAAGTGGACCAAGAAAGGGAAACAAAAAGGTTAAGATGTGGGCTTTGAACGATTGAGTTGGAGGCATGGATGCTTCAGACTTGCACATGTTTTGACCATTCGCACCAAGCGCTGCCATCTGAACGGGTATGGGGTTCAGCTTCCAGCTTCGGATGTTGAAGGCCTCCAGTGCGAATCATGAAGTCTCAACCAGCGGGGCCTCGCGCTTGAGTGTCCCTTCGGCTTTCCGGTAAAACCCGCCAAACAGGGCGCAGCAAAAAAGCAAACTGATAGAAAGACAATCGTGCACCCAGGTGGCGCCCAGTTATTCACACGCCAAAGAGGCCGGTGCATGAAAACACCGACCCCTGGAAAGCGCAGCTCCCGAAATCAAAGACGTACACCTTACAGCCTTTCAAGGGCGGAGTGCATGTCTAGCTCCCCCAACCCGGAAGACACCAGCCTTCAGTGTTCGTCCACTGAACCAAAAGAACCCAAGCAAGACTGCGGGAACAAGTAATTCAACACATCAGGTCTTTGAACCCCTCCGCGCTGGAAAGCAACACCTCGTCCAAGGCGTTTTTGGGCCCGCGCCGGGTCGAGTGCCAAGAACTCAGCCTTCGAAAGGGAGTCCTGCCGAGGGGCTCCCAATGGACCCAAAGAGCGGGTGCCACTTGTTTCGGGCAACGGAAAAAACCCTGAAAAACCAAAACGATGCTCAAAATAAATTATATTATTTTGGGGGGTCCCCCTTGATGACCCACCTGGAAACCTAGACAGCGCGTTTTCGACCCTCCCACCATGGCAGTGCGCCTCGGATCGAACTTTCCGGGCCGAAAAACCTCTGTAAAGCCCAGGGGCCTTGAGTGGGTCGCGAAGAAGGGTCGCGGGGCCGCGCCGCCAAGAGAAAACCGCAGGAACACCAGGGCAATGTGTTCTTTTTGTTTTTTTCTGTTTGTTTATATATTTTGTGTACATATATATATATATATATTAAGAGGTTCATCTGAAAGGTGAGAAAACACTCACTTGCCCCTTAGGGACCCAAAAATAAAAGGTGATCACCTTTTGGGTTGCCATGACGAAAGATGGGATCCCAGAACTGGAAAACCAAAAGGTTAAAAGGGCTTTGGGCAACTGAGACTAGGGCAATGTGTGTTGTTTCTTTTTAACACGCACATTGCCCTTCGGGTCATGACCCTCCCCTTCTGTGAAAAGCAAATGTTGGTGGTTTTAAAGGACATTTGTCCATGGTCATTACTAAGAAAAAAAAACAACTTCCAAGGGTCATGATCCCTCCAATGCAGATTGCCGGGCCCTCCAATGGAGAACCCCGACCAATTCCTCACGCCTCAAAAACAACCCATTTGGAGGGCCCAAAAACAATCGGGACCCTTAGGGAGGGAAACAACATTTGGGTCTGACATCTAGTTAGGCACCCTTTGGTGCACACCATTTAGGTGAGGATCCATGTCCACCAACCATTTGGGAGGGGGGTCTCTTGATCCGACACCGGAATTCTTTCGCATCGATGGATTTCCTGCAAGGTGAGCGTGAAGGCCTGCCGCGCTTGCTCCAGCTCCTCAAGCTACCCGAAGCCGCGGTCCCGCGGTCGGTTTGAGGCATCCTTTGGCTTTGGGGGGGGGTCCCTATCCTTGGTTGCTGCAACGACTCCTCTGCGAAAGCTGATCGCACTGCTTCTGGGGTTTACTTTGGAGAACCCTCGATTTCAACCAACAGTCATGTCTAAAGATCCAACCCAATAGCAATCAAGTATATGTCTTGGTAGCCAGCAATGTGATGTTTAAAACCGTCAACATGGAGAATATAGGGAGCCGTGCTCTTCGGAATCCTAAGATTGAGTGTTCAACAGCAGGCTGGATCATAAGATGCAAGCCTGGCGTGTTAAGAAGTTGACAAATCATGTTGGCCAGAGCTCTTTCGCACCAGCTTTGGATTCTTCCTTCATAACAGTGTCACATAAGATCCGGATCCTGAAATATTCCACATCCCCCGACAGGAGTCTTTCAACTGTCTCCCCCTTAGGCTTCTGTGTTGCCGGCTTTAGAGGTTGGATCAATCAAAGTCGATCCATGCTGGTAAAAATGCCTCCAGGTAGAAACAAGCCAAGTCCCTTCGCCGCCTGCTCGCAATCTGCTCCAAAAAACCAGCGGTTTTCAACATTGGCAAAGACACGCTCCTAAAAAAGGTCGATTTCCGGATCCCCGAGCCACAGGGGGCACTCGATTTTCCCGAAGGTTGCAACTTCCTGGTGGTTTTCCATTGAAACCATCGCCACTTTCGGGGGGTGCAAGGAGGTTCGCTTAGAGACACGGAGTTGCCTCCCTGACCGATCCAAACCAGCTGAGGCGCTGCTTCCCGCAGCAGGCGCATGAGCCGCAGGAACTCCTGTTGCTCTCAGGCTGTGCTTGGCCGAAGTGGGATTTTGTATCTTTGTTACTCAGCTGCCCAAAGGACCCAGAAATAAAAGGTGATCACCTTTTGGGTTGCCATGACTAAAAATGGGATCCCAAAAAGGGGAACCAAAAGGTCAAAAGGTCGGCTTTGGGCAAGTGAGTGTATGTTTGTTAGGTTGCCCTTGAGGCGAGAAACCGCAGGAAGCGTACCACCATTTTGTGGGGTGCCCTTATTTTAAGACACCAGAACCGTTGTGTTCTCTGGGTCTCTAGGCCTTCTCTTGGTCGGGTACCTCCGGAAGAGAGCAAAAGTTGGTCAATTACGCCAAGGCAAACTGATGCAAGCCGAGTGGTAGGGAAGCCTCAGGGCAGCGATTATCCAAGCTGACTTGTCTTCACTGGGGGGACCTGCAGAGGGGTACCAAGGAAACATACCCCCACAACACTGGCATTATAGCTATCACATATCACATCTCAGGACCTGGATATCAAAATATTGAAATGGACAAGCTAAAGAAATGTGAATTGTTGGAGGCTTTGGAGGTTTTAAGGTTGTTGCTACCTCAGGTCTTTGAGGTTTTGAGGTTGCTACTGCAAGGATCCAGCAAACAAAAAAGATGGTTCCAATCAGAAAATCCCGCAAGACTTCTTAGCTCAGTTGCCCAAAGGATCCAGAAATAACAGGTGACTTCCTTTTGGGACCTTTACTAATGGGATTCCAAACCTCGGTTGTTTTCTGCTCCCCTGCTAAAAGTTTAACTTTTAGTGGTTCAATAGAAAACCTACCAGTTGGCAAACAGTTAAAGTCCTAACAGCCCTTGGCAAAGTGCACCAAAGAAACATGGGAAACCAAAAGGTCATTTCAGGTCGGCTTTCCACTTTGGGCAAGTTAGTCTTCGTCTTAGGCTCCGGGGCCCCAGATGCCTTTTGGAAAGCGCCGCGTTTGAGTCGCGCCGATTGCCCCAACGTTGAACTAGGTTTATATGGTGTGTCGACGCTACCTGGAGTCCCCTTCTGACCCTTAACAAAGGTGGTTATTACCCAAAATAATGGGGTCATTGACCCATTTTTAAAGGGTCGGAAGGAGACTCCAGGTACGTGGTTACGTGCCCACAGCGAGCAACCGAGCAACCTCGGACCAATGGCATAATGGCTAACTTTTTGTCAATCAGGAACTCTGACAAACATGGTTCCGGTCGAAGCATACATCCCAAGACCACCAGACATTCTTCAGATGTCATCCCAAAAGAAACCTGAATTTCCTGAGAATTCTCCAAGTCAGCTGGTCAAAGAAAGATGATTTTGTCCGGGAGAGCCATCCTCTCAGTTGCCCAAAGGACCCAGAAATAAAAGGTTAACCTTTTGGGGCCATGACTAAAAATGGGATCCCAAAACTGGAAAACCAAAAGGTTAAAAGGTCGATTCGCTTTGGGCAACTGAGTCCTTGAAATCCAAGGAGTGCGTCTCATCCACGTCCACCTGGGCTCCCGAAAGAGATGCACAGAGGGACGAAAGAGAAAGCCGTTTGTAAACACCTCGGCGAAGTCCCAAAGCCAAGGTCGCGGGGGAAATCGGGAATTCCCCATATGGCTGTGGGTCAAAAAACCGGTACCAAAACGGAACCCTGGTAAGTGGAAACACGGACCAAAACCTGCGTAACCCCTCCTGTTTAATTTGTTGAGCCACACCCATATGGGTGTCTTTCTGCAGGGTACCCTCTTTGGGGTTGGTTTACTCACTTCCAATCTAGTGGATTGGGTCCAAACAAGGTTCATGTTTGTGTTTGCCACTAAAGTTGCAATTCCACAAAAAAAAAAAAACAGGAACCCAGGAAGTGAGTTAACGCGAGAGAATCACGAATTCCAGATTGTCAGGCTCTGGCTTGATGTTTGATAATCAAAGGTCTGCAACAAAAAGCACAGTTTGCCCCAATCTCATAGGCCTGGAACTGGTCAATATTTTTTGCTTAGCCTTGCAGCCAAGGGTGAACATTGCGGTGCTCGCTTATTGTAAGTAAACTTCGGATTAATTCGGGGGACCACACCAATCAGGGCTGGTTCCCCTTTCAATAGCAAATTTCTATGTTGGGGGGTTGCTTGAACCATTGTCTGGATCAAGCCAAAGCTAACATTCAACAGTAGACATTCGTGAGTATGCTTCTGGACTGCGATTCATCGGATCTGCATGCGCCCGGGTCTGAAGCTCCGAAACGGAAAGTTGGACGCGCCAAAGGAACCCTACCCTCTAAAACGTCGCAGTGCACAGGCCCCTTGCTTGCGTTTGGCGGGAGGTGCCACAAGGGCCTAAGCAACAATAAGGGGTTCTGCGTATTTCAAGACCAGATTCAGCTATGATAGCGGCACACACAATGCGTATAATAATAATAATAATAATAAAAAAGCACTCATTCCGGATAGCGACACATATAATTACACACACCCACATGCAGACACACACACACACACATGTCAGTGCTTGTTGAGGCTCGTTTTCGAGAACGCCTGCCAAGCACCGAGGGCTCGGGCCTTCCCAACCCCCCCCCCCCCAGCCCCAGAGCCTTGGCCACCAGCTGCTGGATCTTACCTCGGGTTGAGTCGCTTCGAGGTAATTATTTCGAGCGACGCAGGGGACGATCCGACGTAGAGCTGGGTCTCGCTCTCTGGCCTCCCTCTCACTTTCCTTTGAAACTTATCAAAACATGGTATCAGGATGTCCCTCTCTTTCTCTGATTTCCTCCCTATCTCCCCTCTCTTTCTCTGATTTCCCCTGATTCCTCAAACAAAAAACATCAGCCATCTTTCAGAATCCAAGGTGCATGGAATACATCCGGGAAGCTTCGTCTTGGGTCGGCTTCGTTTCACGGGGCTGTTCAGCTTGCACCGGGTTTTAGGCCCCAGCCGCGGAGTAGTTTGGGGGAACTCGCGCCAAAGAACTCAGACATACTGTGGATGGACGCAATCCATTTCGCACCACCAAAGAACCAGGTGCCCTCCCACGAGTGCCATGGCAACGTGGGAGGAGGGGTAAGATATGAGCCATGGTCATACTGTGGATGGACGAAATTCTGCACCGCCAAAGAAACCCTGACATGATGATTCCCCTGTAGATACCAATGAAAAATGGTTTCCCATGGCTTCCAAGTGGTGCGAACGGATTGTGTCCATCCACAGTAGAAGGTTGGCCTTTTGGGGTCAGGACTAAAAATGGACCTAAATGGGAAGGCCAAAAGCGGGTCAAAGATTTCACGAAATCGCCAGGGCAACTGCAGCATGAGCGGCAGTCTGAAAAGAGTCGACTCTCCCTAAGGGAGCCCTGACAGCTCGCTGAAAACCAAGCCTCAAACAACACACGCACACAAACACAACCTCGTAAATGGGAACGTGGGCTCCCTCTTACGTCCGATATCCCAAAGGTCCACTTGACGCTGAACCCATTGAGACGAAGAGAAGTCCCCCCAATTCACTCCATCTCCAGGCGGCGCAGGCTGGTGTTGATGCCCATGGATCTCAGCAAGTCCATGATCCTTGAGCTCAAGGTCTGGATCCGCTGGAAAAATGGGAATGACACATCTTCGGGTTTGTCTATAGGGCATCCAGGGTTTCCTGAATTGGCAATTGTGTTCCTTTGGTTTCCTCAAAAAACAACTTAATGTGGCTACCCGCAAAGCAAGACACTTAGAGAACTTGGAAAAATCATGCAGAACTGGACTCATTGACACTGGGCGAAAAAAAGAGACAAAACCAGTAGCTACTTAGAACCGAGACTCGCTGCCCGAATCGCAGCGTTTCCACGGCCTAGCAAGGATCTGGTGATACCGAAATGCCTCATCTCTATTTGCTGGGCTGTTCAAAATGCAAGCTAGGCCTATCCAATTTTCTATAATCCCTACCTCCATTTGCTTAAGTCCCCTGGAAAAAACAACAACAACAACATTCTTAAGCAAATGGAAGCCTATAGGGAAGCCACTACCAAGGAGACCGGTTCCTTGCATAGCCCAAGGTAAGGATTCAGGATTACCTTTGAACAGCCCAAATTTGCTGTGTCGCTATCAAGGACATTTCCTTGGCGTCAAACAAGTGTCTCCTATACCACAACCCCTAACCTCCCACCAACACAACGGGAGCATTGCTTTGCAAATCATGGCCATCCTTCCCTTCTGGCGACTTTCTGCCAGGGTGCATGCTGGCAAAGTACGGCGAACAAGAAAGGGTGTCATGGTTCACTTGGGGTCATTATCATTTGATCTTTCTCTCTCTCTCTCTCTCTCTCTCCCTCTCTTTCTAGCATTCTCGAGCAGGTCTCGCTCGTCCCACAAATGATGTCTACCATGTTGATGAGTTTGGCCGCCGACCCGGACGCAACACCAGCCAACCCGCTCACGCAGAAATGAGCCGACCCGTTCGCGGAGAAAGAAAACCAAGCGGCTGCATGGTGGAAATCTCCCCGTCTTTGGCAAACCTGGAGAGGGGAGCGGCCCGCCTCCCACATGATCATGCCACTACCTTACCACGTTTGTGACCAACACCCCGTGGGCCGAAAATCGATTCCTCGGAACTGTCTGTCGCGCAAAGGATTTGTAGCGTATGTCCAACCAGGGGCGAGACCCTTTCAGGTGTAGTGCACGTGCAAAACAGGCTAGTGCTTGAGGGAAGCAAAACGGCTCGAAAGCAACAAAACGGTCATAAGGGGGTTCAGACCCCAAACCACCAACGCAAGCCGAGTAATTAAGCATAGTATGAAATCCAGCATTGTTGTTCCCAACGAGGGAAGCATGCTGCTAAAAGGGCCAGCTTTGGATATGCAAGTCGAAAACACGCTGGTGTTGCCATGCTGGGGTAGCCCACATCAGGGCTACAAGCACAATGATGCACAGTCACAGTCCGAATGGTCAGTCTTCCTGGCCCCTGATCGACCGCCAAAACCAGAACATTGAAAATACAACGGCGCCTGCACCGGGCTAAGTAACTCTGCGAAAACGGGAAAAAAAGTGGTCCACTCAGCCAATCCCAAGAGTGCTGGCCACACAGGCTTCTGATAAAGCCAATGGTCGGCAAATCGGATTGCTGGGAAATCACAATTTTCTCATTTGCTCCTTGGTTCCATGGCAACTGGGGTCCCTGACTTTCATGGCCCTTCGAGAAAACAGCCGAAACCCCACCCTCCAAAGGAAAATCCCTTTTACCCCTCTGCCATGTCGAACGCGCAAAGCCATATATCTTCAGCGCCGCCTCCTCTTGCGGGAACCCCGCTTGTTGATTTACTTTGTCCTGGACCTCGTAAAGTGAGCATTTGCATCGGCTTCTTAAAAAAAAAAACTGCTTTTGGGTGTGGCTTCGCTCGGGGAATTTAAAACCCAACAAGCCTCTATTGTTTTTCTCTTGAGCTAAAACGGCTTGGACCTGTGGCTTGAAAGCGAAGAGGGGTTTCTAGTCAATCGCTGCAAGGGCTTCGAAACCACCCCTCACTTCCCAAAGGACCTAGAAATGGAAGGTAAGCCTTGTGGATTCTTGACCAACTACTGACAAAATCAGGCAAACCATAAGGGTAGAAAGGTTAAATGGTCGATTCGCTTTGGGCAAGTGATCATGAGACCGACTGAATGTAGCCCCATTGAGCCGCGCGCCTGTTGAACACCTTGAAAAGCTCTTCGGCCTGCTGGCCGGTGAAGCCGTCCCACTTCTTGAAGTAGTCCATAACGTCCAAGTATCTCGGACCGTTGAAAACAAAAAATGAAACCTTAAATGGGGGCCTTAAAAGGAACATCACCTCAAAATGGATTAGTTGAGGATAGTATTGGTAATAGTTTACCCCTATACAAGGAAGAGTGCCCCACAATCCCTTTTCCATTTGCTTAGGCCTTGAAAAGGGCTTAAACCCAGGGGCTTTTGACTTCCCCACAGAACTCGCCAGCTTTCAGTCTTGGTACAAACGGAACCTCAAAGTAGGCTTGAACCCGTTGATTTTCCAAGAAGTCGAGTCGTACCTTCCCATGTTCGAGGAACATGTGTGGTTTCTCACACGACTGATGGGTGAAGAGAATGGGAACCAAAATGCGGAACCCTGCCCAGGAGACATTCTGAGGCACCCACTCCTGTTTGCGTAAGGGAGAAACCGCCTTTTCACTTGCCCCAAGCTGGAAATAGAAGCACAACCTTTTCATCGATTCCGAACTCGAGCGTGAAAAAGACATAAACAGACGCAAAACACAAAACTTGGTTCTGTTGACCCCTTTGCAACAGTTTAACTCTTCATGGGCCCGTGGAAAATCCATTGTTCCAACCCAAAAGTTAAGGTCCAAAGATCCGTTACCAAACGGCCATATGGGTGTCTTTTTCCGGGGACCCCCCCCTTGGATGGTTTCAAAGGGAAACGGATAGGAACACCGCCAATGTGGGGGGCTCCTGAATTTTGAGATAAACCCATATGGCCATAATTTTTTATAAGGAACCACCTCCAAAGTGGGTGGTGCACTCAAATCACCACCTAAATGATGTCCACCACAGGGTCCCCTAGTAAAAATCACACCCATATTACTGTAACAAAAAGAAGCACAAGCCAATATCTTGGGCATCCAAAACCCGATTTCAACCCCACAAGCAGCCCAATGCAGGGCTTCTTGTATACTTAGCCTAGGAAAACATCACCCCAGCAAAGGCAAGCTCACCTTCATGTTCATCCGAACCAAGATGATTGAAGCACCCACAAGGGCAGTCAAACGGATGAACAGTTGCAAGGATGAAATAGTCAAGCCAAACCTTGGACACGCATGGAAAACAACATCACACGCAACAAGGAACAGCACGGAGGTCAACGAGGCTTTCGACCCAATCTGAGCAACCGATTGGTTTTTGGTGGACAGCTCCTCGCGCCTGGTATGTCAGCAAAACTTAGCTCCTTGCAACTCGCCGCTGCGCATCAACACAACCCAACAAGCAAACACATGAAACAGATTCTAAAGTTTAGTTTCCCTTGTTGGTTTGAAAGGGAATCTGCCAAAGCTGGAAAAATGTTTAGCTTTTCCATGGGACTCAAGCAAATTGTAGTTTCTCGGCTTGTTTTTTTCCCCGGTTTTTGGTGGCCAGGGTTTCATGATCTTAAGCAAACGGAAGTACAAGGACAAAACCCACTCTGCGCGTCCAGGCGACTCTTCCAAGTTCACAGTGCCATCTTGGTCTCCGTCCACAGAGTCGAAGAGGGATTGGATGGTGGAGCGCAGCGGCCTCCCGTCCACAAAAATCAAGGGCCCCATGTTTGGGGATTCCATGAGGTTGGGTGAAGGGATTCATTTTTGGCCAATCAGGGACTCCGTTTTTGGGGATTCCATTTTTGTTGGGTCAAAACATATATCATTTGTTTTGGTATTAAAACGGTCTACCCAGAACCATGCTTCAAGACTTAAGAAGGCGGATATCCGCAACTATTTCTGGCTGGGACTGCCCCTGAATAACCTTCATCTAGCCAGGTTTTGAATGTGGCTCATTTTGGGGATTCCATGAGGTTGGGTCAACTGATTCATTTGTTTTGGTTGTTCAGTGTTGGATGGGTTAACATGGAACCTGACAGGGGATCCTGGCGGATCATTTTCTTTGTAAAGGGACCCCCTGTCAGGTTCCATGTATATTGGTGGGAGTGTGCCTTAGCTGCGCATTTCTTTTTGTTAACCAACCTGTGCTTTTGATGCATTCTCTCTTGCTGCAACGGGTGCCACAAAACCCCAGCTGTTCAGTGTCCTGGAAAGAAGAAGGGACCCATCTTTTGAGCTGACAACTGTCGGCGGAAACCAAAACGAAAAACGGAACACAGGTGCATCTGCACAACGGTCCGAAAACCAGGTCCTATCCCGCAGCCTATAATCCACTCCGCTGCCCCCTTCAAATTGACAGAAAGCGACAATTAGCAGACTCAGATGCCAAGAGGCCAGGGGAAGAACAGAACCGGCCTCCTTGTTTTGGTTGGTTGAGTTTAAAGGGAACCCCGGATCTATTTAGAACCCCTGGTTGATTAGTAGGGGGTGTCCCCTTTGAGTGGGGAGTCAGCCCACTTTGGAGGGAACACCCCCCTAATAGTGGGACAGGTTTATTAATCCTGGGTGAACATTAAGGGAACCCTTCCCAAGCAAAAAGGAAAAAAAAGGCGCCACTAAGCAACTGGGAGCAGAAGGATTGCCGAAATCAACCTCTGGAAGCCCAACACACGTAAACACACAAGATTCCCTCACGAAGACGGAGAGGATTTTTTTGGTGAGCAGTCGGCTTAGGACAACTGTGGATAACATGAACGCGTTGGAAAGTTAATCATGGACGCACGCAAACACTGGGCTAATCCTCCATTCGCTTTTTCGCCTTGGAAAAGTAAACACCTATTTACAGTAGTGACAGATTCCCTGTACAACTAGCAGGGAAAAGTAGACAACTGATGTTGACCCAGGATTAATAAACCCGTCCCCTTAATAAGGGGGTCGGGGGTGCTCCCTCCAAAAGTGATGAATCCCCACTAAAACGAGACACCCCCCCATTAATTAACCAGGGGTTTATTAACCCGGGGTTAAGATTATTCAGATTCATTGCAGCACATGAAAATAGCTGAGCTGGTGCTACTCGTGACCTTCAGAAAGCCCATCGACGCAGAACCGCCAAACAAAAAGACATGCGCGCAGCGAAGCTTCCGATACGCCCCGTGGTAGGAGTCGCGGCGTGTTGAATTGCGAAGGGGGGGCAAACTGGGAGAAGAATTGGCATAAACTGGCCTCATTCCGAAGCATTCTGAACAACGTTGTTCCACTTCCCCTAGTCGAACAACTGCAAAAACAAAACCGACACGCCGGCTTCTGGCTTTTTTTTGGGGGGAAAGGAGCAAACCCCAACCACCGAGGAAATGGCAAATCTTGTTTCTTTCTTTGTGCCTAGGCTTTCAAACGGGCTTTCTTTCCAACGCCGGCTGAGCCAAGAAAGAAACATAGCGAGAACCCGAGGCCGGCGCATGTAGCCCATCTTCTTCAGCAGCTGCTTCACCTCGGAGCGGTCCAGCACGCCGTCCTGGCCTTGGCTGCTGAAGGCATTGACCCCCCTGCAAAAAGTTGACCACTTTTTCAGGGGGTTTAGTGGAAAACCCATATTTCAACCAAAAAGTTAAAAGTTGATCACTTGTTGGCGGCTTAGTTCGGAAAACCCAACTTGACTTCAACCAAAAGGTGTTACAGTCTAAAGTTCCGTTACCCAATAGCAGTCAAGTGGCTCTGGTCGAACTTCTTGAACCTGAAACAGCGCCGAGAGCGGCAATCCGATCCCCACCATGTGATCCCGCGGACCCCAACCGCAAGTGGGGATTGACCCCGAAAGGGTAGAAACAGGGAACAACCCTGCGTCTTGTCTTTTGGGTTTTTGGGTGGCCGTGTTCAGTGGAATCGAGCCAACACAAAGTGTGCTCCATGATGTCAGAGGCTCTGAACAACTGCGTCCGCAGATTGAGCCCCGCAAGTCGCGTTGTTCAACCTGCAAGTCGCGTTGTTCAACATAACGGGGGTCCCTAATCCGTGTGCCTAGTCGGCCAGCACTACAACAAAGCAAATCACTACATCTGGCAAGAGGATAAAGGTTCGTTTTGGACAACACGGAAGAGTCGAAACATATGAGGCTTGTTCAGACCGGGTCCCCATTTTGGAGACAAGTGTCCAGCCTTCTTCCTCTGCAAAGGGGTGAAAAAGAGGGCCAACAAAGGCATCCCCATCTTGAGCCCCCAATTTGCGTATACCACTGATCGCAGTTCCAGAAAAGGGCAGGGCTTGAAGCTGCCATGAAACCAACCAGCTCCTCAGGGCTTCCTGCCTCACAAGGAATTGTGCAAGGTCAATGCAATTCCTGTTGAACGACCGGCCTCTCCAAACCGGCCTCAATGGCAGCTTGTGGTTTGTCCATCAAAGAATCGATGGACCCAGAAATAAAAGGTGACGTAAGGCCACCAAAAATCGGTAAACCAAATCAGGGAAGCCAAAATGCTCGCATCCAGTCGATTCGCTTGGGGTGAGTTCAATCAAATACTACCCTCCAGACAGGCGGCTGCCGTACGTATTCGCTGATCTCGGCTTCCTCACCGCACGGGCACGACAAAACGTAAAAACTTCCACAGGGGTGTCTGTTGTTGAGGCTCCCTATTTTCGGTGCCTTCAAGGGAATTTCCACAATCTTTGCTGAGGCGTAAACAAAGGCGCACCCACATGATTTGAAGGTACTATCGTTTGACCAAACATCACTGGTCCCATGCAACAACTACAGCAAAACAGCGAAACATTCAAAAGGTGTTCGCAAATGGAGGACACGCAGTTGACAGTTTGCATCAACAGGCAAGTATAGCTTACTGCCTGAGGGCATTGGTGAGGACGAGTCCAGACTTGCCGCTAACCCAGAATGAGAAGGCATTTTCAAAAGCAGGCTTGATGGGAGGTACCAACCCCCCCTTAAAATGCTGCTGCGATTTGTCCAGATCGAGGCCATCTTAGCTGTTGCCCCGCAGCCAAAACCAATAGTGTTCATTCCGGTCTATATTCAATGCACCGAAACTGAACATGTGCAAGACTAAAGAGATCCCAGTAAACGCCGGGAGCGTTGGACACCAGCTTTACATCCCTGACATAGGTGTCCTTTTTGGGGAAATAAATGGCCCTGGTAGCTAGCAAAACAACCAAAAAGGACACCTATGATCCCTGACTGCAAGTGCTGGTGATAAATCAGTAGAATGGAACAGACGCTCCTTGCCTCCTAGCTGAACTGCACTACGGGAACCATGGGGCCAATGGGGAGTTATACCTGCTGACCCTTGAAAAATGGGTCAATGACCACAGTATTTTGGGTAATGAAAATGCATTTGTTTAAGGCTCATGGAGACACCAGGTAGGGCTTACATGAATAGAATAGCCATAATGGGGCTTGCGGTGCGCTGTTGAATAGAGTCAACCCCCCTGACAGTCGACAGGGTCCGTGAGACGGAGGGTTCAACTAGCATAAACCAAATATAAACTCACAGAGCAAACCACGCGAAACTGCGGCAATGATGTAAACCCCTGAGCCTGCTTATCAATATGGGGGCGTTCCCCTCCAAAAGTGGTCCGAGTCCCCCACGAAAACCTGGGAAAAGCAGCCCCCCTATACATAAACTGCGGTTTATGAATCCGGGGTCAACATTTGTCCCCACAAAGACGCAGCCCCCTATTAAAAGTCATAGATCCCCGCGCAAACCAGGGAGACAAGCACCCCCCCTATGAATTAAACATGGGTTTACTCCCAGTAACATTATTATTCAAGGGGACTCGAGCATGGCGACTGCCGACAGATTTGGTTGTGTCCTTCATCCGCCTGGACCACGCCACAAACCTCGGCAGAGAGGTTTTGTACATTTCGGCCCCGGGGAAACTACCCTCCCGTCGAAGATAAACTCACTTGCCCAAAGGACCCAGAAACAAAAGGTTAACCTTTTGGGGCCATGACTAAAAATGGACCAAAACTGGAACAAAAGGTTAAAAGGTCGGCTTTGGGCAACTGAGTAAACTCACCTTACCCGTGGCTTCAAACCGCCATTACAACGGTGAGGGGTCATATAACTACCATTGGTTTACCAAAGGATTGTCATCATCCAAATCTGGCCAAAGAAGAAGCCTGAACTTTTTTTGTGTTTGCAACTAATATGGCCTTCAAAACCAAACAGACCAGCTTCTGAGGAAGTGGGTGAAACCCAAAGTGTTTTTAGTGTTTACCATTTTCGGAAAGATTGTCTTCAAGAAGCCTCCCCAGTCAGGTTCCAGGCTTCATCTTTGAGCTGGGGGCTAGTTATTCAACTTATTGTCCCGCCTTTAGATATATTCCTCCAAGCTGAAGAGTTTGTTTTCGTCTTGCAACATAGCAAGTGGTCAGGAACAAAACATATTTTGTTTGACGAAAGTTCACGCCAAGTGCCTCAGATGAGCCCTTGCCAGTCGAAAACATGCCTAAACAAACGGTGCTTCAAAGTCAGCGCATTGAGTTAGAATGCCGACAGCGGACTAGCTGCGCTTTCTATGTCACACGGGCAAACCGAACATCCGAGTTTAGTTGTCTATGCCAGGTGTGGCATAGGAAAATGCACAGAATCCCGGTGCAAAGGAATCTGAAAACAAAGGAAACAATTGAAAGCCATGAAGCCGACCAGTAATTGCTTATCAGCTGGTTGGCAGGGTGCCGTTTCCAGCTACCAAATGTGCGTAATGTTCAGTTCAGATATCAGTCGCAGGCAGAAATCGTTCATCAGCCATCCCAAACTATGTCGTTCCCATATTCTATTTTCCAAATATGTATCAGCTCAATGGGTGGCACAATCAACAAATCATACCCTGCCGCAAACTAGATGACATAGTGGCACACACCTCGATTCAATAGTCTTCCAAAAGTCACTCTCCCTCGAATTGGGGGGTTGGATTGCTGGTTAGGGATGGTTTTATTATTCACGCTCAAGAACCAGAGGTTCAACCCCCCCAAATTCGGCTTGTGCACGTCCAGAATGCGCACGGACAAAAACATCCGGTCCGCCACAAGGTGATCACCTTTTGGATCCCTGATTAAACATGGACCAAATCAGGGAAACCAAATCGTCAGTTGCTTCCATTTGCTTTTTCGCCCCCTGGAAAAAGCAAACAAACATTTCCAGGAGTGATGGAACCCCTTTAAAACCAACAAGGAACATACTCATTTCAGCAAATGGAAAGAAACATGGGAAACCACCCCCCCAACCACCAATCAGAGACGACCATGTCCAATGCAAGAAAGGTTGATTCATGCTTTGCTTAAATGCCAGAAAAGGGCACCTTTTTTGTTGGTTGACTTTAAAGGGGAACCCTTTCCAAAAAAAGGAAAAGGGGGCACCACTCGGCAACCGAGTTTGGTTGCAAAGGCCAAGCACCTTCCGAGCGGCTGCCTGAAGGTAAGGCCTTGGGACTTGTCCTGCGGCCGCTTGTTCCTGACCGGCGACGTGAGGACAGCACCCAGCAACGAGAGGACAACAAACAAAACGCCGGCGCCCCCGAACCCCGGTTTTCTTTTTTGGGTTGGTTTTGTCTAGTTGTATTCAACAAGCAACAAAAATGACGAATGACAAACACACAAATGTTGATATACCCAAACCTGGGAGGTTGGCACTTGTTGTAAACGCAGTGTTCCCCAGCAGGGTTTCCGAAGGACATGGACAATGGAAGTCCAGCAGGACCCAATTCAAGGAGTAAGATGTTCGAGCAGGAAATCAAACTTTGAAGTGACCTTCTTGCGAACACCAAAGAACTCCTCCCGAAGCCTATTTCCCAGTCACTCCTATTTCCCCCAGTGTTTCCTACACCAGTCTAAACATCACCCCATCCAAAGCTCGGTTGTTTTCTGCTCCCCTGCTAAAAGTTGACAACTTTTAGTGGTTTAATACGGAAAACACCATCAGTTGGCAAAAAGTTAAAGTCCTAGTGGTTTAATACGGAAAACACCATCAGTTGGCAAAAAGTTAAAGTCCTAACAGCCCTTGGCAAAATGCACCAAAGAAAGGAAACTCATTTAACAGGGCTCCTTAAAAGATACATGTTGCAACCATTTGAAACACGTTGTTTCTTCAACACCACAATAAGGGGGGGAAGCAGCCACCATTAACAAGTTGCAATGTTCCGGTGTATAATGCATCCGGATCCCTGCTTAAAAGGGGCCCAAAGGCTCAGACTTGCCGAACCCAGTGGATTGACGCAACCAAAAGCGGCAACTTTTTCTCAGTTGCCCAAAGGATCCAGAAATGAAAGGTTAACCTTTTGGGACCTTTACTAAAAATTGACCAAACATGGGAAACCAAAAGGTCAAAAGGTCGGCTTTGGGCAAGTGAGTTTTGCGTGCCAAAGTCAACTCAGGGGACTCAGTTGTCCAAAGGACCCGTTAACACAAAAGCTTCACCATTTGAAGCATTACGAAAACAAGAAGAAGAGAAAAAAGAAAAGGAAACTCAAAGGTGAAAAGGTCGATCCGAATCGAACAACTAGGAAAGAAGGTGCCGATGTGTAAAAATCCAAATTGGATCCTTCGGCCGGAACAGCTCGCTGGTCTAGGCATCACTTGCCATAAATTCCTACCTCTCGCCACTCCCCTACGAATGGATGGGCTATGGTTGGACTAAGGACTTTCCAATACAAAGAGCTCCAAAACAATGTTTTTCAAACATTGCGTATTGTTGCTAGGATGTCTTCTATTTGCGTCAGGTGTCATTGGCAAACAGAGCATGTACCTGTCACAACCATACGCCTTCAACGCCGAACCCATGAAGGATCCATGCTCAATTCAGACGGGCATGTTCAACCTCGAAACAGATTGGGCTCTTGGGCTGCCCTCACTAGAAATGGTCCCAATGTTCCAAGGGTTGATTCCCCATTATTTTCAACCATCGTTCTTTCAGAAACCGGCCGTTTCCCTGCGTTTCCGGAGGTTTTCTAGAAAGAAGGATCCCTGGAAAATAATGAGGAAGGTAGCACCAGAAATGTGAGAAAACCAAGCGATCGAAAGGCTGTCTTCGGGCAAGGGAGCGACGGGAGAACACGCCCTTTCCACCCAATCGCGCCAAGCAGCGTGGCGGCCAACTTCCACATGGACTTTGCCCGCCGCCTAAGCCATCTGAACTCGCAAGAAGCGGCACTCTGAAAACAAACGCCAGTCTGCCTGATGGGGCGGGGTAATTGCGTCGAACAAGGCGGGCACATGGTCTTGTAGCAGGTTGATGCATAAACGCTGCAGCAACCAATGAAGATTACAGAGCACCAAGACAAAAGCCATAGTAAGCCGCCTGCCAGCTGCTTTTGCTTTCAGGTCGTTGGCCACAGCCCAAAAACAAAAAGGAAGCATGACAACCAACACCCATGGCATATAAAAGGGACATCTTCAAGTGCGTGGAAGCCGTCTGAATGAGAGGTGCAAATTGCTTGTGCTACGCTGTTCTTTTTGGGCTGCGTCTGAACGGCTTGCGCACAAATAGGAGTGCCGATCATAGACCATCAACCAAGCATGAGCAGATTTTCCAAGAGGGCAGGCTCAACTTAGGTTTGCGACAACCTTGCCCTATTACTTGCTTTCACCCTGTTCCATATTAACACAGTCCACCCCAACGAAACTGTTTGCAGAAGAGCCCAGAAACAGTTGCTTTTCTGGCTTGAGTGGATTGGCCAGAAAGTCCACGTTTCGCTTGGTCAAAAGAACAGAAAGAAATAGCAGTCAAGACTCTTGGGGAGTGAGCCAAACACTGCCCAAAGCCCGCCGACAGCGCCGACCCGCCGGGCATCGCGCAAGATGCGGCTGTCGGCCTTGGCCAATTGCCTCGAGGCGTCGGTCGAAACTCGCAAATCCGCACTGAACCATCAGCCGCTTCTTTTTTTTTGGGAAGGGCGGTGACAAACTGTTTGGCTTGGTTCTTGCACAGAAGCCTTGTGCATTCGGACGCGACTCTATCGGACATACCTCGGACATCCCGCCGGTGAAAAACAAGGTCGTGCTGCGAGTCTGAGAGCACCCTCGGTGGCAATGTATCCACTGGACAAGTTGACACGCCTTGAGTTCCTTCCAGGATGCATGCAAAAACACGGCCTTTCGCAGGGGACCCTGGAAAAAATAGCTGGCAAAGGTGCTTTTGTTGGGTGGCCAGGCCACGTAAACAGCAATCCTTTCAGCCGAAAGGCTTGGTTGCAAACTCACAGGTGGGATGGGGCCATGACTTAACATGGGTACCAAAACGAGGAAATTCAACAAAACATAATTTCAGGTCTTCCGCTTTCTGCAAGTGAGAAGAACAAGTTGGGAACCTTTCTAACACATAGCGGACGCGCCATGAAACAGCTGGGCTGTCTAAGCAGAACTCGGCCTGACAAAAACAACAGGTTGTCCTAATGACTTCCCACAGACGCATGCAAGACCTCTAAGATTGGCATGGCATATGTTTCACCCACATAGGAAACCTCTCCAACATGGTCCTCTCCAAGTTTGGAGGGACCCAACCAAGCTGTTTTGGCCCCGTGTGGGCGACCAAAGCTAACATGGAAGAAACAAGCGGTCATGGACCCCTACAGGTGGAGAGGGGGGGGTTATCCCTTTCCAACCCCTTGAGAAGGCCTTCTTCTGGGCTTCTCCTTAGCTTCTCCATGGATCGGCGCCCCATGTGGGTCGGACGTGGGGCCCGGCTTGGGATTTGGCCAACAAATCGCCCGCCTGGCCAACTCCGCCGCCTGCGCCCCGAAGTCGAAGATCAGAGCCGCGCTGAGGCGGAACTCCGGGACCTGCGCGGCACGAGCTCCGCCACCGGCCGACGTGTGGCGGGTCTAGGTCCTCGAGTAAAAAAGGGTAGAATAAGGATATACCTTTTTTTCATGTTTTTTCTGTAGTCTATTTTAGTAGGGGAATCCTCCCCCAAAAAAGACACGGCAAAAGGGCACTACAGGGGGGGCGCATGCTCATGCTTTTTGCGAGTCTCAAATGCCACCGGCCAATTTCGAGTGAGTTTCCTTTTGGGGGGAGGTTGAAAGGGGAAATGTAGGGAACCCCGACGGGGCCTCCTTCTCGTCAGGTGGCTGTCAAACATTTAAAAAGGCTTTCCACAAGTGCCCGCAGCGCCCGACACCGACTAAAATGGTATGTGGTGTGCTTGTCGCTGTTGAGGCTACCCTGCTTGGGGCAACGGAGTGAAACCACCCATGTTAGATGTTAGCTTGGACTAGTCATCCTAGTCGAAAGAACATCGATCTGAAGAGGTTCCCTGAAACGATTCAATTACGCCCAAGCCGAATCGGTTCCCCGAACCGGATCTAACTGGTACGCTCCTCCTCGTTAGGACCAGGGTTGACATTTCCCCCCCCCATTTGGAGACTGGCTGTTCCCTGATGGGGCCAGTAAAGTGACATTCAAACACAAAATCGTCATGTTGAGAACCCCTCCACCCAATCATTATCCCTTTGTTTGCCCTTCACCCTCAAACAGGGTACCCTGGTTTACACACAAGTACACACACACACATACCTGTTCTTGCAACACCTGACATATGAAGTATTACACCTGGGTGGATGCCCCTACCGTTGCAAATGATCAAATTGTATGTTGGTATGTTGGTATAAAGTATTCAAACCTGCTTGTGGAATTCAATCTTGACCAGGCAAAACACCAAAATTGCACTAGGTGATGGATCCTGAATAATACGAAAAGCTGCAAAACACATGATGAAATATGGGAGTCCAACCAAAATGAACACGAGGGTTCAACCACGGCTGGCAAAAAACAACAGTAAATACAAGCATCCGTGCTTGCCCTACTTGCAATGTTTACGCACGGGTCGGGCAAAAACAGTCCTGAAGCTTTTCGTTTGCCACCAGAACGGTTGTCCCAAACAGTTTAAAGTCTCAGATGCCCAGTGGCCATGGGAAACAAAGAATCGGCATCCTGTTTTGGTTGGTTGACGTTCAAGCCCTTCCCGAAAAAAGGTTGAAAAATGGGCGCACCAATCAAGACACGCCCACATGTCGGTACCTGGGGTCTCCATGGCCCTTAAAAAATGGGGTCATTACCAAAAATAATGGGGTCATTTACCAATTCTTAAAGGGTCAGAAGGAGACTCCAGGTACCCATTCCATCCCATTCACAAACATGGAACCCATCACTCTGCGGGCTCTGGATTTTCCGTTTCGAGCAAACATAACGCTCGATTTGGAAGTTCAGGACCTCAGGCCGCGAGTTTAGGGCATCCGCGGCTTTCCGCCTTCTTCACCCCGGCGGAGTCGTTGGCAAAGCGGCAGAAGGTGCGGTAGATCTGGCGGACCTCCTGGCGACTAGGTGAGGAGAAAGGAAGCCAAAGCGGAAACCAACAGCTAATAGGTATATGGCCATGGGTCATAATCCCGGTTACCCCCCAGTGAAGATCCTAATCCCCACTAAAAAAGACTACAATAGGCGGTGCACCTACCCCAAAATGGTACCATTGGTTTTGACCCACAGCCATATGCCGTTGTTTGCTCCAAAGAGAAGCCGACACAAAGCAACATAAATCAAAGGGAAATACCAATCCCGAAGTGTTCTTGTGACCAAAGTTTTTGGTGTGGGTTCAGGGTTCCTGGCGGAATTCGGCATCGGGAAGATCCACCCTCACCCTGTGTTTCGTCTTGGGGAGGTCTTCCCGGCTTTCTTGGGGGAGGTGGGGGGATGTTTCTCACTTCCCGAGCAGACTTCGCAAAACAATAGGTCCAAACTTTTGTCACTCGAACGACCATCCCAACAAGCTTAAGTCTTTAGGTCCTCTGATTTGTGATTTTTCAGGCCTGTTGTTTGTTCGGCTTCCTGAAGGTAGAGGACATGATATATAATCTTTGTTCTTACAAACTCTCAGTGAATCCCAGGGGATAGTTCAATTTGGGTCATTCCCTCATTCATCCAATGTGTAATCTTTAGATGGTGTCATTGACCGTCACATGTTGCTCTTGTCGTCGTAGGCACTCGTTCCGTTCAAGTTTAGGGCTCTGATGGGAGTGGAAGAGACTAAAGTTGGGTTGCTCTTCTTGACCCGTTCGGCACCCACAGCCCCGAGTTAGCTTCTTTTCATTGGTAGTTCCAGGTAAACTAAGTCACGAAGTCTTGGGAGCCCGGCCCTCTTGCTTTGCTTTCGACACTGGGACATCCGCTGTCCCTCCTTGTGGCTGAAGCCATCCGTCTGGCTGTAGACCAGCAAAAGGGACAAAAACTCGTTGAAGTCCAGAGTGCCTGGCCGAGCGCGAAACAACAACAAACATTGCACAATTTGAGAGTTCCAAGGCAAATCCTGTCAAATGCATAGTTTGTTCATCTCGGGAACCCCTGGGAATCACGTCGAGGGCGCTGCATCTGAACTGCAAACAGGCAGGAGCAAAGTCGTGCAGCAGGGGCCCGGGTTGACAGACTCTGTCCAAGAAAAACGGCCTCCCCGACGAGTTCTTCACTTGCAACGTTCTGCCGAACTGCAGACCAACCAAAAATGCAGCACCCTGGTGCTTGCTTGTCAACAAAAGGGCAGCGATGGACGCCTTTCGGGCCTTGAGATGGAATGAGCCAAAATGAGAAAGCCAACAGAGGGGTTCTCGATATAGTGGTCCCCTAAAATGGCTGGGTTCCTTCTAACTCCCCTTTGGATGCCAAAAGTAGATTCACCGCTTGAAGAAAACATGTCTTGGAGCTCGGGCTGCGCTTGGCCGAGCTTGGGCTGAATAAAACCTGCCTGGACGATCAATGGGATATCACTGATATCACCCAATAATTGTGTGGGTGTAAAACCCAACTTTTAAGGGCAACACACTTTTAATGGAACTCTGAGGGTTCAGGTCGAGGCCTTTTGGGGTGGATTCCATTTCCGCACCCACCAATTTGTTCCAAGGGATGACTGTCTCACAAAGGACCCAGAACCTAACGATGATTAGTCTATTGGGGCCACCAACAATATGGGTGCCAACCAAAAAGGTCAGACGGTCAGACCTGGCCGATTTGCTTTGGGCATGGCCGCGAATCGAGTCACTCGCGCACTAAAATGCCGAGCCTGAGAGGTTGGTGTCCACGGCTTCAATGAGCCTCGCTTCGGCGCAGCTCTGTTTGGCAGAATTCGCCACAAACCCAAAAACTTGGTTGCTGCAGCGACCCCTGCAAAAAGTGGAAAACTTCTTGGGGGTTGTGGAAAACACCTTTATTTCCCAAAAAGTTAAAGTCTAAAGATCCAACCCAATAGCAGTCAAGAACAATGACGACCACCGATTTACCGACTTACCCCTGGTGATCTGGATTGACGGGAATTGCAATGCCCGGACCTCCCACCAAGGAGTACGACGATATCTTTCCTTGCACCTTGAGTTGCTTCAGGTGGCATTCAGACAAAGGTATGTACCAGACATGTCCATTCAGCACCGCTGAGGAGGAAGCTCAGCGTCTCAAGAAACAAAAGCCAAAACAAGCCGCCCCAGCTAGCAGGTCCAATATACAAAGGCCACTTGATGGGGAAAAATACATGGGTGAAGAACCACACTGCAAAGTCCACGCAAACCTCTGCTTTCCAACGTGCTGTGCTGTTCGTAGAACTCAATTGAGCAGCAAGTGGTGTCAAGGAATGTCACAACTAGGTCCTCCAGTCGAGAGGTTGGAATAAGGGTACCTTTTTGCTTTCTGTAGTCTATTTTAGTTGGGAGAGCAGGGCACTACTGGGGGACCTAGACAACATGACACCGCCGGTGCAAAACGCAAACGCAAGAAAACACCAGGTGTTGGATAATTAGCAGGCCTGCGCAATTCACATCACACACATCTTGGTTGTTGTTGACCCCCCTGCAAAAAGTTGAAAACTTGTTTGGGGGGTTTAGTGGAAAACCAAACTGGATTTCAACCAGAAGGTTAAAGTCTAAAGATCCGTTGCCCAATAGCAGTCAAGGAGAGACCCCCACACATCGGGTTCTGAGGGCTGGTCTAATTAAAGATCCGTTACCCAATAGCAGTCAAGACATGCCGCAGACCCGCTTGGAAGCCCCCCGCTCGGAGGCGCGCGCCTCTGCAGGGTGCCCCTAAAGGGCGAACAGCCCATCGCCTCGCAGACCGACGGGCAAAAAAAACACGGGCTACGTGTGGAGAGCGATACCCAAAGTCTGATCCGAGTTGTTTTGGAAAGGATTCCTCTTGGGCCCTCCAAAATGGAGGCATTCCTGTGAGGTTTCGTTGCTTTTGGAGAGTGATTTGCAGGGGTTTGAATCGGTGAATCAATGCATGGGAGCCCAAGATATACCGGGAATGGAGCCAGGATGCGGAGTGATACCGCTGCGAAATATATCCGCATTGCAACCTCGAGCTTTTCTTGTTTAAGCCGTGTCCATTAATGTCCAAGTGTTAAACAAAACTGACTCCGCATGTCAACAGCTTGGATTTGGAGTAGCATGAAGGAGTCGGGAATTCAGCACATCATGTTCAAAGTGAAGGATGCTTGCCCCCCAAACAAAAAACCCCTGACCCAGCTTAAGAACACAAGAGGCCCAAATTTGGTGCGTGCGTGTTTTCCCCCTTTGCTCTCCTGGTTCTCACCCGTCAAAAAAAAAAAAGAACCCACAAAAAACAAACAGAAAACGGCACCCCCCCAAGAAAAACCGACTCGGTCCAACGGCACCGCCGCAAAAACAAGAAAAACAAAAGAAGAAAGACAAAAAACGCTTGCCCAGCGCTTGGTTCCGCCGGAAGTGCCCCGGGGGGTTCCCAAAATCGATCTGGCGCCTCCAGGACTGCCTGAACCTCGGAGGTGGACAGCTCCCCGGAGTCGTCCTCGTCGAACTCGTCGAAGGCGGACCTGCCGAGGATGGAGCGAGGCGTCGGCTTCTCACGCCGAAGCGATCTGGCAGGCGGGAAAGGCTCAGAGCCTGGAGTCTCCTTCTGGCCCTTTGAAAATGGCTCGACCCCATTATTTTGGGGAATGACCCCATTTATTAAGGGTCATGGAGACTTCAGGTGGATTCACACAAAAAAGAAGCGACGCTTCACCGAAACATTTGTTAAGCCTCTAGTAAGCCAGGGAAGTGAATTGAGTGGTTCCCCCAAAAAAGTCGAAACGTTGAGCGTAGCTCTACCCCAACTGGAAACTATGGGGCGGAAACCGCAGGAGTCCCAAAAGCAGGCTCCTCCAACATTGCTGTTTTGGTGGGGAATGCTAATCAGGTGTTTCTCGGGGCGGGCTTTGCTTTCATTTAAAGCCAACGGTGGTCCCAACAGCGTCACCTCAGCACGATTGACTTATTTACCAGGACCCCTTGGTTTCATTTCTGTTTTGCCCGGACCCCTTGGTTTCATTTCTGTTTTGCCCGGACCCCTGGGTTTCATTTCTGTTTTGCCCGGACCTGGTTTCATTTCAAGAGACTTCGAAGTCGGCCCTATGTGCCACATGTGCCACATGTGCCCAAGTCTGCAGAAGGAGCCGTGAGACAAATGACCCTTTCGACAGGCCGGTGGCTGGAAAACTCGGACCTCAGCGAAAAAAACATAGACCGTTTTTGCCTGGGTGGAAAACAAAGGGGAACCCAAAAAAGCAAAAAAGCAAAAAGGGGAGCTGATTCTAGGGGAGTTCCATAGCGGAAGTATACCCCCAAGTTCCAAGGCAATACTGTGGAACAGGAAGTCGTATTTCGACGTGGGGTCAGAGACACTCCAAGTGGAGTCCGTTTAAGCCTTTGGTGAACCTCAGCTTGCGCCTAAAAATCACGGATGGCAAACGTATTATCCAGGGGTGCTTGCATATACCCCTTTTACATACCCCTTGGACAAATGAACCCAAAAGGCCTGCTGATGCTCATACCCCTCTCCCCAAAAGGGGTATATACCCGGGTTGGAAACCATGGAAGCCAAGGCGTATGCACAAGGGGTATGTACTTGCACCTTTAGATGCTAGGAACTAGCATTGAACAGGTCATGGAAAAGGGTTCTGGGAGGCTCGAAGGTGAGGTGGGATGTTGTTTTCGTGTTTTCTTTTGGGGGGGGGTATGTTCTGGAAGAATTGAAACATATCCATCGTGGATTGTTGCTGTGGAACATTGGCTTGCATGTACCAAACCAAAACCAAATCTAATGTGTTTCACCCAAAGAGATGGTGTGGTTTCAGGGTGCTATGAAAGGGTTTGAGGTTGAGACAACTGTTGAAGAGTTTTGCAGCTGCAAATAGTGAAGCAAAACAGCCGCTTTGGTGAAATCAGCGCTACTTCTACACCTTGATGTGAGCAGTGCCAGAACCAAGCAGCCAGCCAACCAACCAAATGAATCAATGACATAAACCACTGATTGGTTGATAATAAACAAGCGAACTAGCCAAATCAGCCAAACCAACCTACTACTGGTCGGCCAGCTATCCAAATGCTGACCACCCACGCAAAAGTAGTTGTGCAAGTTCATGTTGAGAGGGTGCAAACAACACAACACAAACATGCGAACAAGTGTTGAAAACTGCCAGGTACCGTACGTTGTTCAGCCCTTGCGACGACCTGGAAGATACGATCAACCCCTATACCCTAGCATCGGCTAGTATTGATTTTTCCTCAGCATGCAGCATCGGCTTTCAGTGCTTTGGGGGCTACGAGTTGTTAAGTGCACTAAAACTCGCTGACGTGGCCACGCAACACGCATAAGGCAGCAGGCAGCGGCGCCCGGACTTGCTTCGCGCGATTCAGAAACAGGCTCGGTCATCAGGAAGATAAGCTTGATGAGTGGGTGCGAGGATAACATACCAAAGACAGGGCGTGCTTCCGGGTAGCTGGTTGGATATGGCCGGCATGAGTATCGGTTAGGGCATCGACCGAGTATCGCTTTGAGTATCGATTGGTTCGGGGCCTGTAAGTTTCCCCCTCTGGAATTTCGGTTTAGCAATTGCAACTCGCGCAGTTTTTCAACACATGCTGACAAGAACCAAGACTAATTATCTCAGTCGCCCCTTAGGGACCTGGAAATGAAAAGGCGATCACCTTTTGGGGCCTTTAAAGATGGGATCCCAAAATCGGAAGACCCAAATTCGATTCATTTCAGGTCGATTCGCTTTGGGCGGCTGAGGCTATTCGAACCTTGAGCCCATTGCATCTCTTCCGCTGGGGCTTCTGGTTCGTTTTCCCAATGCGTCGGACCTGCGAAAAAAAGTGAGCCGAATGGACGGCCCCTTTACTCACCTGCCGAGTGGATGGCCCAAAAAGAATCCAAACTTTTATATTTGCCACTAAAATGGTCTTCCCAAAAAGTTTAAAGTTCATGAACTCAGGAAGTGCGGGGTTTTATTTCGACCCACATCTTGGTTGACGTTGGGTTAGGGGGGCAAGAATCAAAAGTTTAGCAGTTGAGTGGTTGGATGTCCCCACTAGACCACAAGAAGCAAAAATGGAAAATGTTTCCCAACAACAACCAAGTAATGAAAAGTCGCCGGGTTTTATTTCGACCATGGGGAAGACCAAAACCGGTCGAGTCCCAGTCCCTGCCTGATCGTCTGCTGCTCATGCCTGGCATACTTTGTCAGGAAGGTCGTAAGCTCCGCCAAGTCGATCGAGGAATAAGGCGTGATGTCCGCCATAATCTGAGTGATCATGTCCTGGCAACACCCTCCAGCTTGAGAAGTGATCCACCTACCCTAATTTTATTCTGACGGGCTGGGGATGCATGAACAATAACTGAGTAGAAATTCGCCTAGTTGGGGTCAGAAGCCTTACAATATTGAAGCTTGGGTAGTTTGCGCAGATAGCGGAATCTTTACAAACTCTATACCCACAGGTCCCACCAGGAAATGTATTACTGCACCTGGGTGAAGCCTGGGTCCAGTGAAGCCACAAGAGTCGATGTTGGGAGTTGGGGCGATGCCTAGGTCCAAATAGAAGGCACGCTGCTTTTGCTCACTTGCCCAAAGGACCCAGAAATAAAAGGTTAACCTTTTGGGGCCATGACTAAAAATGGACCGAAACTGGAAAACCAAAAGGTTAAAAGGTCGGCTTTGGGCAACTGAGTTTGGGTTCACACGGGCGTGCCTGGCTCCTCGCTCTTCGGGCCATTGGAACCCTTTTTCTGGGCCGCGGAACTTCCACCTCTTTCCAATCGAGGCTAGGTCCTCCAGTAGAGAGGTCCGAATAAGGGTACCCGTTCCCCCCCCCCCCCCCCGTTTTTTTTTCTCCATTTTTTACTGTAGTCTATTTTAGTAGGGGCTTGCCCTCCCCCACAAAAGGGGGAGAGAAGGGCACTACTGCGGGACCTAGGAAGACTTGCCGCGCGCTATGCCAAACCAAAATGCGGCCCCTTACTCGTTAAGTTACAAGCCCGCTTCACGGCTCCTCATCGATGGTCATGTACCCCAAGGAGGTCATCAGTTCATACAGGCCTCGGATAGGGACAACGTGCTTCGCAAGTGGGTTGATGACGTCCTCGGGTGTTCCTGGTGTCCACTGCACATTGCATTGCTGACTCTGCTAGCATGCTCTGGCCATCTCGAAATCCGTGACTTCTGCTGATCAGGCCGAAGCCAGCTCGAATCATGTCATGCCGAAATTGCCACTGCCAGGCAAAGTAAAACAGTGGCAGGGAATGAACATATCAACCAGCAACACAGATTGCAACCTCGGCAGCAAAGCGGAAATGAACAACACTGACTTTAGTTAGCCTTTGGAGGGAATGACTGACCATTCGTCCAACACTGGCAAACCACAGGTCCCTTAAGGCAGATATGCCTTGCAGCGATGCGCTTCTTCGCTTTGACTTGTTTGGGCCCTCTACAGTCATTGAGGTCCCAGCGGTCCATGTGCATGTCGTTTTGGCCCGGGGTCTTGTACATCTGAAACTGCTCCTGCGGCGCGCATCGAAACCACTTATGCGGGAACGTCCATGCAGACACTTGCAACTCCTCACTTGTTCAAAGGACCTGAACATGAAAGGCCAATCTTTCTTGGGCCTTGACGAGGAACACACACAACAGGGGAAACCTAAGGTCAAATGCGGTCGATCCGATTTGGACAAGCGAGACTCGCCTCGAACCACACCCCTGCAGCCCCCAGAAGACATCAAGGACGTCACCAGGTGTTGATTGGGTCTGGGATCCGTGTATCATAAATACTTGGCCTACTTGCTGCACGCATTGGATCAATTTGGGTGACTGTACCTGAGGACGCCATCCTGTTCGAAGGTCAACTGGAAGAATTTTACATTTCCCTGCCCTGTTTAAGAAAGGACCCTGTTTGCTTTGCCGACGTGGAAGGTTGCCCAAGCGTAACTTGTGTGCTCAATGCGCATCTTACAGGCGCAATATACCCCAATTGTCTTGAGTAAAAACAGTTGTTTGAACGCTGTAGCTATGTATGTCATATACACGTATATTGTACGCACATTCTATCCACGATCGTACGTGAACAATTTCACCTATTCCTATTCAGGCCATATATTTGGGTGTGTCTTTTTGGTGGGTACCCTTTGTTTGGTGGGTTTACAGGTAAACAAAAAGGAACACCCATGATTTTGGCGGGTTCCCCCCCCCCAAGCACATTCAGTGTGCCCGTCTTTTGCCAAGCCCGCGAAAGACAAACATCATTGTCCTGGATCCTATCGAGCTCCCTCTGCGAGAAGCCAGCTTCACCCTCAGACATCGACAGTCGGGAGTGCAATGGCAGCCTAAATCAGCCAAGCTTTGCGTTCGTGCCTTGCTTGTTTAACTGGGCTGTCCTCAAATCCCCCGCTAAATGTTTAACTCTTAGTGGGTCAAATGGAAATCTGACTAAACACTAGGCTAAAGAGCTTAGGGGATGCTGGGAACCAAGTTATATGGCTGCAAGGGGGGGTTAGCTTTCGAAGGTACGGTGCTGTTGAAAAAGATTGGCAAGGGACTTCAACCGGGACCACCAAGTGGGTCCGCATGTAGACACAACCACATGACCACTTCGTTCCCATGACTCAACCCCGGGCAAGTGGACACACAACGAAGAGGCTGCCATGGGTAGCAAAAAAACACACGCGCCATTTGAACAGCATACCCTCTGCGGACATTAGTTGCACAGACATCGCTCTCGCTGTGGGAAGGCGAACATGTGCAACTTTCGGACATCAAGTGCGTGCCTTCGACCCACAATGGCCTCCATTGCTCGCCAAAGACACCGTTCGAAACCACTCGACCACCATGCACCCACTTGTCAAGGCACACACACATTCAAGGGTCCGCCCTTTCAAACCAGTCAACAAGCAAAACTGTCCGCACGACTCGATATGGAACCACAGCAGTTGATTTTTCGGTCAATTTGAGTCAACGAGTCCTTTGCGAACTGCAACCCGGCTCAACAATGCGGCCCAGCCACCATGTTGAGGCGCTCGATGATAAGGCCATAGTCAGGAGGCTTCAAAAGCTCTGCCACTTCCTCGGGTCAAGGGCAACGACAACTTGTCCCGGCAAGGCTTGCCAGCGCTAACCAAACTACCTGGAGTCTCCTTCTGACCCTTTAACAATGGGTCAATGACCCCATGATGTTGGGTAATGACTAAACATTTTCTAAGGGTCAGAAGGAGACTCCAGGCATTTGGGAACCCCGGATTAATAAGCCCCTGGTTGATTTTTTTTTTCGGAGGGGGTGTCCCCTTGGTTGAACCATACAATACTTGGTTGCCCCTTAAGGACCCAACAAAAATTGACGGCGATCGCCTCTTGGGGCCACTCAAGCCGCACCGCAGGAAATGTTTGGTTCTCTGAGTGTGTTTGCTTGGGTGACTCAAAAGGAACCGAACATGAGAACCCAAAAGATGTCCCAGCTGGTAGCTGGCCCCAGGTTTACTTTTCTCACAGCCCTGCCTCCAGTGGAGAGGTCAGAATAAGTTGGTACCGTTTCCTTTTTATGTAGTATATTTTAGTAGGGGAACCCTCCCCCAAAAAAGAAAGTGTAAAAGTTGGCACTACTGGGGGACCTAGTGTGCAAACCCCTCATTCACGAGTGGGCATGCGCCGAAAGCGTGGCTGCCTTGTACAACCGGCGGTGTCTTGCTGCCAAGGCGCCTCTGGATCTCTCTCCTAAGTGCACCGAGCCCGTAGCCTTCCAACATGCCACCTTTGAATGTGTCAAGCCTGGACCCTTAGCCACGAATGCATATGAGGAGCGGACGAAACACTTTACTTGGCCCTAGTACTTTTTTGAAGGTTATCGTTTTTGGGGGAGACCTTATCGTTTTACAGTGTTTTCGAACTTTGGCAAGTCCGGCTCGAAAATCGCAACTTTGTAGTACAAGTCTAGTACGCGAACTTCCGTAGCTCCAGCTCCAAAATCGCAACTTTGTAGTACAAGTCTAGTACGCGAAGTACACTTCCGCAGCTCCAGCTCGAAAATCGAAACTTTGTAGTACAAGTCTAGTACGCGAGGTACACTTCCGCAGCTCCAGCTCGAAAATCGCAACTTTGTAGCACAAGTCTAGTACGCGAAGTACACTCCCGCAGCTCCAGCTCGAAAATCGCAACTTTGTAGTACAAGTCTAGTACGCGAAGGACACTTCCGCAGCTCCAGCTCGAAAATCGCAACTTTGTAGCACAAGTCTAGCAAGCGAAGTACACTCCACAGCTCCAGCTCGAAACTCGCAACTGTGTAGTACAAGTCCAGTACGCGAAGTACACTTCCGCAGCTCCAGCTCGAAAATCGCAACTTTGTAGTACAAGTCAAGTAACTTCCGCAGCTCCAGCTCGAAAATCGCAACTTTGTAGCACAAGGCTAGTACGCGAAGTACATCCAGCTCGAAAATCGCAACTTTGTAGTACAAGTCTAGTACGCGAAGTACACTTCCGCAGCTCCAGCTCGAAAGTCGCAACTTTAAATTTAGTAGTACAAGTCTAGTACGCAAAGTACACTTCCGCAGCTCCAGCTCGAAAATTATACAAGTCTAGCACGCGAAGTCCGTTACGCAGCTCAAAAACCGCAACTTTGTAGTAAATAAAAGAATAGTACGCGAAGTACACTCCCGCAGCTCCAGTTCAAAAATCGCAACTTTGTAGTACAAGTCTAGTACGCGAAGTACACTTCCGCAGCTCCAGCTCGAAAATCGCAACTTTGTAGTACAAGTCTAGTACGAGAAGTACACTTCCGCATCTCCAGCTCGAAAATCGCAACTTTGTAGCACAAGTCTAGTAAGCGAAGTACACTCCACAGCTCCAACTCGAAACTCGCAACTGTGTAGTACAAGTCTAGTACGCGAAGTACACTTCCGCAGCTCCAGCTTGCAAATCGCAACTTTGTGGTACAAGTCTAGTACGGGAAGTACACTTCCGCAGCTACAGCTCGAAAATCGCAGCTTTGTGGTACAAGTCTAGTACGCGAAGGACACTTCCGCAGCTCCAGCTCGAAAATCGCAACTTTGTAGCACAAGTCTAGTAAGCGAAATACACTTCCGCAGCTCCAGCTCGAAAATCGCAACTTTGTAGTACAAGTCCAGTACGCGAAGTACACTTTCGCATCTCCAGCTCGAAAATCGCAACTTTGTAGTACAAGTTTAGGGCGCGAAGTACACTTCCGCAGCTCCAGCTCGAAAATCGCAACTTTGTAGTACAAGTCTAGTACGCGAAGTACACTTCCGCAGCTCCAGCTCGAAAATCGCAACTTTGTAGTACAAGTCAAGTACGCGAAGTGCACTTCCGCAGCTCCAGCTCGAAAATCGCAACTTTGTAGTACAAGTCTAGTACGCGAAGTACACTTCCGCATCTCCAGCTCGAAAATCGCAACTTTGTAGTACAAGTCAAGTACGCGAAATACACTTCCGCAGCTCCAGCTCGAAATCGCAACTTCTTAGTACAAGTGTCGTATTTACGAAGCACACCTTGGCAGCTCCAGCTCGAAAGTTTCGACTCGCCTTCTCGTTTTACGGTGGCCACGCAAGGGTCCCACCCTAACTCAGTTGCAACTGCAGGGGTTATTATTAGAGCCGTGTGTTAGCTAAGGGTTATCGTTTTTGGGGGAGACCTTATCGTTTTCCATGGCTTTGGCATGTGTTATGCAAAAACGTACCCCGCCTTGATAAAGTGGGTTCGTGTGTTTTGTCCGTGGCTCATATATATACCTAGGCCCCCTGACCCTTGCTTTTTTCTTGGGGCTTTCCCGATTTCCAGTCTTCCCCTCAAAATTTCAAGTAGCACAAAATGAGCTCAACCTGTCTGTTTTGAGATCTTAACAAGAGACCCAACGGGAAAGCAACAAAACAAACAGATCAGATTGGGCAACTGAGTAACACAACAAGGGGGCCATGGCCGAAAAAAGGCCCGTCACAGGATCATTTCCGTGGACAGAATGGCAACCGATTTGGAGGCACTCCCTCGAAACAAAGGCAAACTCCACCTAAGCGGGTTCCCGCAGCAATTTGGATCAAGAGCTCCGTGTGGCACCCAAATGGCTCCAAAGAAGTCCCGATGCGTCACCGCAAGTCGATGGCAATTTCGGTTGTTGCAACTTGACCGTACTGAGAAGCTCTTTCCATTTTGACCTGGTTTGAGCACCAAGAAACATGACACTTTCCGCTTGGTTGCTGTTGACCCCCCCGCAAAAAGTTTGACTTTTTGGGGGTTTAGTGGAAAACCCCTGGACTTCACAAAAAGTTAAAGTCTAAAGATCCAACCCAATAGCAGTTAAGTCCGGTACTGGCTGCGTGACACACACTGGTTGCAATACATCCACTGGTTCCAGGGCAGAAAGCCTGGAGGAGCCCTCTGCCAAGGATCTCGCCCAAGCTCGGCCGCCTTGATGGCCTCATCATCCCTCTTCCTGGGCGCCGGCGAAAAAAGTCGACAGAAAACAGGGTTGCTGTTGACCCCCCTTCAAAAAGTTGAAAACTTTTTGGGGGTTTAGTGGAAAACACCTGTATATCCCAAAACTTAAAGTCTAAAGATCCAACCCAATAGCAGTCAAGAGAAAACAGGGATAGGGGGTGTGACACGAATCTGGGATCAACAGAAGCCATCAAGAAAAGGCTTAATTACCATGGCATGGTGCTGAGCGTGCTATGGGAAGAGCCCCCCTGTCCAAACCAAACATCGGCAGGTTAGTGGCCATCGGGACACAAAGGACGCCTTTGTTGTGCTGGTTGCTTCACGCGTTTCAAACAAGTGCGAAAGCACTGGACGGCTGAGACACCAACATGGTAGCCTAAGGTCGGCTGAAGCAGCTCTTGCCATGGTTTACCCATTTCAAGACAGCCTGAACCACCCTAAATGAACTTTGGTGGTTTCCCCATTTCATTGGGGATGCACCGGGCTTTAAGCCGTTTGTGGGACCCTGGGGCAGGAGAAAGAGAACCCTGGCTGACCAAGAAGTGGGAGCTCGGCGACTCGGGTTTTCATGAGGCAACCCTGAGTTGGTTTGGGGCACTGGGGATTTGAACCTCTAAGAGGTTCTTGAGGGCAAATGGGACACCGCCCAACCTCCACACCACCAAGCCGGCTCCAAACTGCCATTTGAGGGTGCTGCGGGAATGTATCCTCACTTTCAAAGTGGATTTACCAGAAAAAGTCCAAACTTCTTGTTTACCACTAATCATGGTCTCCCCAAAAAGTTTAAAGTCAGGAAGTGTCTAGGGATTGATTCCCTATTCTTTTCAGCCATCGTTCTTTCCAAAAACCATCCATTTCCCCAGGGTGTTTGGTGGTTTTCTAGAAAGATTCGGATCCCTGGAAAGAATGGGGAAGTTACCCCTAGAATCTGAGGGTCTTCGTATTACACCCTGGGATTACACCCTTGGGAAATGACCCGGAATTGGAATGGTTCAACATAACACGGTTTTATCCGGAGATGTACTTAAATGGGGTCAATACACAGTGGGTATATTTTTCAGGGTGTAATACAAAAACCCTTAGATGGAAAGTGAGTAGCCAAGGAGATGCCGATTGCAGCAAGGTTCCGCTTCTGATCCTCCGTGAGGGCGCGGGACTCCTTGATGCTGGGCTTCTTCGACATGCTCAGGTCCTCACAGGGCATCGCCAGAGGAGCCCCTGGCTTAATGCATGAAACTCCCCTACTGTGGATGGTTGCGAAATCCGCTTCTCGCACCACTTGGAAACCATGGCTGAAACCATTGGTCATTGGTATTTACAGGGGAATCCATCATTCCAGGGCTTCTTAGGTGGTGCAGGAGTTCGTCCATCCACAGTAGGTCCTCCAGTAGAAGAGGTTAGAATAAGTTGGTACTGTTTCTCTTTTTTGCTGTGGTCTATTTTGGTAGGGGAACCCTCCCAACCAAAAAAGGCGTGAGACAGGGCACTACTGGGGACCTAGTCCCTATAGGTGAACAAGTGAACCAGCCGTTGCAAACAAAAGCACGGGAATTGCAGTGGGATTGCTGGTTGCCTACGGTGATCGCTGGGATTTGCGTGCCCAAAGGTTTCAACTAAAATCTCTTCACCAAACGCGACTCGGCGGAATCCCAAACGCGCGGAAGCACAAGGAGCCCAGGAATCCCCAACAGCCCAATGGAACTCCCTAGAGCCCATGGCTGCGCGTCTGTCCGAGAACCAACAAAAAAAAAACATAGGAAGCATAAAGCAAGAACGAAAGAAACGGAAACAAAAGAGGCACAACAGGCCCTGCTCATGTGCTCGTGCCCCAAAACCAGCCAGTTTATCTTCAAACACATGAGAGTTTTGCAGACTAGGGGGCTTCAACAGGCGGGCCCCGGCGACAACTGCAAGTTCTTCTCCTCATCTTTGGTGTCCCGGAGAGCGCTTGCAGCAAGCACGGTGAGCCTGGACCAAAATGAGTCATAATCAAAACCCGGTATCAAAATGGTCTACCCAGAACCATGTAAAGAACTAAGAAGGCGGCCGCAGCTATTTAAGGTTGGGATTATCAATTATCCCTTACTAACGTTCATCTACCCAGGTTTTGATTGTGGCTCAATTGGGAGCCCGGACAACGCTCAGGCTTCTAGCTTAGGCCCCGGCCGCGACATTCGGGCGATCTCGCCCTCGTTCGCTTGCAGAGCATTCTGCTTTTCAGCTTCCGCCTGACGGCTGAAGGCAATCGTCCACGTTGCCTTCACATGACCAGGCAAAGGACTATGGACCCTATGGTCCAGCAGGGGGGGCCTCAAAATGGCTTGTTTTTCAGAAGGAATGGGTGGGGGTTCTGCATTGGGTCCAACTTGAAGCCTGGGAGAAAGGCAAACGCAGAGCTTGTGTCTTGAAGCTGGGTCTAAAGGGGCCGCCCCAAAGAGCAGCACTCCTCTCCATAGGGAAGCTCTGAGCCCTCTCTTTCAGCAAAGAATTCTTGCCTCCAAAGCCCTTGGAGATGGGCCATGGGTCAAAATGTTTCACCACCAGGATATGAACCGCAGGTTTTGGCCCATGCTTCCACATAGGGTTCCATTTGGGGTACCTATTTTTAAGCCACAGCCACATGAAACTTTCGACGGTTCAGTCTGCCCGAGACCCCTCAAAGAATTATGGATTTGGGGCAGCGAGACTGGTATCTTGAACTGGGGGACCCTCTCAGAACAAAGGCGGCCGTTTCTGTCGCTTTTCCCGCTGACACATCGAGCCAAGAAGGAATGCCCTCTTTCCAACAGCGGAAGTGGACAGCACTTGGCAGAGAACAGTGGTCTTCCCACACCCTCTTGGCAGCTTCTTCCATGATTGAAGCAGGGCCGCCAGAAAGGGACCAGGGAATCCTTGTCTCTTCGACCTGTTGCGCCCACGAACCAAACAAAATTTTAGCATACGGGCAACCTCAAAGTCTTCGGGCTTGCAGAAACCAACAGGTCCCGGACCCGAGTCCTGGCAAGTCTCCCACGGGGCCTTGAGGCGCTCTTGCTCTGCAAGCTCCTGACACACGCCCTCGCAATCCAATCGTTTCGAGCTAAGAGTCCTCTGAGCAGAAGCAAAAGTGGCTGTGGCTCACAAAGCCGGTACCAAAATCAACCCTGGTAAGTGGAAACATGGACCAAAACCTGCGTAACCCCTCCTGTTCAATTCTGAGCCACACCCAAGTGACAACGGATCTCTATGTTCAAGCAGTGTGCTGACCAATGCTGTGGTGCCGACCCCGCGGACCAATTCGGGGTGGACAATCAAAAGGGCGCCCGTTTACCTTGAGCTCCGTCCAAAAGGCAGTCCTTTCCGATTCTTAGGGCGCACTTAGCCTTGGCAGGCGTCACAGCTTGCCATGTGCTTGCCAGCCCATGCAGGCACATTTGCCTGTGGACAATCAACGCAACAGCAACATCAAACTTTGACTGCACCATGCAAACAAACAGGCAGGCAAAACCAAACCCGACAAAAAACACATGTGTGAAGAGGGGGAAGGGACTTTTTGCGAAGAGCCTCGAGGGCAGTCCTTTTGATCAGGCGGAAGGGAACCCAATGGACATGTACCCGCCAACAAAGACAACAAAATGAAATGTCCGACCTTCCTTGGCCAACTGTTCCTGCTAAGTACCCCTCGCTTCAGATCTGTTAGGCAAGGACGCAAGTGGTAATGATAGGGGGTGTTCCCCTAGATAAGTAAGAATCCCAACTAAAAGGGGACACCCCCTCCTATTTAATCAACCAGGGGCTTATTAATCCGGGGTTCCCAAATGCCTGGAGTCTCCACGACCCTTAAAAAATGGGGTCATTACCCAAAATAATGGGGTCATTGACCCATTTCTAAAGGGTCAGGGACACTACAGGTGGTTATTGCATGTGATCCCCTGCACTGTCCTCCTCCATGACGAGGTCGTTATAATCCGTCATGACCTCCACCAGCGACGTGTACCCCGAGATGGTGTTGCGGTTCACATACGTCAAATCCACGATGGGCAGCAGCCTGGGCCGAGTTGCGAATTTGCGACCCCCAGGTCTTAGACTCAACCTTCACCACAAGCCTGTGTGACCTTCTGAGGAGCTCTGAAGGTTGATGCAACTTTCAGTGACCCCAGAAACCGTTGCGCCAACTGCATGTCAATGTGATTTTCTTACATGTGTAAGCAAGCTCCCATTGTTTAAGCAGCCTCCATGTGGGTTTAAGTCTTCATGGAGGCCTGGTGGCCAATAAACAAATTAAGCGCAACCCTGCCACAAACCACCAAGGTTGAAAAACCGAAGCGGGGGCCGAAAAGGACCTTACCTTGCGAGAGACTTGGGGTGGTCACGCGTAGGGTGCCTCTTGACTTGCTGGATCCCCGTAGAGGAGCTACAAGGGATGCTTCAGTAGGGGCCATTCCCTCACTCCCAACGGAGCTACGGTCAAAATAACTTGCCCCCCAAGAGCACAGCACAGATTGTGTGGACAATTTGCTTGGCGGTGCTCAGCAGGGACCAAAGCCTAGGTTCATTCAACCACATTCCCTACTTGTCGCACCAAGTCAACACCAACCCATCCAACCACCAGCTAGGATCAACACATGGTAGTTTCGGGTAGGTTTGCTCAAACTTGGGCTACACCAAAACACAGCTTTAAAAAATGGTAGGATCAAACCACATTTGGGCTACAACCTGGAGCGTCAAAAGGGTCGGCTTGGGGCAACTGAGTCCAACGTGTAGTTGCAGGAGTGGTTGCGAAAAATGAACATGGGCCCTGTCGTGGAAAGTCGTGAGCAGGCAACATGTGCTCATTCATGTGGAGGGTGCCCTGCTAAAATAGACTAAAACTTAGCCCAAAATGGAATCAATCCCATTGGTTTTGTGGTGTTGGCCCGCGGCCATACTGTGGATGGACGAAATCCTGCACCAATTTGAAACCATGAGAAACCATTCCTTGTCGGTATCTACAGGGAAATCATCATTCTAAGGTTTCTTGGGTGGTGCGAAATGGATTTTGTCCATCCACAGTATGGTTCCGCTTGCTCGCCGCTCGCCGCGGCGCTCCGGCTGGGGCTTCTCCGTCTTCCGCTTCTCCGCGCGCTTCTTCGCGGCGCGGCGCTGGGCGCTGGCGAGGAGGTCTTCGAAGGAGGCCTCAGGCAATGGGGGAGGCGTGGGGGTGGTGGGGGGGCTCTCTCTCTCGCTCTCTGTGGGGGTTTGGGGGGAGGGTTTGGGGGGTTTTTGGGTTTGGGGGGGTTGGGGGGGTTGGGGAGGGTTTGGGGGGGGTTTGGGGGGTTTGGGGGGGGTTGGGGGAGGGTTTGGGGGAGGTTGGGGGGGCCACTCCCAAGCGTGGTGGCTCTGGGAGGGTTCTCATGTGCCACTACGCAGGAAACAACAGGCTTCTTCTTTGCCCAAACTATCAAGGAAGAACTGGGCTGTCCGTTTTCGGTTCCCCGGCCAAAAAGTTGAGAACTTGTTTGCTAAACCCTGGAAAGCTGAAAAACTAAGGGGATGGCTGGGAACCAAGATATTAGAAGGTTAACCTTTTGCGGCCGTGACTGCAGACCAGAAAGGGGAGACCAAAAGGTAAAAAAGGGTGGCTTTGGGAATGTAAGAGTGTGAAGTGGGCAGGTTCCGTATCTCATGTGCGCGCTGCTGGGTGGGCAACTTGCCACACCTGCGTGTGGAGTCCTTGAACCGAACACTTGAATTAGCGCGCAAACATTGTTGAAGCATTCTTCCCGGTCCTTCTTCTCACCTCTTCCTTTTGTTTCGCTTAAGACAAAGAACTTTCAATTTCATGTGTGCAGCGAGCTATTCGGCCTGGATAGGTGGTGTTTGCCCGAAAGCCATTGACTTTGGGTTCTATGAAATGATTTTCTAGCTTCCATTTTCTGAAGCCGACTGGAACCAAAAACAACACAGATTTCCAGTAGCGATAGACTCCCCTTTAAACCAACAAGGGAAAACAAACCATATTATTAAGCAAAAGGAAGATCACATTGTATAGGCCTTGCCTTAGACCCACTCGGGACAAGCAAATACCCCCGCTTCTAAAAAAGGCTGTGGCTCAGAAGTAACAGTCAACGTTGCGCAGATGTTCGTCTTTGCTTCCATACACCGAGGTGCCGTTTTTTGTTTCATTTCTTGAGCCACAGCCTTATTGAGTCACAATCAAAAGCCGGTATCAAAATGGTCTACCCAGAACCATGTAAAGAATTAAGTAGGCGGCCGCCGCTATTTATGGTTGGGAGTATCCCTTACTAATTAATGTTCATCTACCCGGGTTTTGATTGTGGCTCATATGGCCTTTCGGAGGATGATTTAAATTCTAGCCACTGATCGCAGATCCGAGGGGCGGCCGAGGGAACGATGCTCGGCAGCGCCACTGCAGATCTGGACTTGCTGGCGCTCCTGCGGGCCCAACACCCGGAGCCGTCGTGGACGTAGGTGGCCTTTTTGCTAAAAAAACAATGGCCCTGGTAATGGAACAAAACCCATCTAAACCAGTGGAACCCATCTGTTTTCCACCAAACTAACCTAAAAAGGACGCCTATGGTCGTGGAGGTTTCTGGTTTTCAGGGAAGCCCTCGTGCTTTGGCTTGGTGCTTTGGAAGACCCTTTAAAAATGGGTCAATGACCCCATGAATTTGGCGAATGACCAACCATTTTTTGAGGCTCATGGAGACTCCAGGTAGATCCCTCTTGTGTCCTCTACAAGCACCAGAGGTTCAAATCCCGATCCATACGGTCAAGGAATACCCATGGACTCGCCCGAGCCCCCGAGCCGAACTCAAGTGGACTCGAACTCTGGCAACCCTGGACGCCCCCCTCAAGCGGGTTCTCAAAATGAGGGGCGCTGCCCAAAACAGGTGCTCAACCCATTTTATAAGAACACACAAACATTAACCTTTGCTCTGATTGCGGGTTCTCAAAAAAACAGGTACCCTCCTACCAATTCACCTGGAACCTGACGTTTGCGGGTCCCTTTAAGAGGAACATGGTCCAAACCAGGAATCCCCGAACGTCGAACGGTTCCACCTCCATCTTTGGGAGGGTACTACAAGCAAGAAAACAACGAAACAAAACAACAACACGAAAACTACGAAAACGACAATACAACAACGTCAACGTGTCACCAAATAACAACACAAAACGACGGGGAACAAACAAACAAAACATACGAACACACCCGACAAAGACCGCGCAGCCCGGGCATGGGCCCCCCCCGGCATCTCCTGGACTTGGAGCTATAGCGGGAGCTGAGCTCCGCGGCACTCCGCGCCTGCCGTTCGAACGGCGCGGCGCCAAAACGATTTCGGGCGCTGGAGCTCTGAAGTTCTACCAAGATCTATAGGAGCCCCTACCAAGATCTATAGGAGCTCTACATATATGGCCATGGGTCAAAATTCCGTACCCCCAGTGAACATCCCAATCCCCACCAAAATAGACTAAAATGGGTGCTGCACCTACCCCAAAATGGTACCATTGGTTTTGACCCACGGCCATATGAGTGGCCCTTGACCCGCAAAACACGAAATGAGGAGGTCTTCGGCCCTAGGGCAAGATTTCAGGGGTACCTTCTTTCCGGAAAATCCTTTTAGAAATCCTTTCTTCCCAACACTCTTTCCAGGACAAATGGTTGGATAAAATGGGGAATCACCCCCCAGAAAGATGCCCAGATCCCATGTCAAGTAAACCGACCATACCAGAAGCCACAAAACCGAGGTCCGGGAAATCAGAGGCTTTTGCTTGTTTCCCTAATTACCTGCAATACATAGGGTGTCCAACGTGCATGTGCAATATGGACGTGATTCTCTCATCCCCATGCTTCACCAAGTGCAAGAATATGGACTGTCTCCAAAATCGGGACCGGTCTGAACAAGCCTCATATGTTTCGACTCTTCCGTGTTGTCCAAAACAAACCTTTATCCCAAGCAGAAGAACCGCCTTGGGCGCTGCTCGCATGAGAAAGCTGAAATTAAGAAAGCTCCATCTCCCAGCTCACCACGCGCCTTTGACAGCGATCGCTCCTTAGCCCATTTTCTGGGGATGAAGACCGCGCTTGAGTACCAGGCCAGAATGTTCCAGGGACCATACGTGTGAAATAGAGTGCTGCGTTTGTTCTGGTAAAGGGATTCGCCTGTCATACAGTATGCGGGATGCCTGAACTCAAATGCCCGGTGGCCATGGGAAAAAAGGGCACCTTTTTTCGATTGTTTGTTGAGTTTAAAGGGGAACCCTTACCCAAAAAGAGGAAAAAAGGGCACCACTGGGCAACAGAGTGAAGGGGATGGGAACCCATCCCCCTGGAGCTCCAAAGCAATCCAAACTCTCCACATCTCCCCGAATCCGCCGACGGGACGTCAAGGCTTCAAGCTGAGGATGCTGCGTTGTCAAAAGCGTCGGGCAAGCGGGTCCTGCGACCGGACGGGTGCCAACATGGGTGTCTCTGTTGGATTTTGGGGTTGTTTTCAAGGACAGCCTGAAGAAAACCTCACATTTTATGGTTCCCTAGACAAACCTGCATGACGAACTCGTATAGGGAGCTGTGTCAAATTTGTAGGGACCCATGCGCACAGGCAACGTGTGTGTCCTCCTGGCTGTTGCAAGGACACGCCGGGCCCTTCACTGCCAAAACATGCCAAAACTCCGGTCTGCTTGTGAGAAGCCGAACAGGTTGGAAAACCTCCAGGACAAAATGGCCCAACATGCGGCCCATTTGACAAGTGCAAAGTACTCACATGTATCTGCACCAACTCTGTTGCCCAAAGGACCTGGAAACAAAAGGTTAACCTTTTGGGGCCATGACTAAAATTGGGATCCCAAAACGGGAACACCAAAAGGTCGTTTCAGGTCGATTCGCTTTGGGCAACTGAGCCAACTACTGAACAAACAAACCTGAGTTCAGCAATACTCCAGGAACCTACTGGAGAAAGCTCGTTGAACCTGCAGCAAGGTATATTGGGCCATTCAGCGACTCGTGGGCCATGCTGCTGCTGACGGCTTGTCACTTTGATGTGGGTTGCCTTGGTTTCATAAAAAGTCCAGTCGGCTTTCAGCATCTGCCGACTATTACTATGGCAATGCCAATCGCGCAGTGATCGAAACCCGCTCTGAATGAAACATGTGTGTTCCCCCTAGACTTTCCTTTGGTAGCTTAAGCAGGAGCTCCCGTTATGGTGGATGCCCCAAATACTGCCAGTAAAACCAATCACACCCAACTACAAAACCACGGTGACTCAGGCTAACTAAGAGGGTTTCCAGGTTCCCTTACTTGCGATGCTCAGGGCATCCACCTACGAAACGATCGATATGTGCTTGCCTTGTGATGCTTCCTGGTTGGTTGAACAGCTTCAGCCCAAAGCTGACCAGCACTAGCTGAGTCGACTGGCCGAAAAGAGCTTGATGTGTTGGGCCTCCAACCAGCAACCGACCCCCCCCAAGCACTGCGGTTGTTGCTGGCCCCCGCAAAAGGTTTATTTTTTGGGGGTTGAGTGGATAACTTAACTTGAATTCAACCAAAAAGTTCAAGTCTGAAGGTCCAACCCAGTAGCAGTCAAGTTTGGACAGTAAGGGGATTTTGGGCATGAGGCCAAGCTCAGGCAAGGTCCCTTGCGTCCTTCGTCCCGGCGCCGGCAGGCCTGACGCATGGCTCGCCCCGAAAATGTCCTTTAGGTTACGAATATGTTCTATTTTTCCCCTGTTGATTTTAAAGGGAATCTATCACTACTGGAAATATATATATTTTTTCCAGGGGACTTAAGCAAATAAAGGAAAAGTTGTCTTTCCTTTTGGTTTCCCTTGAAGCCAACCCCCGAAAAAGGGCAACGCCCACATTGTTGGGTTCCTTTTTGGGAACACTAGACATGTTGCTTTTGCATCCAGTCGAGTGCTCGTGAGGTGCCACTTGTTGATGTCCCTAGCAACGCACAAAGGGCGCCGGGCCCCAAAGCGGGGGCCAAATCCACCGTGCAAATGGATCAAGGAACCCCCAAAAGGGGTCCGCCGCAAGGAGATTCCTCTAACATTGCTTGGCATAGGTGGCCTTTTGGAAAAATAGATGGCCCTGGTAAATGGAATAAACCCCATCTAATCCAGGGCCCTCTATTTTGTAAGCAAACCAACCAAAAAGGACACCTATGTCGCTTGGTTTGGGCGACCCGAGACATGCTCAATGGAGTTTAACTGGACGCTGCCACTTGACAATTACATCCTTTCCAGCAACCATGGAAGTGGACAAAGAGCTTCACTAAAAGGATAGTAGTCCTCCAAAACCATCCCAGTTTCCGTTGGGTAATGGAAACCCGACGTTTTGTGTACGTGGAAAGGTAGTCCAAGCGCTGCGTGCAGGTAATAATCACTAAGGTCTGCGTCATTTGTCGGCTGATAACCTACGAGTAACTGAGTATAAAACTGGCAAGCAGTCACTGCATTTGTATAGCATGGCACCACTCACATAATGAATACATGGACGTGCATATGCTCTGCGCAATGGGTTGTGCCTTGTCCTGGCCTCTCTTCAATACGCTGGATGGACGAAACCATTTCGCACCACCGAAGGGAGCATGAAAAACCATGGTTTGCTGGGCATTTCAAAACCCAGGGTTTCTTAGATGGCGCAGGATTTTGTCCATCCACGGTATCAAACATTGAAGGGTGGCGTATTACCTTTCCACCTCCACCCTTCCATGCAATTGAATACTAAGGAGAAAGGAGTGGTCCACGGCCCAGCCCAATTCCAACTAGGTCCTGCTGCAGAGAGGTTTGAATAAGGGTACCCTTTTTTTGTAGTCTATTTTAGTAGGGAACTCTCCCCCCCAAAAAAGGTAAAACTTAGCCAATACTTCAACTGTGGGGATCCCCGCCTACGGTCATCTCCTGGCTCGCAATGCTGCGTGCCGCATGAAAGATGCCCGGCCGAGCCGCGGCGTCGGCCGGAAAAGTGTCCGGTTCTGCGGGTTCAACGGGCAACGCGCGTCTGCTTCTCAACGAGAGGTCTCTTCCCTGGGGAATGACAGCTTGAATATCGGCTACACCTTTATTGAAGTTGCCGATTGGCCGAGAAAGTTTGCAAGCTTGTGCAAAGAACATCCCCCTGCACTGATTCTGCAGCGCTGAGACATTGTTCCCCAGGGAGCACACACGGTCCTCATGTTCTCTGCGTGGCCAGTGCTCTGTTTGCCGTCTGCATTCTCAGAAGCATACACTGAACTTGGATTACACAGCGCTCGAATCACATAAAGCCTTCTCCTTTGGAGAAAACGGCTGCAGGCAACGGAGAAAACGGCCGAGCAAATGAGCAAATGGCACCCAGAACTTGCGACTCAGGCCAGCCTGCCCCGTCAACAAGTCAACATAGGTTGTCGCTTTTCAGGGTACCCCTTGTTAGGTGGTCTTAAAAAGACAACCAAACGGAAATCCGCAATTTTGGAGGGGTCCGCTGAAAATGGCCGCACGTCGTTGGGGGTAAGGCAGCCACTTCGGACAAGGAACATGGCGTACCCTGGCGAGAACGACATGGGCCATGTGGCCACCGCTTTTCAAATGCCAGCCTATGCAACTTCTGAGGCAGTCGAGACAGTCCTGCCCAAACACCGAAAGGGCTTCCAAAACTAAACAACTTCCTCACCAAGGCACTTGAAGCCAATATCTGTCGCAAGTGCCCCCATAAGGAGGCATTCCCCCCCTCACTAATGTTGACCTCGGATCTAAGCAGAACCCGTCCTAGTACTAGGGGTGTGTTCCCTTCAAGAGTGGTCTGAACCCCCCGTTGAAAGTGGAACTTCCCCTATCAAAATCAATCACTTCCATTTCTCGTCCGGGGTTACAATTGCTCAAGGTAATCCCTGGACCCAAAAACAAAAAGTCTCCCTCTCCCTCCCTCCCATCCACCCCTTGCTCCCGAGCCAACAGAAACCGGCGAGCCAAAGCTGTGGCGCCCCCGCGCGCTTGCCGCCGGACAAAGGCACAGGGATCGCGAACATGGCCGCCTTCCAGGCCCACTCTGGGTTGGGCCTGGGCCGCTTCTCCCCCCCCCCCAAACAAACAAAAAACTCCAGCCAGGGGTTTCTATTCAGCGGCCGCTCTATTCCAAGGGTTGCTAGGCTGGAAGTAGCAGGACCCCCGCAAAAAATATATATATATATATATATATACATATATATATATATATATTTGCCTGGTTAGCGGAGGTTGCTAGGCTGGAAAGAACTAGGACCCCAGCAAATATATATATATATATATATGTATATATATATATATTTGCCTGGTTCGTGGAAAACAAAGGGGACCCCAAAAAAGGGAAAAAGGAAAAAGGGGGCAGCATGTTGGACACTGTGGGACACATACTTGACACAAGTGTAAAGAATGTGCAAACACGCTCAGCTCCCACTGAGCCTGCGAAGCGCGTGAAACACAAGCAATTCAGTAGCAAGTTTTTCAGGGGTTTCCAGCTCTATTCCAACGGTGGTTGTTGGTTGCTGCAACGAAGTCTCTGCCAAAAAGTTGAAAACGCTTTGTGGGCCAGAATTGTCGGAAGGTCCGACCTGTTTTAACCAGAAAGTCAAAGTCCAAAGATCCAACCACATAGCCATAAAGGTTTTTGACATGTACTTTGTGGGCGAAGTCAAAATGAGCCTCCTTGTCAACTTGTGGTGAGGTGCGCTTTGCTTCAGGGGATAATATGGGAAGGGGATCCCCCAATTTCATGCTTCTACTCTAGTCACTCTTTAGTAGATCAAGTCAGAAATGTGATCACAGCTATACAAGTTCAGCAACCAGTACCTGTGTCAAAACAGATAGCCGTGGCTCCCAATTTCTACACCCGGAAAAACCTCAGCAACACTTTGTTTGAGAGTAGCTTTCGCCAGTCTTCCTGAGGCCGGGCGGAATTCATATTAATATCAGGTACCTCCGAAAACGGATTTGGGGCCAAGAAGCTAGGACAATACAAAACCCGTCCAACTCTGGCCAACAAAGGAAGCCCCAAAGCACCCCCACGGTTACACGGCGCATGGGTTGCTTCAATAGGGAGACGCAGAAACATACATTGCCAGAGCCGCCGGGAAGGTTCAGCTCAAGACAAAAAAATCCTTATGTTGAACAGGCGTTCTACCGACGGCAACTTTTCTGCTTGGCGGCCCTTGATCATTTAGCTAGCAACTTTTGAGTTCACTGCCTGGAGGATGCCCTATTTCTGCCCAGGGCTTTCCACCAAACCGAGATGGCGCTGATGCTCAACAAAAAAAACGGCGGCTTGTGGGCTGGCCAGGTGTGCAGGCGTGCCACACACGTAAAAAGGTGGTCCTTTTGGTCAGTCTGTGCATGCCCAACATGTAGGTGTGTGCCAAAATCGGGAACAAATTGTGGTTGTCCTTCTGCCCCGTAAAACTCGTCTCAAAAAGTTGGCTCCCTCAAAAGGCGGAGCCATTCGCAAATGCCCTCATCCTTTCAAATACGACACTGGCCGCTTTTACATCTCGCATGCGCACTGAGCCATGGAGACGTCCTCAACAAGCCCATCGTCGGCAATTCCCAGAGCCTTCAGATCGCTGCCATTGGGAAGACAGGTGACCGCGTCTCTCCTGCAGGCTTGCAAACAAGGCCTTCCAGGACGTCAGTGGCTGAATCACCCACCCGCATCCACTCACCATATTCCGGGACTAACATCACCCTTCCTTCCGGAATATACAAGGCAACAGGCACGCAAGCTCAGCCAAGCGAAAGCAATTCCGCCAAGCTGCTTGAGAGACTTGATATTTCCAGACTCCCCCTGGGGCTACTGTGCAAAAGGACAGAGGTGGTAGGGACAGTGAACTGCTTAACACCACTTTGACCACTGTTTTTCTTACACGTTCAGGCGTCTCATTCAATATCAAGGGGTGCCAATCCTGACGAAACGGCACTGGGAGATCCTGAGTTTTGACACGCAATCCCTTGCTCGCGCCTGGGCGTATCTCAGTGCCTATTTCTTGACGCTGTTCTTCTTTATGTCCTGCGGCCGCTGGAAGGAACAACCTTCAAAGGGGCTGGAACCTAAGATTCAAACACAGAGTGCAACACATTTTAGGTTGCCATCGCCGCACGTGGGTATCTGTTTGACGGTGCCCTCTTTTGAGAGGGCACTAGAGGGTACCAATTTTGGGGTTTGCGTCAAAGGCAGGGCAGCAAAGCATCACTGGTTTTGGCGGCATGGGCCGGAAGGGGTCCTGAGTTTCTGGGCCATGTAGGCAAAAACCTGCCTGCATAAAACGCCATCGAATGCCAACTCTGCATGCCTGGAGCCCTAGCCCGAGATGACCCATGGGAACCTCATGGAATGCGGAAGTGGAGCTGAATGGTGTGCTCAATGCAGGGCTGGAAACAGAAGACCTGTGACTCCTTCGGGACAAACTCGCGAGTTTAAATTCCTTCGAATTCCTCAGGCAAGGGACCGTCATCGGTGAGTCCGATATAATTCGTCCAAGCTCAATTCAGTACTATGGGTGTGTCGTTTTGAGAGTATCTCTTGTTTGTTGGTTTTAAAGGAAAACCACCAGGAACACCCACAAACCACAAGGAAACCGAAACCCCACAATTTCGGGGTTCAATTGATAAACAGAACAGGTCACTCTGATCCATTAAAAAACAACACCAAAAAAAACAAAAAAAAAACACTCAAAACATGGGCAAAGACTGTACCAAGTGTGGGAACATATTGTGCTCACTTGCACTGCAAACAATTACCACGCCATCTAAACTAGATGGCGTTCCATGGCTTCCCGATTCAAAACCAGTTTGCATACAGGTGCACGCACCCGATTGCGGTTGCAGTTGCGCGCCTGGCAGGCAACAAAGGAGGTGTTCCCGCAATCAGTAAAGGACAGGCCCTCTAACACCAACTAGAGGTTTTAGCAGGAAAATAAGAAAGAAGACAAATCCAACAAGAGGTCTCCTCTTATGCGCGTGCCCGAAAGTGGTCAAGAACAGGTCTCTGCAAAAGTTGGCGTTCAAACACAAAGGCCTTCAATCCCTTCACCCTGAAAGAAACGTCGCACTAGCAAATTCGATATCAGAAGCCGCCACTAAATTCATAACAGGCCACCTACACCAATACTACGCTAGCGATTTCTGCTGAACCCAAGGAATGGGGGGGGGCAGCCAAACCATCTGGGGACGGAAAAGGACCGCGGGCCCCCCTGCAGCACCATCAGGAGAGAATGCATCCATTTGGGTGTCAAACGAAAAAGCCAACCAAAGTGGTTTATCTTTTTACTTTACCCCTAGAAACCTGAGTGGATTGGCTGGATTGGCTGGGAAAAGCCGGAACTTTGATATTTCTCACGAAAGGCTCTTCACCAAGAAAACATCCTGTCCAGGAAACCAAGGAGTCTTGGCCCAAATCCGGGCCGCAACAAGAACTGTATGTTCTGTTTCTGTTTCATGTCTAGTCCACCCGAACATATGTTTGGAGGAGACCAGGCGTGAGGGCGCCCTCCTACTTCCCGACTTCCCTTCTCTCCTTGGCCAGCGGCAGCCGCTCGCCCTGCTGCCGCTCTGCCTGACAGTTGGCTGCCACACACCCTTCAACCTCCCCCCCACCCCTCCCAAATCCGAGCCAATAAGCCCTACCAAATCCTACCTGTAAAGCCCAGGGCTTGAGTTCTAAAGCGCAAAAGTTTGTATTACTCTTTCTCTTTTGCCTTCCTCCTTCTCACGTCTCTCCTCTTTATCTTTATCTTTCTCTGTATCATTATATTTATGTTTGTCTTTCTTCCTGCCGTTCTCCTTATAGTTCTTGCTGTCCGTCTCTTTCTCTGTCCCTTTCCCGTTGTGATTATCTTTCAGTCGTTCTTGCTGTCCGTCTCTTTCTCTGTCCCTTTACCGTTGTGATTATCTTTCAGTCGTTTCCCTTTTGCTTTCTCTTCCTAGCTTTGACCTTATCCATTTTCTTCTCTTTCTCTTTATCTTTATCTTCCTCTCCCTCTATCTCTTTCCCTTTTTCCCTTTCTCTTCCTTTTCTTTGTCTCTTTCACTTTCTCGGCTTCTGTCTCTGTGTCTTTGTCCTTGTCTTCCTCTTCCTCTGTCTCCCTCTCTCCCTCGCTCTCTCTCCGTCTCTCTTTCACTCTCTGTCTCCCTGTCTCTCGCTCTCTCTCTCTTTCTCTCTCTCTCCAGCCCTCAAAAGTGAACTAACCAAAACCACATTGAGTTTGTTTTCGAGGCTACCAGCCGAATTTCCGCAAAGGATTCTGCGAGCGAAGTCAAAAGCCAAACACCACGTTTTTTTTGGGGGAAACGTAAACACAAAACACGTGCCCAAGGTCGACCAACCCAACAGCGCAAAAACATGCGCGAGCCAAGTGAAAATCGGTAAACAACAACGAGTTCTTGAGGGCCGACCCACAAAAAGGCCGCAAATGGTTCACCATTCGGTGGCTGGGAAGCAGTGCGCGGTTGCGCCAATCGGCCGCTCTGCACCCACTCCAAGCCCGACTCCGCACATTTCACGACGCCCTCAAAATTACCCTTCTTCAAACTGGTGGTTGAAGGAAAGCCACTCCTACAGACATTGGTGACCAACATGGCACCCAGACACCAAAAAGGAAACCCATTTCGGCAGCACCTTTTATCCAGGTTGGCCAAGCAAGCCCACACAGTGGTTCACAAAATCAAGCCTCACTAACATGGTATGGTCCTCCCAAAAAGTGGCTAAGAGCCAGGAACTCAGGGAGTGAGACAATTCTTAACCCCACATCACCCAATGTATTAATACGGTGTCCCTGGGCTTGGTGGGCAATCCTCACTTGAGGAGCCCACCCCCCTAAGAATTCAATAGGGCGGGTTCAACCTAGATGCGGGGTCAACAAGAAACGCGCGCCCACAAAACAGGGAGCCCTCCAGTGCTTAAGTCACACGGAGCAAATCAACCATATTACCAGCAGTGACAGGTTCCCTTTAATATCAACCGGGGAAAAAAACAACAATACAGATAGAAATAGATCCACTAGTGAAAGATTCCATTAAAACCAACAGGAAAACTAACAAAACCAAAGCCCCAATCTAAAGGTGGAAGTACATAGCCCTTGTTCATACCCACTTTTTTTATTGGGTATGTACCCCTTTTGGGAAGAGGGGTATGAACATTAGCAGGCCTTTTGGGTTCAGAAAAGTAAAATAACATATTATAATAATCATGATACTAATACTAATAATAGCAATATATGTATGTACATATATAATAAATATGTATATATATATATACTTATGTATATATATATATATACTTGTGTATATTCATTTCAGCCAAAAGGCTCCCCTTCGCGCCTGCTCCTGGAGCTTCAGGCGGCTCCACATCAGCACCCCGGCGATGGTCACGCAGAAACCGATCTGCTGCGCTTGGGAGATGGGGTCCTCAGCCCGACGGGAAGAAGAAAAAAAAGGCCCGGGCCCCCGTACAGGCGAGGCTCCCCTAGGTCCTCCAGTAGAGGATGGGTAGAATACGGGTGCCAACGATTCTTTTTCAGTAGTGAATTTGGCAGGGGCTTGCCCTCCCAAAAAAGGGTAAGAAGGCATCCGGTCAAGAGGCTCCCATGGAAGCTGAGAGGATCAGCAAATTTAAAGGCGAGGCTCCTTCCAAGGGTCCTCCAGATTTGAGAGGTTAGAATAAGGGTACCAACTTGTTTTTCTTTCTTTTTTTAAAGCAAAGGCGAGTCTGAGGGCTTTTGTATTACAGCCTGGGATTACATCCTTGGGAAATGACCCATGGTTCCAAAATAACACGGTTTTATCCGGACATGTGCCTAAGTGGGGGTCAATACCGCAAAGGCGAGGCTCCCCTGGTCCTCCAGATTTGAGAGGTTAGAGAAGCTGAGAGGAGAAGCAAATCATGGGCTGTTGAGAGGGTTTTCCGGATTTCCTTACCTGGAGTCTCCTTCTGACCCTTAAATAAGTGGTTGGTCATTGTCCAAGAAAATGGGGGCATGACCCCATTTGTAAGAATCACGGAGATGCCAGGTATACAAAAAAAACACCCGTAAAGGTCGGAGACCTTAGTAGTCATTTGCAAAAACATGCCAACCAAAAGCAACAAAGAAAGAGACAGAGAGAAACAAAAGAGAGACCTGAACAAGTCGTGCGGACGTTGCCCGAAACCATTCCTGAAGTGCGGAGAGCTCAAGAATTGATGGCCAGCAAAACTGACATTCGCCCCAAACAGATCAGAAGGGTTGAACGTCCAAACAAAACAGCCAATATTTCTAGGGTAACGGGCAGTGCCGCGTCCAATAGGGGTCTCTGTGCCCAATCTGAGTGATTGCTTAGATTGCTTCGCTGGGAGAACATGGACAACCAATGGAAGACAAAGCGGCGACACACCTGCGCAAGGGGCGAACTCTGTACATTGGTCGTCGCATCCAGACGTCAACTCTCCAAAACCATGCAGGCAGAAGGGGCGTTTAACCCTTCTGTGCGGCAAAAGATTCGCTTGGTGGCTGCCGTTCCGACGGCCTGCAACCACAGGTTTCATGAGCCAACCTATTGGCAAGAGGCTAGGGCAGAAACGATGGCCTAGGTCAGTTTCAACGGGAAGCCCTTGCCAGTCTGGGAAGCCGCACGCCGAAAACCAGCGCGGAAGAAGATACGATGACCATGTCCTCGCGCAAAAGGTGGCGATTGGTTCAATCTCCACAACTCTTGGCATTGTTTTTTGCAGCCCCCAGTTAAAAGGAACAGAACCGACAAAAACAAACACTTGCGAAGAACGGTGAAGTCAATCATAATGCGGCTACCCCCACACAAATCAAACGGGTTTCGTCTACTTTAGTCTGCCCAGGGCTGGGTGGTTTGTTGGGATCCTTTCCAAAAGTGGGATACAACATGGTATGAGATGAAACCTCGGCCGATCCGTCCGACTCGTGCGTGCCATTAGGCCAGCATCTTGCAGTAAACCTCACGCTGGCCTCGGGATGGTACTGTAGGTTGGTTCTTGGCTTCTTTCTTCCTCCAACTAACATGGCACCTGTGGGGAGGTACCTGGAAGATTGGTTTTTTTGAAGGGACCCCCTCTCAGTTGACATGTTAGTGAGAGGGAGGGTATCTCTTCCCGAACTATTTCTTCTCTGAGATGGCAAGGATTCCTGACGCCCACATCCTTTAACTCCAAAGAGGGGCGCGGAAAAATGAGATCTTCGCTCGCATCTCCACTCGCCCTTCGGGTTTCTTGAGCCCATCTCTCCCAAAAGGAAAACAATGCTTAGGTCCTCCAGTAGAGAGGGTAGAATAAGGGTACCAACTTTTTTTTCTGTCAAGTCTAATTTTAGAGGGGAACCCCAGAGAAAGGGCACTGGGGGACCTAGGAGCTGTCAAAAGACGCCAGCCTGCTTCCAAAGGTCCTAACCTTGGCGCCAACTGGGGGGTCTGCAACAAACAACTGCCCATCGACTTTGGGCTTCTTTTAGGGGGGAGGTTAAATATTACGGGCTCCTTGGCTCTTGAATGAAGGGACTATGGTTTCATGTTGGCCTCTGAACGCTCAAGAATGGGTATCAAAGAAACTGAGCTGTCCTCAGAGGCTTGCTGGAAGCCACCACTAAACTCCAAAAAGCTAAGCTCAGATGCCCAGTGGCCATGGGAAAAAAGAATCGGCACCTTCTCTCTCTTTTTTGGTTTGTTGAGTGTAAAGGGGAACCCTTACCCAAAAGCAAAGTTGAAAAAGGGCAGCAACCCACTGGGCAACAGAGTAAAAGCAACTCAGGAACCGGCGGCTGGGAACCACCGATCGCGCGGAAACTGGCCACCAACTGGCCCATCCTTGACCACACCGATGATCACGAAGGCCAAGGCGGAGAGCTTCTTCAGAGTCACTGCGATGAGCACCTCGAAGCGGACCGAGTGAGTCACTCATCGAGCACACATCAAGTCACCCGAGTCCATCAGCGATCGGGCGCTCCATGCATGGGGCGCGGTTTCATTTGATCTTACTTATTATTTGCCAATTCAGAACTCCTTTAGAAGTGGGCGTATTCCAGTTCATTCTCCAAGGCCCTGCTCATCTCATTTCCTGAACCGCACTTGCTAAAAAGGAGTCCCAACTTCCCTAAAATGGTCCCAACCCACCCCAAACACTCGGGAAGACAGGAGCTTATCGGAATCGCCCATCCAAGTTGCTTGAGCCTGGCAACTTCCTCAGCCAAATTGCTGATTTGCACTGGTGGTTTGGTGGTTTGGACCCTGGCTCCCCATTTCTCCTCTACAGCAACAGCCAGAGGTTCAAATCCCACCAATCCAAACCACCAATTGGTGGTTTAGAGGTTAGGTTTGTAATGGGGTTGCTGACGTTTGGGTAAATGGGTGTGGGTTAAAGAATTGGCCAACCCCAACATGGGTTGCCCTGCCAACTGGAAACTGGACTAAAACCTGCGGCCCATACCCAGTGACCAGTTTTGGACCCTACCCAAATGGGAATAGTCTCGTGGTTGATTCCCCATTCTTTTCAACCATCGTTCTTTTCAAACACTCACAGTTTCCCAGGGTTTTGGGTGGTTTTCTAGAAAGAAGCAGGGATCCCTGGAAAGAATGAGCAGATTCGGATCGGGTGGTTTTATAGGAAGCAACCCGTATCTCTGTTGCCCAAAGGACCTGGAAACAAAAGGTTAACCTTTTGGGGCCATGACTAAAATTGGACCAAAACGGGAAAACCAAAAGGTCAGAAGGTCGGCTTTGGGCAACTGAGTAACTTGTGGAGCCAATGGAGAATCCACCTCCCCAAAAGGTTAAAGCCCATAGATCTGGCCAAGTAGCCATAAAGCTCTATCCTGACAGAAATTCGCATGGAACATCATGGAACCAAAAGGGGGCGTTCCGGTGCCACAGAAAGGAGTTTCCTCTACAAATGGATCTTTTAGGGGTGTTCAAATCCTCTAAATCACTAAGTTGTACATGAGGCCAACCTGAATGCGCTCACATGCCAAACCTCGGGCGATCTCGCTCTCGGGAGCTGAGGCTGCAGCATTCAGCAGGAAGGCGATGCAGGCATTGACCAGCACCCAGTGCCAACTGGGAGCGGTTTGCTGGTTCTTGGTTGGTGTTGACCCCCCTGCAAAAAGTTTAACTTTTTGGGGGTTAGTGGAAAACCCTTTGATTTCCGAAAGAGTTAACGTCTAAAGATCCAACCCAGTAGCAGTCAAGTGGTTCATGGGTCTATCTTAAAACTGGCAACCCGGACGCCTACGGGACGGGACGCGTGGGATTTCGCATAGGTCTTGGCTTTCTTTGAGAGTTCAGGCCTGAGTTCATGAGTTGGCCATTGCATGTCACCTTTGGAGCTTCCGTTCATGGGGGCTGGCGGGGAGAGAAGGGAGAGGGAGCCCAAATAAGCCCAACCTAAGCCTTTAATAAGGGCTTATTTGGGCTCCCTCCCCCTCCCTTCCCGCCCCCACAGCCCCCCAATGGTCCTTCAGAGCCCGTTTGTTGCCTCACACCCCCAACAAAATGGCAACCCCTCTCCCCCCAAAAAAAACACGGATTGCCCTTACAATTCACTTTTTCAGAACCACGGATCCTATCGGTATGCATTCTTTGTAAGTACATGTTTATTGTGCAATATAGGGGGAAATCCCCTTCAAAAGCAGACACACTCAAGCCCCTGCCCATTTCGAAAGCAGAAGTGGCACAGTTTCTCATGATTAAGTCGCGATGTACGGATGCTTTGTTAGCCATTGACTAGGGGTTAGTACCGGAGGTTCATCGAACGTGTATATGTTGCCACCTGCAACAAGAGGATCTGGGCTGGGAATGAAAGTGAATTGGACATAGGAGTGCTGGTGGGCATCATGTATTTTTACACGGGGGCGTATGTCCAACAACACTTTCTGAGTGAGTTCCTCACTAAACATCATAGAGGTGAGTCCCCTTCAAGCACCACCTCGCCAAATCAAACTCATTTGACGATTGCGCTCAGAAGAGGGCCTGACAAAACGCGAGAAGGGAAATGCAGGACCTCTGGGTGAGGAAAGGTCAATATTCTAAGGATTGAGACGACTGAACAGTTTGTTGTTGGACACATTGGAATTGGAACTAGACCCCGCTGCTGTGAAATCATGAATCTGCAAAAGCCCCACATTGCCAAAGAGTTTCGACTGGGTTTAGGGTTCAGGGTTTAGGGTTTAGGGTTTGCAAACACGTTCAGAAACAACCTACGTGCAAAGCCCTTTTTGGGGTGCACTTGCAACGCACATGTTGCCACTTAGTCACTTCCAAGGCCACCCTCAACGCGCAGGTTCGACTACCGACCCTCGATGGGGACAAGTAAACAGCACATGCGTATAAGCAACCTCGAAGGCCCAAGGGAAAGGGCCATAAGCAACTCTGACTGTTTACCCATCCAAATCACAGCTCACTGGCTGAGTGGATGGCCCAAAAAAAGTTCAAACTTGTAATGTACCACAAAAATGGTCTTCCCGAAAAGTTTAAAGTTCATGAACTCAGGAAGTGAGACAGGCGGATGTCATAACTGACACAATGGGGACAGAGTCAGAACTTCTGGGCCGAGCTTTCCGCCAGCTGGTCCCAAATGTCCCAGGTCCCTTTGGGAGTTGCGCTTCTCGGGGTTCCGAGCCCGGTCCGACGACAACGCGCAGAGGCGCAGTCTGCGCAACAGGGTTCGTCATGTGGTTGTTTTTCTAAACGGGGGGGCATCCCGGCGTGGGCGCCCATAGGTTCATCTTCAACCTGACTACTAACTCCTCCAAACAATACGCAGGGAACTGCGAAGCAAGGGGTGCCAGACCCGGCCAGACCAACTACTTCGCTATGAACCTGAACAGGAATGCCCCCTTTCAACTGATTGGTGGAATGGATCTCCATGTTCACAATGCCCACCAAAGGATCCATGCCCAATTCAATCTCTAACTTCTATCAATTTACGGGGTGACTCAAACCTTACCGTGTTTTTTTTTGCCATGTTCAAAGGAGTCTTCTTTGGAGGGGTGGGGGGGCAAACGTTGACGGCCCAATCGTGCCAGGCCGCTGCTTCTTGAAGTCTTCCAGCACGTCAGGCGTCCAGGAAACCACCACGCCCACCGACAAGAAGAGCAGAGAGAAGGGCGCCTCTCACAGCCCCCGGGTGATACATATGGGTGTGGCTCAAAATTAAACAGGAGGGGTTACACAGGCTTTGGTCCATGTTTCCACTTATCAGGGTTCCATTTTGGTACCGGTTTTCTGTGATACAACAGAAAGGGCCTAACCGCAAAGACGATTTTCTTAAGGGGGATTCCCGCAGGTATCACAGAAGTGGGGAGAAACCCCTTCATCCCACAACCCTGATAGGGGATGACTTCAATCGACGGTTAGCCTCCCCAACCCCCCCCCGGTACGTCAGAAGCAACATCGCGTGTTGCAGCCCAAACATTCACGAAAACAACGAAGCAGCAGCAACATACATGCAAAGTCAAGTGGGCTTCTTTGCGAGCTGCGCCTCTCTGCATTGCAATTGCAACGCAAAACAAAGGAGTTGAAAAGCAGCCCACACAAACTGGGGACCTGCAAACTGAAGTCACGGCCATTGAGCGCCACCATCCAACCGCAACATGTCATGTTACCATATCACCGTTAACTTCGAAACATGAAAGCGAACTCAACCCAGCGGCAACGTCCAACAATAGAAACAGAAATCGCAACATAGATGTCGAACACTGAACAGCAACTACTCCATGAATCCCTACGTCGGCGAGCTTGCGCTTTTCTTGCGCGACCCATGTTCAGCTTACGGGTCGCCTACGTGTTGGCGTTTGGAGCATCTCCCCAAGAATTGCTTGCGCGGGCTCGTTTTGCTATGCAGCCGCCACAGCTGCTGAAGCTGACGTGGGTGACTCTGAGGAAAAAAATGACGAAGAACAACCCTGAGGAGCTTCTGGGCGAGCCTACGCGAACCTTACGAGCTTGAGTTTCCCCAGATCAGCTCTTTGCAGAAGCCTTTTTTGGTCCGGGCAAAGGTTTCAGCAGCACCTGGCACGCCCCCCAAGAGCTCCCAATCAAAGCTTTTGACGCGCCTTCCTGCAGGCAAAGTCTCACAAGTCCGGAGTCGCCAAGCTCGAGCAGCTTGAAACACAAGGCACCAATCTTGGTTGCTGCAACGACCCCCCGCCAAAAAGTTGACGACTTTTTGGGGGTTTCATGAAAAACCCTTGATTTCCACCAAAAAAGTTAAAGTCTAAAGATCCAACCCAAGAGCAGTCAAGCAATAAACACATAAGCATATGCGCAAAAACTCTTCCGTGTATGCTTGCAGTACGCGGGTGCATACGCAGCATGTTTCCCCGGTGCTTATGCCGGCTTACGCCATGCAGGGTTTTGCTTACGCCTTCTTGGGATGTAAAGGGGCGTGTTTAAAGCTGCTCACATGGCCATGGGTCAAAACCCCGTACCAGTGAACACCCCAATCGCTAAAATCGACTTGGGATGGTGCCAAAATGGTTTTGACCCACAGGCACATGGCTACAGGGGCTCAGGACCTCCCGGCTCCCGCGACATCGGCCACTGGCCTGGAAGAGGACGAAGGTGAGAACGTCCAGCTTTAGCCCGGAGCCTCCCATGACCTCGGGCCCCCCCCCCCCCCCGGAGTCGCGACTTGCCTTCGCGCGCCCCTGCAAGCGTTAGAGAGGTTTCCTGAGCTGAAACGACCTGCTCTTAGGCTATCTTGGGTGCTGTAGATCCCCCAGCGAAAGGCTTAACTTTTTGCTTCTTTAACAGGAAATCTGAGGAGCATCCCAAAAGTTCAGGTCTAAAGATCCAACCGAATAGCAGTAGAGCATAGTAGAGCTATGGAAGATATTTACCAGGTGCCCATTTGAAGAGGACCGCTCTCTTCCTAAATGGGAACCCGCCATGGCGGCTTGCTTTGAGATCGGTCCCAGGGTCCATTCCCAACACCGCTCCAAACAAAAAACCAACCCAATGTGGTTCGACCCCGAAAAATCCTCCGGGATTCCCAAGCTCCCAAAACCACGAGAAATTCCCCAAACCTCTCCAAGGATTCCCTGAGAAATAGCCATTCCCCAAACCCCCTCTACAGCAATTCCCACAGCATCACGGCTCCGAGACGCTCCGAGATAACATGAGATACAACAACCACTGTTCATCCACAACTCCCTTTTAACCATACTCACTTTATTCATTGTCAACCACAGACCCGGACCAGGCTATCTTGGGCTACATAGATGAACCCTATATTTCTACTTGGAACCCATCACCAACCATAGGAGACAAAAACATCCGGCGCCCGCAGCCGCGCCCGCAGGCGCGCGCCCGAAGGCCACGGCTCGAACGCGTCTGTGGCTCCGCGCCGCCTCCCCGATGAGGTTCTTGGAGCACTCCGTGAGCTGCGAGGCCAGCTGCAGCACTAGGCCAACGAGCCTCAAGCAGGGATCTCGGGAGCTGGGGGGGGGATGGGGAGATGGGGGGGAAGCTCGCGCGCGAAGCGAAGCGTGGGGGGGGGGGGGGGGGTGGGATTTGGGGGAGAAGCTCAGCAGGTGAAGTGCCCAAGTGAAAAGGTGGCTTGGACTCCTATTGGCTCCTGAGCCAACAAAAAGAACGGTGGAAAGTGGGGCTAGGCAAAGGGAAAGAAGCCGTTTGTGGCGTTTACAACAAAAAAACGGCTTTGCAACAAGAAACGGCTCTGTAGCCCAAGTACTTGGCAGGTGAATTATGGGGATTCTGGCATTCCCACGTTGCTAAATGATGGAGAATCTCAACTCGGTTGCTTTCTGCTCCCCTGCTGAAAGCTTAACTTTTAGTGGTTCAATGGAAAACCCATTAGTTGGTAAAAAGTTAAAGGCCTAACATCCAAGCAAAATGCACCAGTCAAGGCACGGAAACTTCCAGAATTCGAACTCCCCCCAAAGCTTCGCATTCTGAGCGCGCGCCTGGGAACGAAAGTCACCTCTCCCTGCGCACATCAGATGGACTCTGCGCAACCTCATGCCTTCAACGCAAAGCCGACGAGCCGCAGCGTACAGAAAAACGGATCGAGACCCCACGAATTCAGCTCACGCTGGAGTTCGCTCTTCTCCGCCTGTCTTACCCCTTAAAACTCCAAGCCCTGGGGAAGTTAATCTTTTACAGACATATAGCCCACGTTACCCAAAAAGTTGAAAAGTTGTGTTTTTAAGAGGTAAGCTGCGCTTCTACTTTGGCTTTCCAGTTGCAAGTCGCTCATTTCCGAGAGGGACGCTATAAACGGATAATGTACTTTAGGCATCACTCTGCTCGAAAACTTGGTCCATCCTGTGTGCACACAACACAAACCGTGTGTGTTTCACATTTCGTGCGCCACAAAATGAAACATCGTTTTTGGAGGAGACGCCAGTCTACTCAAAGACTCCATGCGGCACTTGTGATTGAGCATCTCGCTTAGGTTCGCCCGAAAACCCGTCGCGACAGTTCTCGCAAAGTGGCAAATGTAACCTCCATACTGTGGATGGACCAAATCCATTTCGCACCACTTTCAAGCCATGGGAAGCCATTGTTTGTTGGTAATCACAGGGGGGAATCGTTCCACTCCGTTGGGTTTCTGAAGGGTGGTGCACAGTTGGATTTCGTCCATGCACAGTACCTCCAGAACTCATACCTGCACATGCCCCTGCTGCCCCCCATTCTTTTTACAAAAACCTTTCCAAAAACCAAGGCCAGCCGTAATTTCTTTTTCGTCGAAAAAGCCGGCCACAGGAAAATATGCTAAGCATTCTCGCTTTTGGCGGGTATTCGGCCAAGTTCCCGCATGATTTTTCGCGTCGCTGGTTTTTTGAAGCGACCGATCGTTGACAATTTCTCAAGGCCCACCATAAACACTTACTTGCCCAAAAAAACTGGAAATAAAAAGTTAACCTTTTGGGACCTCAACTAAAAATGGTCCAGAAAGGGAAAACCAAAAGGTCAAAAGGTCGATTCGCTTTGAACAACTGAGAACAGCAAGAACCGCCAGGCTGCACAAAGTGGACTTCGCCGTGGGCGCACCTGAGTAAGCCAGCACTGGTCACACCTCCCTAAAGCCTGAAGCTGGGTGCCAAAGTCTTTGAGCCAAGAGGGGGGAGGAAAAATCATGCCATCTATCACTCGGTTGCAAACTCTGCTCCCCTGCTAAAAGTGACTAACTTTTAGCGGTTTAATACGGAAAACCCATTAATTGGCAAAAAAATAAAGTCGCCAAAGTATCTCACTATTCCCTTCGGTTCCTTTGAGAACAGTACAAATCATAGGCATATTTCTCGCCCAAGGAAAAAAACAACATGTACATACTTGCAGCAGAATCACCGCGCCACACCACCGCAACTACCACAATACCAACTACAAGTCATGCCGTCCATCTGCCCAAAGGGGCGCCCTGAGCGTTCTTATCCTACCATGTCCTCACAGAACTCCTGGCTCCTGAGCTCCCTCGAGGCAAACTTGGATACCCAAGCTCCTGGACTCCCTTCCAGCCGCGAGCTAGTATTAGAATGGTAGAACCCATGGCGCCAATATGCGCCGTGCGTCAATGGCTGCAAAAGTTGCCAAACTTCCAGTTGCTTCAGCCTGGACAAATAACAATATGTCCAGTAGTGCTAGATTCCCTTCGAAACCAAGAGGAGGAAATTAAACATAGTCTTAAGAAAGTGGAAGAGAAGGTTGGGTTTCACTGACCGCGGCCCCAAACTTCAGAGCTGCGCTCTGGCGAGCCGCATGGTGCATCCCGCAACGACCACCGACAGCACTGCCAGCTTGTGCCAGCTGAAGATCTGACTTCCCACGATGCAAGACCTCGGTGAGAGGAACAAACGCCTGAGCTGAGCTCAGCTCCCGGGATTGGTCCCTTCCCCACACAAATGATACGCCTTCCCAACTGCCCTAGATTTCTGGAACTGAGAAGTGCTTGCTCATGAGAAGCCCCACGCATGTTGATTGACGTCCCTATGGTTGCGATGATCTTGCAGCTCAATATGGAATCCTGTGAGAAAAGAGTCGAGTGTGTGTGTGTGTGTCAAAGCGGGGAACCTTCCATTTTGGCAACTGGGCGAACAGAAGTCTCAAGGGGGCAAAACAAGCTCGGGCGCTGAGACGGAAGTGCCTTAACACAGGTCTTAGAAACATGATACGCCAACTTCCATTTGCTTAAGCCCCCGAGAAAAAATACTTGCAGTAGTAATCGGTTCCTTTGAAAACCAACAGGGGAAAAACAAATAAACACATGGAAGCCAATGCAATTGCCCCTTAGGACCGCAAGGGAAGCCAACTGGACGCTGAAAGTGTGGCTGGCGCCTGTGCGTGCACAAGTGCTGGGTTGAGGCATGCAAACTGTCTAAATGTTGCGTGCGCGTCCCAAAGTTTCAGAGTCCGTGAGGTGAAGGGGCCTCTAGGGGGGACTGCAATGTATTCATAGTTGTTGGTCTGCTTCTTCGGTGGGGGTGGCCAAAGGGAAGCCCATCAACTTGGAAGGTTGTTCCCGGGATAACCTGAGTTGATCGTTGTTTCACGCATGTTCAGCAGGTTGCTCCGACTTGCTCCGACCTGGCACTAGAACCTTGCCCGCAAAAGGAAGACCAAGGAAACACTACCACATGATTAGAGTTGGGCCTAGTTATAGGATGTACATTTTATTGTTTGCTTCACTTTGAGTCACTGGTAAAATAACAAATGCATCCTAAGTCTACCCCAGAAACCTTGCAGGCAAAAGGAAGACCAAAGGAAACGCCACCAGTAGTCCAAACTTTCCGGTAAAACTAAATGGGTGCCTTCTTTGGCACCCTTTTTGGGCTTGGTTTACAGGGAAACAAAGGACAACTCGCCATGTTGTTTCTTTGTTCGGGGGGGTACCCTCAAAAAAAGACACCAGCAAGTTGGTCTTCTCCTTTGTTCGAAACCCGTGGCTCTGTGGCTCGACTTGGTTGCGCCGCATTTGGGTGTGGAAAAATAAATATATAAATAGCCAGGGTTACGCAGGTGTTTGTGTTTGGCTCCATCTACCTGAAGGTGCTTGCTTTTGGTACGTGTTTTTGAGCCACAGTATTTTGGAAAATACGTCCGGTAGTGATAGATTCCCTTTAAAACCAACAAGGGAAAATTAAAAAAACATGTTCTTAAGCAAATGGAAGGAACTTTCACCCTGCCGTGGCGCATGAAGAACATCAAGGCCACATTGCCCTGCTTGCAGAACTGCAGGAAGGCCACGGAGGAGAACTTATAGGCCTCGTTCCTGAAAGCGCGATGGAAGTGACACACCAGTGAAGGCTGTGGCGAAAAATGGAATCCCCAGAAAGGCTTGGCTAGGTCCTCCAGATTTGAGAGGTTAGAATAAGGGTGCCCGATTTTTTCTGTGTTCTATTTTCGTAGGGGAACGCTCCCAACCAAAAAAGAAACGGCAAAAAGGGCACTACTGGGGGACCTAGTTGGTATATGGAAACCAAGACCAAAACTTGAGTAACCTCAGCTGTTACATTTGGAGCCACACCCAATTCACAATCTTCCAGTCTTCCGGGCACAACCTGGTAGACAAAGTTCCCAACGGGGAAAAGGAACAGAGCGGGACCCCACGCAAAGGAATGCACTGCACGCAGGAGTTGGTGAGTTGGTGGCTCCAGCCTCCCCTGTTTAACAGAAGGCGTGGCAAAAAGGCACGTGAAACCCGCTTGTCCTACTGATCCGTCACGTTAATCCCCAAGAAGCCCTCGAGAAATGAGCCTGTTGGACCCGGTGAACCTCTTGGCCCCTGGTGAACAGAAAGCAAATCAAGTTGGGCTACCGAGGAACCTCCATTTGCAGCAAATCGGCAGTGGCGGCCAATGGTCAAAATGGAGAAGACGCACCAAAAAGTAAAAAGCCCAATGGGCAACCACCGATCCAGGACCGAGTACCTCATTAATAGCTCCAAAGCCAGGGAGAACTTGGGTTTGCTGAACGAACATTTCGGAACGCTCAAGTAAGCTCTCCAGTCATCCAAACCCACCCAACCGCTGGCTAAGGCCCCAAGGTGGAACAGATTTGGCGGTTGCCTCCAAAAGGGACCTTGACTGGCCGCAAAACAAACACACACGCGCACGCAAGCGCACCACAAGATAAGCAGCAGCCATACTACATCTTCGAAATCCCTTCAAAAGCAATACCAAGACAACAAAGAACATGACTGGGCCGTCCTCAGTTCCCCAGCTTCAAGAGTTTAAACTTTGGCTTACATTAACCCACTAAAACGATCTAAATGAACCAAATGACTGGATGACTAGGTCCTCCAGACTTGAGAGGATAGAATAAGGGTACCCATTTCCGTAGTCTATTCTAGGGGCTTGCCCTCCCAACCAAAAAAGGAACGGTACAAGTTGGCACCGATCCCTGGGGGACCTAGTTCCAGTACAACATCTTGAGGGGTTCTCAAACTCGTGGTGGCTTCCCTTTGAACCACAATTTAGAGGGTTCCCAGCCTGATGCCAAGAGGACACCGGCAAACATCTGATGAACCACCACGAGGCGTTTTAAAAAACTTGGCCCAGGCGTCGAGCAATACAGGGCCACCGCGAAGAGGAAGCCCAAAGGCGCGATCCACTTGGCCACTTGGCCCAGGTTGGCCTCGGGAAGGAAGCGGTCATAGGAAGGCGCGCTCCAAACGCGAGCGGGACATGTGGCGCAGGGTATCCCAGGGTCATAGAAACCAGCGACAGGGAAAATTATGCAAGAATTCGAGCCAAATTCCCACAACAAATCAGGGGGGTTCCTGTAGAACTTCCTGTAGTTGGTTTCTTGGAAAGGAAGAGCCGGCCAATTTGCCTGGAGAAAAAGTCACACAATGGCCCGGTCTCAGTGGTTCGTCTGGGTTGCTGTTGACCCCTCTGCACAAAGTTTGACTTTTAGCGTGGTTCTGAAACCCCCTCCCGGCTGAGCCCATCTGGTCATAAGCTTGGCAAGACACGTCAAATCATGCATATTGCAGGGCAACTAAGGCACCTTGCACCGGTGGCTCGGATTTGTGATTTGTGGCTTGAGCATGAGACCGCCCAAGTGTTTCCCTTGACCTGCCAAACCCTCCAAACAAACGGATAGATTGCACGCAATAGGGTGACCAGAGTCAACACTGCGGGACAGAACGCATGACCCGACTTTTGGGCCGAGGCGAGCATATGAAACACCTCTTGCCACCAAGGACCCTTTTAAATCACAGGTCACGTCAGGCCAATAGCTCAAAGCAAGAACAAATATAAGCCATCATCAAAACCCGGTACAAAAAAGGTGGACCCAGAACCGTGTAAAGAACTAAGAAGGCGGCCGCAGCTATTTATGGTTTAGATCGTCCCTTACTAACCTTCACTCAATCGGGTTTTGATTGTGACTCACATATGCTCTGGCCAAATGCAACCCTGCAAATCTAGGCCGTGAGGAGCTCTGACACTGAGGTGCTTGCTTTCGCCAGCCGGACGAACCAACATCTATCAACATGATGGCTTGCTGCCTCGGCCTTTGCCCCCAACTACATGCTTCAGATTCTGGTCTTAGTGAACCTCAAAAACGAAAAACAAAAAACAAGAGAAAAGGCCCCAGTTGTGGTCTCCATAAACACCTTCTAAACAGGGTCCTGCATTCCTGCATATACTGTGGATGGACCCACTACGTGGTTCATGCCAGTTTTTGTGGGTTGCATCCATGCAAGTGGTGCAGCATGTTGTCCCTCCGCGGTTGGGAAAGCCTGGCAATGCGCATCCAGAACCCGATTCCAGCGGAGCGACCCTTGCCATGCTCATGGAGGGATAGTACCTGGGCGTCGTTGGCCAGGAATCCCAGCCCCCCCCCAGGCACCCCCCCTTCAACAAAATGGAGTTGCGCAAACCTATTCTTTTCGAAGACTGTGTGTTGAGCCCTCTGCAAACCAGTCAAACAGTTGAAAGCTTTTTGTGGGTGCAATTTGGATTATCCGACCCATAAAAATGCAGACCATGTCCCTTTGGCCGGTTCGGGGGCCGCCAAAAGGGGTTTTCAAGCACGGGTGTGCATTCGAATTCTGTGGCCAAGCGAAAATCAAAGGGTGGACTTGGCCAACTAAGAACATCCACATCTCAAAGACCAACCTGGAACACTCATGCCAGTGGGAAAAAAAAAAACATGTAGATCTCAGCAAGAGCCTCTTCGGGGAAAGGGGGCCCCGGGATAATGAAGAAAGCTATGGAAAACCACAAGTTGCCTCCAGACTTTCCTAGCGGCTTTCAGAAGCCGTGGATGGGGGTTGTAGTTGCCGACTTCAACTAAACAAGGTCAGACCGCACGTCCAAACTAACTTGTGACTTACAAAGGTGAAGAACACGCCAAAGCCATAGTGGGCCGGGCCCGCTGAATCAAATCCACCAAAGATGACCGAACCCTTGCATGTTTGCTTGTCTCTTTGCTTACTTGCTTGCTGCTTGCACGTTGTTTTGTTTGTCTATCCTGTTCGTCTGTTTATTTGCCTGCTTGCTTGCTTGGGGTGGGCGGGTTGGCGGGTTGGTTGGTTGGTCGGTCGGTCGATCGGTTTTGTGCTTTCGTTTGCTTGCTTGCGTGAATGGCTGGCTTGGCTGCTGCCTGCCAGTCTGCCTGTCTGTCTACCTTTCTACATATCCCGCTATCTCTCTCTCTCTCTCTGTTTGTTTGTTTCTTGCGTTTGGTTGACGTTGGAAGGGGGAGCAAAAATTAAAATGTCAGCAGTTAAGTGGGGAAATCCCACTAATCCACAATAAGCAAAAATGGAAAAAACCCAACGACAACCATGTTCATGCCTGCCTGTCTGTCTCTGTTCTGTTTGTCTGTCTGTGTGGCTGCCTGCAACGGGCCTTGGCCCCTCATATTATCCTTTCCCACGCATGCATGATGCATGGTAGTTACCAAACAAGGCAAGATCATTCACAGGTGATGGCTCGCCCAAATATCTCCCTTGAGTTTGAGCAAAGCGGAAAGGAAGGTTCCATATAAGTGTCCCTCTTCGAGAAGCCAGGAAGTCCACTCGAAATCTGTTTAGAAAGGGAAACATAGGTCTAAGGTCTGATTCCGCACTCTCTTTACCCATGATTCTCTTTAGAAACCACCTATTTTCCAGGGTTTGGCCCATTTGAAGAGAAGGATCCCCGAAGAGAATGGGAAGGGTGCAGCTAGGGGAGCCTGCAGAAAACTCCGCCAACCCAACCCGCTCGAGGTCCGAGGTCCCGGCTGTGGCGCCAGCTGGTAGAAGATGAGTGACAGAACGAGCGTCACGACCTGAAGTCTCGCGCCGAAAAAGCCACTGGACTTTGAGTTCTATATGGGATATACAGGCGTGGAGATAGATATGTATATATATATATATGCTAAGACCCCCTCCCAATACCAAGGTTGTTTTGTTTTTTGACCTACCATATACATATATATATATATATATGTATACTCGGTTGCAAACTCGGCTCCCCTGCTAAAAGTGAATAACTTTTAGTGGTTTAATGGAAAACCCACTGGTGGGCAAAAAGTTAAAGTCCTAACATCCAAGCAAAATGCACCAAAGTGTGCATATATATATATATATATATAAAAATATATGTGCCATATAAAGAGTTAAGCATATACCATGATTTGTGTATAAAAGGTTGTTGGACGCTGACGATCTGGGAAAAAATGTGTGCTTCAGCACTGCACTCAAATGCACCGCCCTTTTGACTGATACAGCAAGTGCGCTGTGCGAAGGCAGAAACACGCCGGGTTGGTTCGGTAGGACGGTTGACCCGAATAAGCCAAGTCGATGCCCGGACAAAAAGCGGCAGAAACTCGCACATGGGTGGGCCCAGCCTGACCCCCCTGCAGTGCAAACTGAGATTGCTGTCTTCTGGCAAAAGCACACACACAACTTTTGGGAAGCCCCACGTTGCATCTCATGGAGATGGGAATGGCCGGCTCAGCGTGCAAACGCCTGCAATGGGCCTCTCTTTCACTGAGCCCTGCGCCATATGGATCGCGGTAAGGTGCACGGCGTGAGAAAACCTGCGTCAAAGGTGGCCTAAATAAAACACGCAAAAGGCAGCTGAGACTTTGACCCCCCAAACGTGTTTTTTGTTTTCAAGGCCCAAATTGTGGAAATTCGCGTCATGTCAAGTCACTCTGCGACGGGATTGTCCCGGAAAAAGATGGTTCAGTTGACTTCCTCTCTGAAGCGTGCCCTCCATCGGTGGCTTCGATTGACCTTCTCTCTGCCGCACCATCGGCAAGCCGAAGGTGGGGTGCCAAGAGCCCATTGAGGCCGTGGGATTTGACCCCCTGGCTGGGACCACGGAACAAACCAAGCTCCAAGAGGAAAGCTCATCTCTGGCATCTTCCGAGAGCCATGCGCCTTTCCAAAAAAAACCGCCTTGGAATACGTAGCATCCGCAGCACCTGGGTCCCAACCGGGCAGTTCTTGGGACTTTGGACAACGGAAAAAGCAGTTGGAGTTGCTGATGTGTCTTGTTTATCTTCGCGTACCGAGGGGTACCCCCTTGTTTGGTAGCTCTGAGGCGAAGCCAAAAGGAACACCACCATTTGGGGGGGGGGATTCCCCGGAAATGCACACACGCATATGTATCCGTGATATGATTTTTCTTCCCTGAGGGCCAAGCATGAGTCCGCAACTCAAGGAGACCTGAATCCATCCCTTCCACCCCAAAACCAAGGCTCAAGAGGTGGGAAATTCGCCATGGACTGCCCAACGCGTCCGACTGATTGCGGCGGGTTACTCTCCGACCGTCGCCTGCCGGGCTGCATCAGGAACTTGTTGAAGGAAATCAACGTGGAACTTGTCACGATGTAGACCGTGCCTCGCGCCCACGATCGCGCCCAGAAGGCCCCAAGCTGCGCCAGGTGCGCGGGTTTTGTATGACAGGATCGCATGGACGGGCTCCAAGTCTTGGAACACGCCCGCAAACAAGATGGGCGTGTCTTCTTTGGGGGCCCCCCAAGGCAAAATTGTGGCTTCTTCCTTGTGGGTTCCCTTCAAAACCACACAACAAAACGGAGACCCTCAAAACATGGGCGTGCCTGCCTTTTTTGGGGGACCCCCTCTAAAATTGGGGTTCTTCCTTTTGGAAACCCGTTTAAAACCACACAAAAGCAAATTGGAGATCCTCAAAACCAGACAGGGCAGGACACACTTGACCGGCACTTTGCCAAGCTGCCGATGACAAAGGTCTGCCATGCCTGAGCCGCGTTGGACTAGCCGCCTGAATAAATAGAACGTGGCTAGAAAAATTATTTTAGGCACCCTAGGGGGTGGATATAGGAGTCGTCGTAAACGGGGGGGGTCACCATTTCATAACAACTCGAATTGGATTTTGGGCACTTCGAAACGGAAGTTCGACGTACAACTGGGTCTGGGCAGGGCGCGCACCCTGGCATCCAACGCAGGCGAACAACCCCTCGAAGTGGAAAGACGACCATGGAATCGAAGAGATGCTAAGTAATCTAGGGGGATGCACAGCCCGGACAGTCGCAACGTTGGTGATGGGAACCCATTAGCATTAATTGCTAGTAAGTGTCGAAGTGTCCGATTTAATAGGGTAAACCCAGCACTACTAATTGTTATGTTGACTCATCCAGAGCCGATATCATTCAGCCGGTCCCGGAACCCCCCTTGTAGGGACGCGCTTTTCTCAAGTGTCTCTGACTCGTGCAATATCCGGATCACTCTGAAATGCCGGAATTGGCGCCCAAGTGACAGAGGCAGCTGTGTTGTTGCTGTTGCCGGCAGCCATCGCTTATGCACGGGTCCTGGCGCATGCCCAAGTGACCTCCCATGGGAAGAGGACACCCTCTTAAGGACAGTGCTGTCACTTCCTGGCCCCACAGGGACCCAGCAAGAGGTGATGATCACCTGTTGGAGCCTTGACTGAAGCTGAACAGATCTGGGAAACCAGAGACTCAAAGCAAAATGCTCGATTTGGGGCAATATTCATGCCGCAGTCTTCACTTGCAACATTCAGGGGGCCCTTTTTCCTTGAGAAAAGGCGAGCCGGGCAACGGGGCAACTGGATCAAATTCGAACCACACAATTTGACTAGCCTTGCCCCGATGGAGGCTGACAGGATGATCAAGCTGACATGATGGACCTGCACGCCGCCTCTACCGATGAAAAAGGAGAAGCCAACGTGACTTTCAGAGCCTTTCAACTCATCCCAGCCTTCAGAAAATTGATACCCTGAAATCCTAGGACACCTAAGGAATCTGCTTTTGGCGACCCTTCGTGCAATACTTGCAGCAGGCAACTTCACCAATTCCCTGCGACTCGCGCCTGAGGATTTGACAAGTACCTGAGCTCCGCTGGACGGGTGACGGTGAACCTTGCATTGGCCTTCTAGGGACGCTTTTTTTTTACACCCTGGGAATACACATTTAGGCACATGTTGAACCATTCCGGGTCATTTTGCAAGGGTGTAATCCCAGGGTGTGATACAAAAACCATCAAAGACATGTACCAAGAGAAAGGACCCATGCCCACCCCTGAGCGAAGATCATGTACTGCAAGTTCCCCATCCCAATAGCGAGCCATGGACAGTTTTTTTCCCAAGGACCTCTGGATGCTCCGCCCTCATACAAGGCTCCCACATGGCGGTGGGTCAAGAATGCGTACCCAAAATGGAATTGTGATAAATGGAACCAAGGACTAAAACCTGCGGTTCCCTGGTGGTGTAATTTTGACCCATACCCATGTGCCCTGATGCTTTGCTGCCGAGGTGCTTGCTTGCGGAGGGGTGTCCAGTCAGACTTGGGCCGAAAAGCAGAAGGCAACGAAGCGCATGTGAAACATGCACGTCCAGGACTGCGTAATGTTGAGCCCCTATTAATCAACCCCAGTTAATTAATAGGGGGGGTGTTCCCCTCCAAAAGTGAACAATCCACACTCAAACCAGGGACACCCCCTATTAATAAACAGGGCTTCTTCATAGGGGGTGTCCATTAGTCTGGTGCCATGTTAGTCGATGGCAGGGTCACCCTTTTTTCCTGGGATAAAGTGTAATTACCATCCCTAAGACTACTTTAGGAGGCCCGGGCAATCACAGAAAACTTCGGCCAAACCATGAGCTCGCTTGTAGGCAAGGCATACGAAAGCTTGGTAAGCAATTACTGCACCAAGCGTCGACTTGCGTCAAAGAAGTGTGCTCAGCCCCCCCCCCCTCCAAACAAAGACAAAAACACAAAACTTAAAACACAACTAGTCCGAAACATCAACCCCCCCTGCCCAACAAACTCTTACATGTCTTAAAAACTGGCTTGTTTCCTGGCGCCGCCCAAAAGTGGCTGCCACCATGTCCTTTGGGACTCCGCATCTCGTGTCTGTGGGCTCCCTGCACTCCTCCCTTCTTGCCCATGTCCGCAAGGCCTGGCTGAAATTTCTGGCCGGATTCCCAGTGAACATCTTGAGGGGTTCTCAAACCTCGGTTGCAAACTCGGCTCCCCTGCTAAAGGTTGACAACCTTTAGTGGTTTAATACGGAAAACCAATTCATTAGTTTGCGAAAAGTTAAAGTCCTGACATCCAAGCAAAATGCAGCAAAGACACTAGTGGTGGCTTCCCTTTGAACCACAATTTAGAGGGCCACTCCCAGCCTGATGCCAAAAGGACACTGGCAAACATCTGATGTTTGAGAACAACCGGAGAAAACAGAGGGAACCACGCCCCAACGCCCAGCTCGCTTCCTGATCGTGCATACCCAAAAACCCCGCAACAAAACTACCAAATAAACATACAACCCCTCCCGCAATGAATCAAGATCCCGTTCACAGGACATCCGGGATATGCTGCAAAGGCCATGTTGGATTGCAAACCCTGTGACAAATGCGCTTCTGTCCTTGCACTCCCGGCAGCTACTCAGCTTCTTCAATGTTAACCCGGATTGATAAACTTCTGATTGATTAATAGGGGGGTGTCCCCTTTTTAGTGGGGATTCAGACCACTTTTGGAGGGAACACCCCCCCTAATAATGAGACGGGTTTATTCATCCGGGTCAACATTACCCTGTAAACCGCTCCCTTCCGAGCACCGGCTAGGTTCGAGGTGAAAGGAGCACCGACTTCTGTTCTATTGTCCTCTCTGCCACTCGCTGGAGTCCGGTCACCATCCGACTACTTGATGGCGCTTCTAAACAGGCGACGAACTATTAAACACATTGTTGATGGATATCGTATTTCACTGGACCTTTCAGAACAATGCTTGGCTCAACCCAGGATCCATGTAGGGTCCACCATCGTACTCTGGCCCAAATGACTCCACGACAACAATCAAACGGTTTTAACATTTGGAGCCTCGGGGGACGCGTTCGCAGGGATGGCGACCAACCCTCTAGCATCACTTGGCTGTGGCTCAAAAAAGCGGTACCAAAATGGAACCCTGGTAAGTGGAAACATGGACCAAAACCTGCGTAACCCCTCCTGTAAAATTTGGAGCCACACCCAACCCAAAAGGTACACAGTCCAAGAGTTCAAGAAGTCAGCGGCGCTTCCTGAACAATGAGTGGCTACATGTTCGGCCAAGGGATGCGGGTGAATGCACCGCCTGCCTTTAAATTGTAGATGTGGCTATGAGCCTCCTCAAAGGGGGGAAGGGTAAAAAGGCTATTTGGGAGTGCGTTTGGTTGTAGATGACTTTAAACCTCCTAAATGGGGGAGGGGTGAAAAAAATGGGAACCTTCAAAATGGAAACTCTCCTACAACTCACCTTTTAAGCCAACCCCAATACGGAGCCAGGAAACCCAACCATTCGGAGCAGGTTACCCCTCCATTCGCTCAAGCCCCCCGGAAAAGTAAAATCGATTTCCTTTGATTTAGCAGCTACAAGGATAGCTAATCCAAATTTAGGTGATCAAAAGTAAAAGGATTTCCTTTTAAAACCAACTGCTTAGCAACTTGTAGCTGCCAACAGGGGCAAATTCAAAACATATTGATTTTAGCAGCTACAAGTGGCCATTTCGCGCCTCCCTTATGCATGATGCACTATGGAGAAATCTACAAAAGCTGGTGGAAATGGGCAAAATGTGTCCATCTGCGGTACAGAGACAGAATAAACCCAGGGGAATTCCGGTACATCCTTTGAGTTCCCTTGTTCCCTCGCGTTATGTTGCCTCCGGCCCACGGTTTTCCACCCAAATCCAAAGCCAAAGCCTTTCTAGGTCCTCCAGTAGAGAGGTTAGAATAAGAGTACCCGATTGTTTTTCTGTAGTAGGGGAACCCTCCCAACCAAAAAAGAAACGGTAAAAGTTGGCACCTAGCTGGGGGACCTACTGTGGATGGACGAATCCCGCACCACTTTAAAACCCGCGGGAAGCCATTGCTTGTTGGTATTTACATTGGGGAATCGAATCATTCCAGGATATTCCAGGGTTTCTTGGGTGGTGCGAAATGGATTGCGCCACCATCCACAGCAGCAATTTGGTCAGCTCCACCCTCGACCGACCGAGCCGAGCGCCCAAGCCGTCGGCCTGTCACAGCCCAAGACCACTTGAGGAAGCGCTGCGTCCTCGACTGCCCCGCCTTCGACACCTCAAGCTCCAGCTCGGCCGGTCGGCCGGGTCGGCCATGGTCGGCCATGGTCGGCCATGGTCGGCCCGGTCGCTTGGGGCGGGGTGGTTAAAACGGGGGGGGGGGGGGGCGCTTTGCGGATTTTTTTGGCGACCACGGATGAATAAGCCCCAGTGCATTAGGGGGAGTCTCTGGGTTTAGTAAAAGTTCAGACCACTTTTGCAGAAAAAACACCCCCTAAAATTCATAAATCTGAGGTTTTTCTTACCCCGCAGTCAACATTAAAGGGATTCCGCGCCACTTCCCTGTTTGGAACCTACGAATGTGGCAGTTTTCATGGAAGCCACCGGTTGCCATTAAAGGGATAGAAGTCGCCCCCAGCTTTTTCATATGGCCGTCCGATCCAACCCACGGCGATTGAGGCTCTTACTTGGTTGACGTTGAAGGGGAGAAAAACAAATAGCAGTTAAGTGGTTGGATTTCCCACTAAACCACAATAAGCAAAAATGGGAAAAATGATTCCCAACAACCATGCTTAGGGAGAGGAGAACAAAGTGGGCCCCGAAATACTTTGACACAAACCCATGAGGTGCTAAGTTTTCGAAATGGGGTCCGAGTCTTTCAAACACTAAAAAGGTTCACAAGAGCACTTTCTGAGAGTCAGAAAAGGTCCAAAGAAGTGGTTTGCACAATGAGCTCAGGAAGTGAGACTCACATCCTTCAAGGGTCAAACTTGGTCAAACGCAAACCGCCTGCGCATGAACCAACCTGGCGGCTTCATAAGGGGTGGTTGCCTAGAGCTAGGGGGCCCCTCTTAGATAGATCCCCACCCCTCCCTTACATGGGCCCCCCCATATTGCTCAGCTGCTGCCTTGCTGGAAAGCAGCTGCTCTTGACAGACACTGAGGCTACCGCGGTCGACTCCGCATCAAAGTCCTGGCGAGTAAGGAAGTCCGGGTACCAACTGGCATATAGGTTTATTTCTTTAAGGGTACCCTGTTGAATCTGGCTTCAATGGAAACCCAAAGGACAACCACCATGTTAGTTCCCAATACTGTGGATGGTTGCGCAATCCATTTCGCACCACCTAAGAAACCCAACGGAATGATTCGATTCCCCTGTACCAGCAAACAATGGCTTCAACCATGGAGGATTTCATCCATCCACAGCATTTGGACGTGTACCCACATTCAATCCCAAGCCAACATGGCACCAAAGTCAGCCTGCGATCCAGAAGTCCA